GAGAAGACCATTCCTGAGGCATTTTAGCAGATGCGGGAAATCGGAGATAAAGTGCAATTTCCTCATCTCGTCGACAGGATGCTGTATGGCGCCATTTATTTTCTTCGATGACGCCGACACCCCCGCTAGCTTCCACATTTTTCGATTCCAGGGGGCTCCGTCACAAGTGATGTGGTCGACGAACAAGCCCGCCTGTTCCACGAGGATGGTAGCTTCCATGAGAATTTTCAATAAAATGTCTCCTCTCACATTTCCTTTTGTCGCAAAAACGCCCACAATTTGGCTCCATTTTCCAGCGAAAGGCACAAACATGATGACCATGCCGTGATCACATTGCTGGTACTTGTCTTCGGGCTTCGTAAATTCTCCAAGGTCCACGAAGCCTTGAATCTGGCCAGACGCCGTCACATTGAAATGTTCTGACAATTTCATTTCGTCCACCAATAGTCCGCCGTGTCTTTCGAGGTCTGACATGCTCGCGGTTTTTTTCTTTAGAGTGTTCATTACTGCTTGATTAAAACCGAAGGCCGACTCGTATGACCTCAAGTATCTTTTCAAAGTAGTGTTGCTGGGCATCATGAGAATTTCGTTCTTTCTGATGTGCTGATAAAGCCGGGGACTCTTTAGTTTCATGAGTAAACACTCGAGGATCCACTCCTGATTGTAGCGCATGCCCTGCTTGCTGGTTTGTTTGGCAGCTTGAAAGCAAGCGCGAACACTTGCCTGCTGCTTTCGCGGTAGTGACGATATTTTATCCTCTAGTATTTTATCCGCGACATTCGCATTGTTTGCCCTCATCTCTTCGAGACGACCAGCAATGTCCAACAGCCTTGTCGCCATCCGCTTGTTTCTCTGACTCAGGACCCGCAGTTTGGTGGAGACTGAGTTTCTTCGCTCTTTTCGTTTTAGGTAGCTTTTTCTGGTGAGTATTACTTTCCTCACGTACTTGCATGAAATGCATGAAGAACCTGGAAGTATACGAGAAAAAAATTATGAAGAGCTTCCAGTTTTTTACCATGCATGTTTGAAACGCAATTTATGCACTTTCACTTTCTGTAGGCAAACTATTCTTTCGTAAATGTTAATGAGTACTACAAAAATTAGGGGCCACACAAATGTTCTAGCATTAAACAGGTTACTGATTGATTAATTGTACAATTACAAGTGACGTCTCAATAAACGTTTGCCGCACTCACCTTGTTGTTTAACCGCTCCTTTGCACGTGACACTGAAGACAAGGCCGTCGGAATGAGAGATTTGCTGCTCCAGTTTCTTCGTAAGAACGTCATAGGTGAAGTCCTTCGCCCTACCTGCTCCTCTGCAAGGGTGAAGAGATTCTGCGCAGTCCAGGACTTGTTTGGCATCTTCAAGGTTATAGGCGACCTTTTCGGAGATCAGCGTCTTCCGAACATATGTCCGACAAATCACTTCACTCCGGTCGGTACCGTAATTCATGAGCACAGTCTTTTCGATGCTTACGAGTTCACGACTTAGGGAGGCCGAAACATAAGCAATTCCGTCATAATGACGAAACTTGTGCATTGCCCAGTGGTCGTTTGGCCGGACAACGTCTTCAAGTTCAAATGCGTTGTCGCTTTGCCTCGCACTTTCGCAATCTTCAAATCTCAGTTGCGGCTCAACTGATTGCAGCGCAGTTCTTTTTGACGGCTGGTCTTCACAGGTTGGTGGTGAAGCCGCTCTCTTCTTCGTTGACTGCTCCGGTGTGGGCTGCTCGTCAGGACACTTCAGGAGATGAGGTATAATTATGGGTACAGCATCACTGCGAAGTTCCGGCTTTCCCCGCTCTATATATACTTCTCGGCCTTCGATAATATGTACATATTGCCTTAGTATGTATTTTTGCTCGAAGTGCAGCTCGCAAATGGCATCGGTGACTTGCAAGGGCCGATCAGCGCGGTTGAGATTCTGGTCCCATAGCCGGCGTCTTTCTTCGTCTTGAGGTACTCCAAAGAGTGAGAGCTTGGGCTGGTTTTTAACTCTGCTGTATCCGGTTTGGCAGCCTACGACACAACAGTAATTTCTACGCCTAGACGTGCTCATCCTCTAATCTTTTGAAGCAGCTTGGAACGCTCCGTTATGCAACCAGCAGACACATATCTGCGCACGCAAACGTGCCGTCTGCCGCGTATTCTTTGTCCAGACGGCTTTGCTCAAAGGGAAATACAAACCTACGCGTTCACGAAAAAAAGCATACATTTTATTTCATGTCACTTGTTTTTGTCTCTAATAATGTGTAAAAAAAGAACCAGGAGACAAATTGTGAAAACAGCGCACGAACGACGGTGCATCGAACAGACGACGGCGCGTCGAGCAGACGACAACATCGAGCGCTCAGCGTCCCCGCCAGCGCGTCGTGCGGCCCGAACCGCCGCACGACTCGCACGCTCCCGCCGAAACTGACGTCACTTCAGGAGAAGGCTACTGCAGCGCCACCAAATTTTCCGCCGTTTTTGCTTCACCCGCACCGCTTGCCGCCGGCCACAGTGGACCCACTCCCCCATTCTAGTACACTCTATCTCTATGGAAGGCCGCATCCGTGCCGATGATGCATGCTCCGCGGTCACGGCGCTCCAATCAATCTCGGCGCCCCCTGGCCCCAAGCGCATAAACCAGCGCACCACGGCACGGACGTGGCCGCAACGTTTTTAGAACTAGGTAAGTTGCAAAACTCCCCGCAACTATACCCGTCACACGCTGCAAGAAAAGCTTCTGGTTTGGTGGCGCTCGCGGCGCCACAAGCTTCCACTAGCAGACGAAAACGCGTAGTCGTCGTGGCAAGACGCCGTGGCGGCCGTTACGAGTTATTCCGCTAGTTACTACTTGGTATCCTTTCGCAATTGCTTTTAGGCGCAAAAAACCCAATTACAATGTCTTGTATCCTCTCTTGTGACTGTGCTTTTCGTGTCTTAAATTAAATTACAACTATTTGCGCAATCCCGTGGCATTTGTCAGGTTCTGTAGTCGTTTTTTTTTCATGTCAGTCGCATTCTCTAGAAACTAAGAGCGTCGAAAAGCTGCGCATTCGGCCCATTTCTTGAGCATGTCTTCTCTCTGCAACTTCTTGAGTTCCTCTAATGAAACCTGTTAACAGAGGCGAAGCCAAATCTTCGAGCTGAGAGCGCACTTTGGGGTATTGGTGAGCACTTGATCATTACTCACGAGGCTGCATGCTGACGCACTAGGACAACATGTACACACTTTCAGCTTTTCTGTGTCCTCCGGAAGTTCGGCCAATTGGGTGATGGTATCTGCATAGCCGGCCGACTTGGCTCAGCGATGGTGACGGCTGCTAATCGTGACTGTCATGTCTTCTGCAACGACTACGCATTTCTCCTCAAATAGTGCTCCTTTTCTTTTTTGAACACTAGAAACACCACAAGACGTATTGTCTTGCCATTCTCAACAACGTTCCGCCAGCATGCAGCAGGCAAACAAACGTTCTCGATGTATTGAAGTGAACTGACCCTACTCGTTGACGGCATGTCTGGACTTATTTCACTGTCTTCGGTCTCAGTTATCGGAGACAATCTATTATTTTTCGCCGATGATATTCTGGAAAGTACCCCACTTTCATCGGGCAGCTTTCGCTTCTTTGTCGCGGGTTTTGAAAGGTAAGCGGGCAAATTCGGAAATATCCGTGGAACGCATCCTTCGATGAGGTCCCCTTTTCTTCTGGCGATTTGTACCTTCTTACCATTGATGACGTGAGTGAAAGTCTTCAGGATGCCCTCCTCATGAAAGCGTATATCATACACACGTGATGTGCTGGGCAATTTCTTATCCGCACGAGGAATAGCGTGGTCCTATGCCTTTTGCTGCTCAGGTACACGCGGGGCACAAATGAAATGTCGTGGTACATGTCTCTCATTTCCTACAGCACTCATACAGCCAGCAACGTAACGTGTGGGTATGATGAAAACACGCAACACATATAAAGCAGAACAGGGCACGCTGAAGCACAAAACCGTTCACGCAGAAAGAAGCGTCCACGGATAGCGACGCACTGCAACATGCACAGCCGACGGATGTTACGGGAGTGGCACGAGCGAACATGCAGGGAGTGAATCCGGATGCGACAGCAGCGCCACATTTGTCTCTGGCAGTGGCGGCACCACGCAACATGGCTTTGTTTTGCAGCTTAGCTAGTTACACGGAGGAAGGAAGTCCGCACTAGAGATCTATAGAACTTTTAAGCGGGAAATCGCTAAGGAAAGGATCTATGATAATACTCGAGGTAGTTCTCTACTGTTTGAGGCCAGGACAGGAGTATAGCGAACCAGGACATATCGGGCCAAATACGAAGGGGTAGACACCACGGAGGAAGGAAAGGTGCCTCCGTGGGTAGACACGGTATGCAGTACGCATGGAGAGGACGAGGAAACTGCCGAACACTTGATAATGTTCTGTAAAGGGCTTCACCCTATAGTTCAGGATGATGGCGCAGAGTTTTTCAAAGGACTGGGGTTTAAAGACAGGGAGAGCAAAATAGACTTTAAGCGGGTAGACTTAACTAGAAGGAGGTTATCTGATTGGTCGCTAAAGTCAAGGCACAAGTAAAAATAAACCATTTGCTGCAAAGTGCCAGTCCTATACTTCCCTATTTAAAGAGAAAAAAGAATAAATCTAGTTGGTGGTTCACTAAGTATTACGGCTAGGTGGTGTTAGCCACCGCCTGATCTAAAGGGCACGGCCACATCAATCCATCCACCCTGTGGTTGCACCCAGTTTTTGCAACTCTCTAAAACCGAAACTGATTGATAATGAGGGGTTTGTAATTAATTATCTGTCGCGTGCTGCACCAAACGATGTGTCGAGTCGTGATCAACAGGCCCCTAGCAGCGCATTGCAACAGAAAAACGCGAGGCTAAAGTTTTAGCGCAGTACCTCTTTAACTGTTTTGATTGCTTCGCTTGCTGGTCGAGAGGCGTCGCGGTGGTTCCCACGTTCGTGTTTTGGTTTTCGTTTCGTAAAGCGGCGTGATGCGCGGAAGCGGATCATGTGCCGGTGCTAAGAGGAAGATCTGTATTGTTTAAAAAGAAACGCCGACGTGCACTTTTCAGTCTAGCAATCTAGGCTACGGTTTCGCGCGTCAGGGTAACAACCGCAACAACGGCATGTGCGATCCCGGACTCTGCGCGCGACCCACTCTAAGTCAAGGATCGCAGGTGTTTCGCTGCCGCGCGCTATGTCTGTGTCAACCGTGCCCCGTGTCGCGCTACGAACTTCAAACAGCTGCTGTTTAAATCAGAAGCAGTCCAGGCAGCGCGGATGCTGAGCGTTGGAAGCGACACGACGCATAATCGCATCGTTTCGGAAGGAGGACAGCATGGGCACCGTGGTGGAGTCGATCCTCACGTACGCGTACCTCACCGTCTTGTACTTCTTACAGGGCGTCCCGTACGGCGTCCAAGACAAGCTCTTGCCCCAGCACCTCAGGTCTAACAGGTTCTCCTACAGCAAGCTCACCCTCGCTCGCGTCTTACTCGTACCGTGGCTCTGCAAGCCCCTGTTCGCGTCTTACATCGAGAAGCGATGGACTCAGAAGCGCTGGCTCCAGGTGTTCCTCGGCGTCATGACGGCGGTCACCTGGCTGTCGTCCTACTTCGGCGACAACGTCTGGTCCTTCGTCGGGACCCTGTTCTTGCTGAACGTGGTCTCGGCGTCGTTCGACATCTCCGTCGACATCGTGGCGATGGACGTGCTCCAGGGGTCCCAGCTGTCCCTGGGAAGCGCCGTTCAAGTCGGGGCCTACAAAGTGGGCGCCATATTCGGAGGAGGAGTTCTCTTCCTGCTGCAACTTCTTGCCGGAGTGAAGGGCATTCTTCGGGGCATGTCCGTTGTGTACGCCCTCGGACTCTGCATCGTCACGTTACGGAGTGACCCCCAAGAGAGGCCCGGCTCAGGATCCGAAGCAGGTTCCGCGGAGGAAGCTGGGGGAGACGGCGTCACACGCGCCGACGTCCAGTCGCGCGAAGGTTTGCGTCGCCGCAAGGGTGAATCGGGGAAACTGCTCGATGGTAGCGAATCGCCTTCACGAGACGCCAAGACTGATGAGACGGTACCGGCGTCATTGCTGGAGAGATTGAAGAGGGCAGTTTCGGTTGACGGCACTTGGGGCCTTGTTGTGTTCTTGATCTTCTACAAGGCTGGTGAGTGGTTTGTGGGGGAAAACAAAGTGGGTGGGGGGTACACTTTTTAAATTACACACCATAATCTGACATTATGTGTTGCACATTGAAGCATGCTGAATTAGAGCCCGGGTCTAAGCCAGTTACTTAAGTGACATATAAACGATAAGCGTACCAAGACAAAGACAATGTAAACAATCACAGAGCGCTTAGCACTTCGTGTGTTCATTTTCATTCTCCTTGGCCTGGTATGCTTAAGCACCACTGCTATTTCAGTTTCTCAAAGCCAATATTCAACATGAGCCTGAGTTGATCGCATTCGTAAAGTGTATAATTGACATGTGCTACTTCTCATGAACCCAATCAAATTCAGAGATGTGCACTTAGAAGTTCATGCGCAGTCATTTACTCAGGGCCTTGCACATCATGCTAAGGACAGGACAGCAACATCCTGTAAAGTTAGCCAAAGTGAAACAATATTTGCTATTACATTGTGGCAGTGGCGTACCGACTCTTTTGCGAGTGGGGGGGAAAAGGGAAACCCTACCTCACCCGTCAGCTGGAGTTTATATATATATATATATATATATATATATATATATGTGTGTGTGTGTGTGTGTGACAGTCTACAAAGAAATTATCACAGAGGAAATGTTCGCAACATTTCACTTTGTTGTAACATAGCCTCGTAAGAATTTCTAATTTCTTTCTCCCGTAAGAACACAATTGGGTGATTACTGTTGTGATGGAAAACTACGCCTTACTCGTTGGTTTCCCCAGCGTGCAGCCAAGAGTGACCACTGTCTAAAGGAGGGGGGGCTCAGCCTTTCTCAGTGGGGGGAGGGGCTGGCACCCTTTTTGCACCCTTCCGCCCCGCTGATACGCCTATGCATTGTGGTACGCACTAGAGCTGTCAGGAATCAACATCACTTTTTGTAGAATGGGGTGCTATGTTAATTCTGACTCACTTGTGCATGTAACTTATTTTGTATTTTCAGGCGAATACGGCATCCTGACCACATACCCTTCGTTTCTACTGGACCGTGGCTATTCCTATTTCGTGGTCGGCTTCCTTAATGGTGGGCTGGCGCAAGTTATATCCATCCTAGGATCTCTCATTGGAGGTTACATGGCACGGTCCAGAAGGTAAAGTGCACGTGTCTTTTCATACATGCTGTACCCTCACGAATGATGAAATTTGCATTCTTGTTTCCATCATGATTCACAGCTTTCATTTGCTTATTCATATAAAGAGGAATAGCTATTGAGTCAGCTAACAAACCGATGCTTGGCCAACGGTATAGTTCAAAGCACTGTTAGGTGCCTAGATACTTGCTTAGTACTCGTAACATAATAAGTATTTCTTAAAATGAGGCACATGTTTCGACTGTTTCGTAGCAGCTATTCACATGCATGAATGCAGCAATGTCAATTTGAGCAGTCGTCCTTCGGCATCTTCACCTATAAAGCTTGTGAACTTCTCGAATGAACGAGGATGTTGAAAGTGCCCAAAAGCTATGTAATGTGCTAAGATGAGGTAAAGTACTCATGGAGTGAAATGCAACATCAAATTTTTCATTATAACTACTAGTATGAGCAATTGTCCGAGGTAACCATGTCAAGTCGCAATGAATCTGGTCTATAAAGCTAATGTTCGCTCTGATGTGTGTGTTTAAGTCAAAGTTACGCCGATATGATCCATGCCGAAAACAGTGGAAATGAAAGTTTGTGCGTCACTTAGCCCTAATCCTGTTTCGAATTTGTGAATACTACAACGGTTAAACGTATTCCATTGCAGTAAAGAGTCTGATGGGCTGTTGGATAAGTGCACAGAGTTGGTTGTCGCCCTTTGTCTAACTCTGATGCATGTGAACCTGCTTGCAGAAGGGTTTGCGAGAGAGAAAAAAAACTAACAAGAAATAATATGATTTCCCAAACCTTTATTGAATTTAACCATCTGTATGACATAATTTCATTGTGACCGGTTTCATTAAACTGCTCTGTGTTTTGTTTGACGGTATTCTGTGGAATCTAGAATATGCAAGGCAAGTGTGTTAGTCTATGGCAACCTTATAATCATGACTCAGCAAGTACTGCTTTGCTTCTTAACTTGATGTTCTTTATTTGATTTTTTTCTCTTAATTGGTGAAGTCTAGTATACTATAGTATCAAAGAAATAAATAAAAAACAACAAAAAACACAATAGCAGGTGCAGTTGTCTAGACATGACGTTACAGCGCTCTGATGAGGACAGAAGCAGCGAAGGGCATGACAGGACGGGTGCTATCATGCACCGCTCTCTCCGGTCCTTGTCAAAAGTAGCTGCTGAAATATTTAAAGTAAGAATGCATATCCAACTAGCCCCACTAATGTGTTTTGTTAGATAACATTACACACCATGTGTTTAAAATTGAATGGGAGCCCTCCACTACGTCTGTCCTGCATCACCACGCAGCTTCAATATGTCGAAAGCATCTTCAATTTGTGTCAGGTAATTACAATCCTGTAATTACAAATTTTCATCTGCCACCTGCAATGATTTCATTTGATCTGCTATTCATCACAAGCCTGTAATTTCTCTGATGTTGGTGAGAAAGACTTTAGATTTACTTTATTTTACCAGACTATTCAATACATAAATGCTTGATTGTGATTAGTCCCTGGCAGAATATGCTTTTTCTGGTGCTTGATTGATGCATCGTGATTTTCAGAAACTAGGCTGGTAACAGTAAACGCATAAAAATGGCTGTGTGTTTTAGTTCGGATCCAGGCCTTCATGGAAATAAAAAAAAATTTCTCTGTCCCTAAAGTCAAGGAGAGATACGTAATTATGTATGACTGCGCTTCATTTTTATTTTCCCCTGCAGGAGTCAGAAGAGCCTTCTTATGAAGCTGTGCATCGCCCGTGTTTTACCTGCTGCCCTCATATGCATCACTAATACACGACTTTTTGGTCGCCCAAAGAACGTTTGTAAGTGTTCATTATTTCGTTCATGCTTCTCTCTTCCGCACCTTCCTTTGCTTGTTATGTCCTGTCCCCAGTTAATTACCTTACCTTATCTTGGATTTCATTCGTACATTTTTGTGTTTTTCCTATTTTAATTCACACTGCACAATGTAGCTTATGTTATTGCACAATACACAGGCAATGTATTATGACCTGCTGCCTGCTTTCTTAATCAACAAACAAATATAAAAATATAATTATTTTTAACACTTATTACATTACATTTGATAGATCATTATTAGAGGTTCAACATTACCTCCTCTGGCACGGATTGTATGCCATTAAAAATTTGAATGTGACAGTGAGTTTAATGACCAGTTTTAATGTCGCAACTTATTTCTCTTATGAGTGTCATAGGTGTAGTCCAAAACCGAAATTAGGCATTGCAGATGTCAAGCAGAAAAGCTGTGCCCTAAATTTATCTGGGTCGCCAACTCACCACTGTGTCTATTTGTAGTTGCCTCAGATGTCCTACAGTAAGACACCACCTGCTGCATGCTTGCATGAAAAGACTACTTCATGTAAATGGCATAATGCTCGACAAAGCTTGCTTAATGAGCACCTTGGGCTGAACGGTGATTATGAGGCATATTACATGTTCTGATTACTATTTGCCATAAACATAGTCAGATATATGACTAAATTCGAGGACTGCATTATCAGCAGAATAAAGAGTCACGTAGATGTAAATTTTGTTAGTGACACAGTGTTTAATCTCGGAAGTCATCTACGTGCCTGTACTGCTATTGATTACGATAGGCATTGGCCCTTGATGCAGCAAAATTTTAATAATGCATGGAGTCCTAATATTCGATGAAAGTTCTTCAGTTTAGGGTAGGACGTGGTGAAAACAGATAAAGAACTCCGTGCCAAAGTAGTGCTACTACTAACAGATAATATTAATCAAACTGCGTCATAATGTCAGATCATGGATTGCCATAGGATGTGCTTGTGCTTGGCGAATGTTTTTTTCTTATTTGAAATACTCCCAAGGTACATACAGCACATTATAGAGGGGAGGAACAATAAGAATATCGATAAGAATGAACTACAGTTTGTTCTAAAAGAGCCAAAAGCTGGACACAGAGATTTTAAAAACATACCACGCTAACAGTACAGACAAAAATGGAATATGTTAAAATACAGATCGTCAGACTGACTTGCCGGAGCTGTAGTTTCGGAAAAAGATTGAAGGGTGGGATGACCTATTGGTTTGTGATGGTAAAGTAACAAAGAAAAAGCTTTCAAACAGAATTCAGGTAGCAAGAAACAGTTGAACAGAGAATGTCCCTGGAGCAAGCATTTCAACGAGAGCACATTTCTTCAGGCATGTTAACAGCACCTTTATATATGCCTTGTTATGCCTTGCTCCCCAACCTCAAAATTGAGGAAGGAGGAGAGAAAGCTTGTGCTCAAAAAACAATAGGTAGTTATTGTCCATGTTTGACCTCTAAAAGCCAATACTATATAGTTAGGTATGTGAGATGCTACGAAAATTTCAACCACCTGGAGCTCTTTAATTCGTGCCTGAATCTAAGCGCTCAGGCTTCTGGTATTGTGCCTCCATCGAAGTGAGGTTGTGATTGACAGGATTCGATCCCGCAACCTTTTGATATTGGCAATCAAGAAACACAACCACTACACGGCTGCGACAGGTTCCTCAAAGAAAGGAGAGGAGGCGGCTATTAGAAATAGCGAGGTTAACGTGACAGATAGTGCTCGGTGTTTTGCAGTAAGAGAGAACTGGATTAGTGTTTCTTGTCTCGTCATAAAGCATCAGTACGTGTGTTAAATGTTTCCTTATGAGGTTATCATCCTAGCTAGACTATACTTGATTCAGACTGTAGTTTGGACCACGCCTGCCGTGTGTAGTAGGATACACTGTCAGACTGACGTTCCAGCTTTTCAATTGAAGTCGCCGAAGCCCACTGCTTTTTCACTCTGGCTGCTCTTTTACTTCTTACTTGTGTCATGCTCCACATTACGAATTTTGAGCTAGGCACACACATGACATAAGAATGGAAGCATATGCTATGTAGACAGGATGAAGCGCAGCTGTTTTTGCTCTACATTTGCACATGTACTGCTGTCAATGTCATCTGGCTTGCCTTATCTTTGCGTTGTGTGTCTAGCTCGATGACTTTGTGTCGTGCCACGTTGGTTCGTTCCAGTTCTGTGTGATGTGGTCTTCCTGTAACCTTTTTTGTCACCTCTTTTACGAAAGATGTCATGTCGTCCTCCTATTAGTGGCAGCTGTCAGTCTGTCTTTTTCAGCCTTTTGTTTTCTATCTGCCTTCCTGCCAGAAAATAATTAGAGATAATGATAATAAATTTTGTGCTTGTTCAACACAGCTGCTAATATTGTTACTCTTCATTAAGTGCTTAGTAGATTTCGCCACATCAAAAGAAAAAAGGGGGAGGGGGGCAATGCGTGTGTGTGAAAGGTTAGGTTAAGAACAGGTAATTGTTTAATAAGTTGAATAGAGCAAAAGCTAGAGACAAAAAGCTGTTGTTGAATAAAACTGAATGTCCCAAAAGCTTTTAGACAATGATGTTGGTGGGTACTAAAGCCTGCGGTAAACTCGTGTGCACATCCGCAGGCACCAGAAGCACTACACTCAAACCCTATACTATAACGAACCCGGATGTAACGAAATATTGGTTATGACAAAGTAAATAAAAAATAGTCTTGCAGTAGACATAGTGTTAGGAATAAACCTTTATAGTGAATGTCTGCATATAATGAACTTATTTTCATTTAAAATGCAACTTTGTTATAACAAGGTTAGTGTGTGGTTAACTGTGTGTCCCTGTGAAGCTTCTGCACTTGCTGCATTGCCATTTCGTGGCATGTCGTAGTTTGCGTACACTGCAGTAATATTGTTACGAGAAGGAGACTGACTCAGAGGGGTAGTCACCGATGTATTTACAGCCGGTTAGGCGAGCAGCACCAGCCACACAGATTAGCTCGCGCCAGTCTATCTGCTTTGTCTTCTTCAACTCCATGTACTCGCACGTAGCATGACCCCCGGCGGCGGAGGCACCGTCCCGGTGCTTTAAAGTTCGTTATCTGATGCATTCTTGTAGGGCTTGATCCGCGAGACGTGTACAATGTTACTGAGCCGCATAGTAGATGGTGATGGCCAGATGGGGCTGATCTCGTAGGTGACCGGTGTTACTTGACACAATATACGGTAGGGTCCCGTGTAATGAGACAGAAGTTTTTCGGATAGGCCCAGCGGACGATGAGAGGACCAGAGTAAAACGAGGGTACCAGGAGCGAAATGTACGTCTCTATGTTCCGCAGCGTACCGACGGCATTGGTTGGTTTGCGACGCCATCAGCCGAGCGCGAGCGAGCTGACGGGCATGATCGGCTCGTGCAATCGTGTCGCGGGCATACTCGCTGGTGGACGAGGTGTGAACTGAGATGACTGTGTCCAGTGGTAAAGTCGGCTCTCTTCCGTACAATAAGTAGAACGGCGAAAAGCCCGCTGTGTCATGACGGGATGAATTATACGCGAAAGTTGCGTAGGGTAAGGCAAGGTCCCAGTCTCGGTGGTCGGGCGACACGTACATAGCGAGCATATTTGTTAAAGTGCGGTTAAATCGTTTCGTGAGGCCGTTTGTTTGAGGGTGGTAAGCGGTTGTCAGTGTGTGTTGCGTGGAACAAGAGCGCAGAATGTCGGCGATGACTTGGGATAAAAATGTAAGGCCACGGTCTGTGAGAAGCTGTCTCGGAGCATCGTGAATCAATATAACGTCCCGTAACAAGAAGTCAGCGACGTCGGTTACACAGCTGGTCGGTAGAGCTCGTGTAATAGGGTAGCGTGTAGCGTAGTCTGTAATAACGGCTATTCATTTGTTTCCCAATGTTGATGTGGGAAAAGGACCAAGCAGGTCTAACCCAACATGGTAAAATGGTTCCGCGGGTATGTCAATTGTTTGAAGTTGGCCAGCGGGTAGCAGCGACGATGTTTTGTTGGCATAGGTCACACGTGGCGACGTATCGGCGTACCGAACGAGCAAGGCCTGGCCAGAAAAAACGGCGCCGGACGCGATCGTACGTGAGGGATACGCCAAGGTGTCCAGCAGGAAAACTCTTGCAGGCGCAAAGCCCAGCGACCAAGGCGACCTGATGGATCTTTCAGAGAGTTGAGCCAGCAGAGTGCGTGGTGGTCGGTAACTACCGAAAATGGGCGTCCGTATAGATAAGGTAGAAATTTCGCCACCGCCCATATAAGAGCCAAGCACTCACACTCTGTTATCGAATAGCTACGTTCAGGGGCGGATAGGAGGCGGCTGGCATATGCAATAACGCTATCATGGCCATGTCGTTTCTGAGCCAGCACTGCACCAATGCCATGCCCACTTGCATCTGTACGGATTTCCGTAGGGGCAGCAGGGTTGAAGTGTGCCAGAATCGGAGGGGTAGTGAGAAGAGCGACGAGAGTCGAGAACGCAGAGGCCGCTTCGGAGCCCCATGAAAACGGGACTTCTTTCTTGAGGAGCTGCGTAAGCGGTCTCGCTATGTGCGCAAAATTTTTCACGAAGCGTCGGAAGTAGGAGCATAGTCCGATAAAGCTGCGTACATCTTTCGCAGATCGTGGTACAGGAAAGTTTTTGACGGCGCTGATTTTTGCCGGGTCTGGTTGTACACCGTTGGCGTCTACTAAATGGCCAAGCACTGTGATTTGATGGCGTCCAAAGTGACATTTGGACGAGTTGAGCTGCAGGCCAGCGTGACGAAAGATTCCCAGGATGGCTGAGAGACGCTCTATATGAGTTTCAAATGTTGGTAAAAAGACGATGACGTCGTCCAAGTAGCACGAACAGGTGAACCATTTGAATCCTCTGAGCAGGGAGTCCATCATTCGTTCGAAGGTGGCTGGAGCGTTACAAAGGCCGAAGGGCATGACCTTGAACTGATATAGGCCATCGGGGGTGATGAATACCGTCTTTTCATGGTCCATTTCATCTACCTCTATCTGCCAGTAGCCGGAACAAAGGTCTATGGAGGAAAAATAGTGGGACCCATAGAGGCAATCAAGCGCATCATCTATTCGTGGCAGAGGGTAGACGTCTTTTTTGGTAATTTTTTTTAGGTGTCGATAATCCACGCAGAAACGCCATGCACCGTCTTTCTTGCGGACTAGCACTACAGGAGAAGCCCAAGGACTGCAGGATGGCTCAATGATGTCCTTGGCGAGCATTTTGTCGACCTCACTTTGGATGATGTGACGCTCGGCCGCCGACACCCGATATGGACGCCTATGAATAGGATGCTCATTACCAGTGTTTATGCGGTGGCTCATACCGGTAGCTTTCCCCAACGGACGGCCGCTGATGTCAAAAACGTGGATGTAGGACAGCAGAACCCAGTGGAGCTCATCAGTCTGCTGCGGCGTTAAGTTGGAAGCGATCATCGAAGTAATAGCGCTGTCGGAGCAAGTGGCAGGTTGATGTTGAGCGTGGGGGTCAGAAGGAGCGGCCATCGCGAAAACATCTACCGCATTGTCTTCTAATGTGCAGAGCAACGCCAAAGAGATCCCTTGTTGCAGAACTTGAGGTGTCAAGCTAAAGTTGACAACTGGGAGGCACGTAGAATTTCCTACGATGGACAGAATGGTGTGCGGTAATGTAATGCCACGGCTTATGAGGACATCGGTGATAGGGGTCAGAACATAGTCACCGTCGGGAACTGGTGCTATTGAGACGAGGTCAGTGTCTGTGGAGGGAGGTGCGCGTGTCCCGTTGTGCAGAGGCGACTCGGCCGTTGTGCAAGAGGTTCTCTTGCGGGCAAGTGTAGACGGAGCGTACTGGTCGAACAGTCTATGGGGGCAGAATGAGTGGACAAGAAGTCGAGGCCTAAGATTACGTCGGGGGGGCATTTATCAAGGACGGTGAAGAGAACAACTGTGTGTCGATCTGCAATGCTCACACGAGCGAAGCACATTCCAACGATAGATGCTATTCCACCATCTGCAACACGGACGAACTGAGTGGTCGCAGGTGTGAGAACCTTGTTGAGCTTGCGGCGAAAATCACTCGTCATCACGGAAAGTTGGGCACCAGTGTCGACAAGAGCAGTGACATGTACGCCGTCTACTTGTACGTCTATGAGGTTCCGTTTTGTCGGTATCGTCAAAAGAGGGTTTTCGGTCAGTCTGAGCGATGCAGCGCCACCTCCGGGGGCTGCAACGCTTAGTTTTCCGTCGGGGAACCTCGTGGGAAGGCGGGGGAAGATGGTCGGTGGGGCTGTGGAGAACGAGACTGGCAAGGTTGGGGGTGATGGAGAGCGGGAGCAGCGGTGTTCAGAAGCAGGTTCCTGGGCAAAATGGCCGCGGCTGGTCTCATGGCGATAGGCAGGACGTGCATAGAAGGGACGAGAGGACGGTTGTGCCGGAGGACCCCAGCGACTTCTGCAATGGCGAGAAATGTGGCCGATTCTGTGACACGGGAAGCAGATCGGCTTGTCATCGTGTGTTCGCCATGCGTACGGATTACGGAACGTTGAGGGAGAGCCGGTCGGGAAGGGACGTGCAGGCGTGTGTCGGGGCTGGTAGTCGGTGCGGGGAGGCGGTGAGATAGAGTGGATTCCCAAGCTGGCGATTTTCTGCCGGACGACTGCTTGAATGAGAGGCAACGTAATTGGCAGAGGTCCCACCTTAGCTGGAGCAGCCGCTTCAAGCTCCCGCCTGACGATTTGCGTCAAGTTGTCACAGGTGTCTGGTGGATGATATGTGTTGAGACACGAGGGCGTCGCAGTGGTGTTCGGGAGGCGCTGGAACTGATGGGAAATGCGTCTGCTTTTAGCTTGTTGGAACCGGCGGCATTCTTGAATGATCGCATCAACAGATGACACATTGTTGAATACCAACAAGTTGAACACATCGTCGGCGATACCCTTTAGGATATGCGCAACTTTTTCAGGTTCAGACATATTTTCATCAGCTTGGCGGCATAGTGAAAGGACAGCCTGAATGTAGCCGATGTAGGGCTCCGTGGAAGGTTGTGTGTGAGTCGACAACTCATTTTTCGCAGCTTCACGACGACCAGAGATGTTGCCAAAAAGCTCACGGATCTTTGCCTTGAAGCTGTCCCAGCTTGTTATGTCATGCTCGTGGTTATCAAACCAAACACGAGGGGTTCCGTCGAGATTAAAGACGACGTTTGCGAGCATAAGAGTGGGATCCCACCTGTAAGTGGCGCTGACGCCTTCGTAGAGGCGTAGCCACTGGTCGACGTCGGAACCATCGCTGCCCGAGAACACGCCGGGGTCTTTGAGTGCGGGAAGCGTCACGAAAGTTGTTGGGGGCGCTGGGTTGACAGGTCGGGCAGAAGGGCAGGCGACCGGAGAGGATGTAGCCGAGTCTTGAGTGGTCATGTTGTAAGCCGCGAGGGAGCGTCCGCTTCGGAGTTCCGTGGCGAGGACGGGGATCGCACAACTCCACCAAATATGTTACGGGAAGGAGACTGACTCAGAGGGATAGTCACCGATGTATTTACAGCCGGTTAGGCGAGCAGTGCCAGCCACACAGATTAGCTCGCGCCAGTCTATCTGCTTTGTCTTTTTCAACTCCATGCACTGGCACGTAGCAATATTTCTGGTTACCATACTTGCCTGCTGACCTGAAAAACGTGGGTTCGATTCTGGCCGCGGCAGTCGCATTCCAATAGAAAGTGCACGTTAAAGAACACCGGATGGTTGAAATTTCCAGAGACCTTCACTCTAACATGGCTCATATGCATGTTATAGTTTCGGCATGTGAAACCCTGACAATTACTATCATTGCCATAGTCTGTTACAACACGGAATGAATACACGCCCAGTACTGCAGCACGCCTGTCATTTATTTCTACAAAAGAGCAATGATTCGTGATTTCTGTTCTAGCCAGAAGCACATGTTTGCTGGCAACGCAAATAATAGGCATATCTAAAATTCAAAGTTCGTCGTTCCTAGCTAGAAACGTTATATTTCGCAGAGAAGTAAAGTCGGAATTCTTCATGGAATTAGCCAAGAAGTAAAACATTTCGGTCGAAAACTAGCGGAATGAACGCGAGTTCGTACGGGCAAGTGATATGTCTGAAGTCCGTGAAATCTGCATGACGTCGCATAAATAACCGATTGCGATTCAGTAAGCCGTTTAGGCGAATTCAGCCTGGGTGGGACTGTGATCGCAGTGGGCGGAGCTTCCATTTATTCTTAGGCTGTAACCGACTGCAGTAACAAACGTCGTGTGTATTGCAGATTTCGGAGTCGCGGGCATGCTGACACTCAACCTGGTGAGCGGCATGATCACCACCGTGGTCTTCACCATGATGATGAGCATGTCGCAGACCCTGCCCAGGGGCCTCCGGTCCACCCACTTCTCCTTCCTGTGCACCGTCGAAGTGGTCGGCAAACTGGCCGCCTCCATTTTGGTCGGCCCGTGCATCGACGTGGTGGGCAAGACGCCCACATACTTTGTCATGACGGCACTCGCTGTAGCCAGCATCGCCACCATCAGGCTTCTCAAGTGATGAACGCTCACTGAACGAGGGCCGTTTGATTCTTGGAATTACTGAAAGTGATGGAGGGGAGGGGTGTGTGTGTGGGTTGCGTATTTTAGATTTTAACAGTTGCACTTGTCCAAATGAATCCAACAGACAACACAAGAAAAGTATAAGGGGCAGTAATTGTCTTTGACTTTAGCTTAGTAATGATGACATAAGGGGCGCAGCTCCTTAAAGCGGCACCCGTTCGTTCATCGATGTAGTCCTAGTCGCAGTCGTAGTGTGTAACCAGTATACTTACCTGTTTGTGAGCTCTGCCAGAGCCGCAAAGAGCCTTCTTCTCTACCAGCCGGATACCCTTTAAACCGATCGAGGTTTCCACTCAACCTTTTCGGGGCGAAGCTCCCCAAAGCAGCACCCGTTCGTTCTTCGTAGTAGTCATAAATTGAAACATTTACGAAAAATAACCCGTTTTGTTGGCGGGATTTGAACTCCCCAACTTCGAATTACGCATCTGGATTCAGATCCCACTCAAGGAAAGAGTTATTTTTTGTGCACTTTTAAATAATTTAGTTTACATCGTCATTACTATACTACAGCTGAAAGGAATTATTAGTGTCACGATGCTTTCCTTGGCCAAACTGTTTGCTGGGTGCATTTGGTCGTGTCCAACCAAGATTGAGCCCCTTGGGAAAAGTTCCCCGTTAACTGTTTGACTTGTTACAGTAGTAGTAGTGTACATGCCAAGAGTAATGGAAAAAGTGAAGATAGCCTGAAAACTATCAAAGTGGCCGTTTTCACCAAAATGCACGAGTAAATTAAGTTTTCTTTTTGTTACAATGAACTTCTTCGCAAAAAGTAGTTGATGTATTTTTCTAGGGGGCGGCACTCTTTCAGTGCAGATAACGTGTTGCCTTTCGCTGATAAGTGTTACTATACTTCGGGTACAAGATTTTCTTCAATAATTTTGACGTACTTTCATAGAAACTGCGTCCTGTTACATCAGTACTTTATGAGTGATAAAATTCTCTTTAATATTAAAGTGTTAAATATCTTATTGCAATATGAACAGTTGGCAAGTTTCCTGGGCACAACTGTGCAATCACCGAGTTCGGCAGGAAGATACAATGTTCATTGTGTTTAATACGAAATCAACTGCCAGCACTTTTTAAAGGTATTGTACTGAGCGATTTACCTTTTGAGGCAAAATACGCGTATGTTGTTGCAGTGTTGAGAGTGATCACCTTATTTTAACGTTCGCCCATAACTAGGTATGCGTTCCATAATCTAACATTGTTGATGCTGGCTGTTAAAATTTTAAGTTTTTTTTTATTTTAAAGGACATTGCCATGTAGTATTGATTCAGATCACTTGCACTTATGTGAAGTTAGTCTGAAGGTTAGTCTACAAAAACTTTCTGATGGACTGTTTTTGTTAGTGTTGCCAGTGCGTCTTGCGGATTGTGTTTACAGTATACGTAGGAAGATATGAGCATATCGACAATAAGGTTGCCATGCGGAAAGTTTTTGTGCAGTCATGAAAAATTATCATGACGGTTGTTTAGATCTTGCACTGTATTCAAGTGAGAACTCTTTTAAAAAATTGTGATCTGGTGCCACCAAAGTGTCCTTTCGCGTGGTCATTCACAAGTGAATGAACTGCTTTATATGTCCGTACGTTATTGTGGCAACTTTCCGTGGTCATTGACAATCTGTTCAACACTTGTAGTACAAAAAATTTTTCAGAAGCACACGTACATATTTCTTTCTCGAATAAAGTTATGTATAAAATTAAATAGAATTGTTAAAGTAGACAAAGAAAAAAGATGTGCAGTAGGTGAATAACGAGTTTACTCGATTTACATGTTGAGATGTACAGGTTCAGTCTTTAATTGAAGAGTTAACTCGCATTACATTCAGTGAAATCACTGGGTGTAAATGGTTTTAACGTGGCGAATAGCTTAACCTTCTCGCTTATCTTTCACAAAGCAATTCTTCACAGGTGATGACGGCATGCTTAATTAAAAAAGTATGAAATGTAATCCCATTTGAGGCCACAGTCTTTAGCAATTCGTATTTTGTGCACCCATGGCTGCCCTCCAAATTACATTATCATGGTGTTGTGTGCCAATCTGAGAGATGTCGTCGATTTCCAATCGCATTTAGTTCGTTGCCATGGCTACTCCCTACAGATTCAATTTTGTTTGATGATGGCCTGAAAACAATGTCCATGTGCAGTGCTCAAGTTTTTTTCAATGTGCCCTAACTGCACACTGTGCATTTGTAGTTTTGTATCTGTGTTCTCCAGTAGCTTAAGCTGCAGGTTGTTGTACTGTCTAGGGAATGCAGATGTGAAAACTGTGGCATGTCAAATGATTGGAACGCTGGTTTTACTCTGCATGGTCTGTGAGTCTTATGAAACACTCTGCTCTTCTTCACTGCATACGAGTTTAAATGTGATTTCTAAGGGGACCATCAATCTATGTTTAATGTCAATTCTTAATAATTAAGTGATTCAGCATGTAGTTTGACGGCCGTCACGTGACATTTAAAGTATTTACACTAGTATCAACATTTTTGACAGTACAGAGTCATTGCATGCAGTGTTACACGACATTCTGTCGTGATTTAAAATATTAGTTTGACTTTTACTCCTAACGTCTGATTTTGATACTATCAAAATGTACCACACACATTTCCTTTTACTGGCGAGTTTGAGACACATCTTGGTTGCTGAGGCCTTTAAAACTTTCAAAAAGTAGTGGTTCTGGTTATCAACAGAGTTCCGAGAAATTTTGAAAGTTCTAGGAAGATCCTGTTATGAGTGCTGTGGTAAAGGGATGTACGTATGGGAATTGATGGAACAGTAATGCACTACAGTTTTAGTTAATGTCGGCCATGCTTGTTGAGGCAGCTCTTGTATAAAACCTGCTATGTTTATTTGCGAAAAATTGCATTTTCCCAGCAGCTATTTTGCAAACTTCTTTTTGCCCGAGCGTGTATAGAAATTATCTGGCTGAGGAGGAGTGGAATGAATAGCGACAGTCTTGTTGAAATCGGCCAGCTCATCAAGTCCCATTGCATACATGAACCACATTAAACCCCCTTCCTTCTATTTTTTAGCCGCTACATTTATACAAGGCCGTGGGTCAAAAATAGTGCTTTCTGAAAATGGCTTCTTTGTGATGCCGGCAACCAGTGTGCAATAATCCAGAGCTCTTTTGAACTGATGTTGAAGATAGAACTTTGAGATTATTTTCGAAAGAGATTCAGTGCTGTTGAGGATCAAATTATATTGATGGTTGTGGTGGCAAAAGCTCACCAAAGCTTTTTCTGTTGTACCAAATGTTATACCTTTTGAAAGTATTTTGTTGTCATTTACAACGGCTGTTTTAGAACACCCGTGGGCATATATCCTATGTAAGATGATGTAACACCGTCCTTTAACTATCACGGTAAATCAACGTCGAATATGTAAACATCACTAAGACACAACTTTGAACAAGTACCATTAGCCAGTGATTGTTTACATTGTGCTGCCTAATGAAATCATTCCAGTCTCTGTGGCAGCTGAGGGAGCAGCACAGATACCTGCTTGAAATTTTTACCTTACACTGTCTACACACCTTGAAGACTAACAGCAGCAAAACTTCTTTGGCTAAACTCGCCATGAGCAAGTAGTGTATAAGGAGCAATCGCGGCAAGGCCTCAGTGCTGGTAATTGTGGCTTTCTCGTTGGGAGACTTCAACCTGCACTTCACTAATTAAGACACGCACGTGCTGGTTGCGACTACGACGGAAGTTCATGCATACCACCAGCTGCCTAAAGTGCTGCTTTATAGGAGGCCACACTAAGGAGCCGGTCCTTTTAGGTTGTGCCGTTAACGAGTCGCTCGCGGAAAGTCCGTCATGGCAGAGTTCTTTCACTTTTGGCATCAGAAGTAGCTAATTCAGTGAGCTTATTGCAATGCTTTCAGCCATCTTTCTGATGTCAAATTTTACTTCAATATTTTAGATCTTTACTACTTGAAACTAAGCTTTCTATGTAGTATATGAGTTTATTGCAGTCGATCTCCAAGGGCGCGCTTACTCATTGACATCTTCTATTTAGATGCATGAAAACTAGTAAACCTAGACCTGAAGGCAAGGAAAGCAAGACCAGGGTTGCTGGCACAGTAAAGCGGGGCACAGTAAAGCACAGTAAAGCGGGGCAAATGTTGTGGGGCAAAAGAAAACACGTGCGCTGCCCTTGAATCCCACCTTCCCGATGCCCTGAATACATCCTAGCTAAACATACCTATTCTTTTACCAAATTTTTTATTGTTATTAAAGGTGCAGTGCACCAAACGTGATCTGTAGTCTTATTCTTTCATCTTGCTGTTCTCATCATTAACAACAAACTTGCTCAGAAAATGACATTCTCTTGAGTCTCTATCTAGTCATGCGTCTGCTATGCCAAAGGCTTAGGAACCTCAGCAGTTGGGACCCACAGGCCAAAGGGACGTGATGTATACCACGCACACGGTCTAGACCGGCTGGTCGGAATCTCAGTGCCTATGATGTTAAAGGGCCTGTCAACAGGCTGCGACGTTTATTTAACACCCCCCAAAGAAGCTCGGCAATTCGTACAGTAGACGGCGGCAATCACGTTTTTCGAATATTGCAGCACTGCGTGCCGTACAGAGACTATACTTCAAAAAACAATCCCCACGCTGCTTTTTTACGCCTGGCAAGTTCTTTCACGTCGATCACACCACGCCAAGTCGCCGATCGGTGACTTGACGTGGCACGCAGCTCGTCGATTGGTCTAAACCAGACACGATGCAAGGCTACGCCTTCCCCTCCCTGTGAGAGAGAAGAATGGTGAGGCTGCGCAGAAATTTGAAACCAATGTTTTAACTCTTGTAACTTCCTTAATACAGCACATATTCGCAAAATTCTTGAGGCAGCATGTTCACAAAGCAAAAGTGAACATATTTCTCTCTATAACAAGTTTTGGATCTCGGGTTGTTTACTGGGCCTTACAGGGGGATGCACTTTTTATGGAGTAATATATTCACATAGGATTCTAAGCCTTGTGTACAGCATTTTCCTGTTCAGAGCAGCGTGCCTTTCAGACAAACCCATACTGTTGCCGGCAGAACAGTAAGATGCACAGAGTGGTGAAAGAAGTAACTGTAATAACTCATAATTGCCATCATTTGCATGAAGATGCAACATAATACCTTAACCATGACATGTGTCCTGACATCACGCCCTTTATGTCATAAAATAACCTCTGTGTGCAAGCTGGTTTCTTGCCAAGAGTATTGTGGGATACCAAGATAATGTGCCTCCAAAAGAGGTACTGCTCACATATTCTGCAATTCACTTAAAATATCCACTACAAAATTACACCATAAAATGTGAAGGATTTTCACACTATATACAAACTTAATTATCAAATCGGTTGGCTTGGTAAACCATCATTATGAAGCCAAAGAAAAAAAAATCGCTTTCTGTATATTGCTTACAAGTGTTTTGTCAGGTTTTCTACTTGTAAAGCTGTGATTATGCTCTTTGTAAATGTGTTCTAGGGGTGCATTAACTGCACTAGTTCGAACAAATTGAGTCTTCATTGATAGAATACTTGTTCTAGATAACTGCTTGCCAGCTGTCGTGTTCTTTTGTAGATGTTTTGGGATATTTTAAAGTCTTTTTCCAAGCATGCATGTATCAAGTCATGTGTTTTAATTTCAGAAATAAAGTTTTGCCCACAGAATTGTTTGTATTATTTCTACGAGTATTTGTAGACGAGCGAATGCATGTGTTTGGCACTAAAAAAACAAACAATTTTAAGGCAAAAAGCTATTGACAATGAAGGTGGCATGCTTTTAAAACTCTTGTAATTAAAGGGCTGGATCTAGATTTTTAGTTTGAACCAACTCTTTGTTGCATTTGCTTTCTGTAAAAATTTCAAAACTGGATGGACAGAAAATCAGGCACACTACAAGTGAGGGAATTAATTTGGACCTTATGAAGTTCCTTATCATGCATCTACTGCATGGTAAATGAACTTTCTTGTTTTTTGTTTTTTTTCCCTAACCTTCCTGGAAATGTGGTTGTCATGGCAACAACTAAGCTCTCGATGTCCAGCTCATAACAGACACCGCTAGTTGCTTCAGAGCAAGTTCGCTTGCAGTAACACCAATATAACATATTTAACCCATTCCTAAATTTGTCCACTATAAAGACATTCTACTGTCCGTAGGTACACAAAAGTAAGCTGCTTGGACATTAACACTCTACAGTGCAATAGATTTCTAAACAAAATACAGTTGTGTTAGTAGTTACTTCCCAAAGGTGATTACTGTTGCTTCTTATCTCAGCAGCAGGCATTATCAATAAAGCACCAAAAATGTTGGTCACCTCGAAGTGAAAGTTAGGAACAAAGGCAGCAGAGAAGTTTCATTTTTTTCATTTTCTCCTATTCTGCACTGAACAATATTACAGGCCCTCCTGACAAAACAAAATGGCGGCAGTTGGTACATTTTCCACAGCTTCCTCAGTGGGCACGTTGGCAGTCTTCCTCGGAGACCGGCTGGCAGTGGGGTTGCGTCTACAACGCGGCCGCACCGGAGATGATTTCAATCAGCTCCTTGGTGATGACCGCTTGCCTGGTTCTGTTGAAGGTCAGCGTCAGCTTGTCAATCATCTCTCCCGCATTCTTGGACGCGCTGTCCATGGCGGTCATCCGCGAGCTCTGTTCGCTGCACGCATTCTCCTTCATTGCATAGTAAATGAGGCTGGCCAGTGAGTACTCCTGGTAGCACTGGAGCACGTCGGCGTCTAGACTGTCGTAGAGTGTGTACTTTTCGCTGCCGGTCACGGTCTCCAGGCTGAACACTGGAATGTCGGTCGTCGCGTACGACACCACCGACTTGAAACGGTTGAACATGAGGATTCCCTTGTCGAACTCAGTAGTCGCAGCCCAGGATGGCGTTGGCCACCTGCACGGCATCGTCGAAAGATGGGTGGCTTCTTGCCATAGTCCGAGAAGCTTAGGATGATGTTCTTGCTGTAGAGCCTCTGAAGGATACCGCGTACCTGGATGAGCGATGAAGTGCAAGCATTAAGATTGCTAGACTCTAAGTGCAACTACCTTATCAAGAGGGCGCCACTGCTAGCACATCCAGTTACGTAAGCCTCTGAACGTCGGAAAGTTATGTCAAGCTTTAATGGTTCCAGGGATAAATTTTTGCGTAACATATACACATTTCATGCGCAATAAAAGGAATTAAAAGTGAACGCTTGGCCGTTCTCATAACTATTAACTGCCTCTTTAAAAAATAAAAATAATACCACCTCGTTCAAAGCTGGAAAAGTGCTTCGCACGATAACAGGTTTTGCTGACATGAACTTCCCCGGCTTTTATGAGGGAAAATGCAACATCGTCCACTTTTTCTTCACGATAGCACTAATCAGGGGAGGCCTGATAAACTTAAGCTGCTTCGTTTACCGGTTAGTCAAACTATGCGCAGCAAATTGGTTACGAGACTCGCAGCATTTCCAAGTTTGCGAGATTTGCACGTCACACGCGAGTGCGCGTCGTCACCAACTACTTTTGAGACAGCCAAACTGTGGGCACAGCAAACTTACTTAACCATAGAGAAGCATACTTACGTAAAGAGCGGACACTGCCGCAGGGCCCTGCGGCCGAGCTACAGCGCCGCTTTCAGTGCAAATAGTGGCTGGTCAGACCGATAATGTCTTCAGCACAGATAAAACGAGAAAAAAGTTTTCTTTCCGATGCTGGAATTTGAGCCTGTACCCTCATGCTCCTAAAGCGAGTGTCTTTACCACTAGGCTGATTGATTTGTGGGGTTTAACGTCCCAAAACCACTATATGATTATGAGAGACGCCGTAGTGGAGGCTGCACACCCATGCTTGCACAAAAGGAATACATGTACAGTACATCTAAATCACATGAGTGTGTACCTTTGGTGCAAAACAAATGCAGAAAGACAACACTTTCTAGTCAAACTTTACTGTTACTGTTTTTTTTTTTTTTTGTGGTAGCGCGTTAAACGTCCTTTGCGGGACACGATGTAGAGCCGACATGGAGAATTGCACAAATCAATACAAATTTTTTCATTGAAGAATTTCGATGCCAAACTTCGGTCTTCGTGACCCTCCTGAGGCTGCTCTATATGAGTTGACTAACGAGTAGAAGCGAGCATGCATGCGTACACCATCTAGCGGTTGTTCAGACCCTTCCCTGCTCGGCCGCGAAAAGGCTCAAGTTGCCACTTTTTGCGAGAGTACATTTCGCTATGTCTTAACTATAAACCAGCAATACCATCCTCCCAAAGTGAGCCGACATTCACGTAAACGTGCCGCACTGCAACGCCCTCAGTATGAAGGATATCGCCAGTTTGATTAAAAAAAAAGGGGGATACTGTTGGTCTCCGGGCAGGCAATTATGAGCAACGAAAGTAGTACGAGCTTTGCAAACCTTATCGCCGACGCAGATGATGCGAGCGTCCTCAAGAAGTTGGGGATCCTCCTGCATCATGGTTCGGATGCGTTTCGCGACGCTGGAATGGATGGCGCCGCAGAGGCCTCGGTCCGAAGAGATGGCAATAATCAGCGTCTTCTGCTTTCCTTCGGGCGGCTTGATGTCGGCCACCTCGTAGAAGGCCTGCGCGCCTTCGCCGTACGGTCGCGCCTGCTTGAGGTCACGCTCGGCACGGGCGTACTTTGCGGCGGACACCATCTTCATACTCTGCGTGATCTTCTGGATGTTCTTGACGGACTTCAGGCGGACCCGGATGTCTTTCAGTGTGGCCATGTTGCGGGTCTGGAGGCAGACCGGCGCGAAAGCGCCCACTCTTTGCAGCGCCGAGAACATGTCGAGTACGCACGGGGAAAATCTCTTACTCGCCGGACAAAATGTCGACCTCCACCTTGCTCTCGCCGCCGGAAGTAAAAAAGAGAAAGTACCCGTCGCCGGAAGCACGTGACTGAAACCTAAGTTTTTCAATCTTTCGGTTTAATGCCTGTCTCAGAGACGTCAAAAAGTGCTACGTGTAGAGGACGCTACAGTCCCACAGGAGTAGCTCTACTTCGAGCATAAAAGTATCGTTAAGTTTTATTCAAAAGTGAAGTACAAACGTTCATTTCTAAACAAATTTAACCAAAATTTACGTGTCATAAACAACTCAACAATAACCATGTAAAAGCAAAAGCTATTTTTGTGGTATCAAAACTGTAACGCTGCGTAGCGCCGGTAAAATAAAAAAAACCTGCCGCATATTTGGGATAAATAAGGCAGGCATTAAAAATGTTCAAGTGGTTATGCACAATTTTAAACTAAAACTCAAAAAATCTCACAAAAAACAAATTTTGACTTACTGCAACAATTTTTATAGGTACATAAACCTGAATTTTTTAAGTAAACTCAATATAACTTTGTTGTAATTGTGTTTCGGTTTCAGTTTCACTTCAGCCTTTAGGGGTGTGGTATTGTAGCTGGTACTCAATTAGAAATAAGTTAATGACACACTACCGTTGCTTAGAGACACTTCCAAGTTTGAAACAGTACCTCGCTTTATAGATATAGGGCTAGATTGTGACGCAGGAAAAATACACCGATGAAAAAATACCACGGCGCATCGCATGGCCACGTAGTCTTTCCACAGAACACGTCTTTCTTTGTGCGTGGCTTTTGCGTGCGTCACACCTTTTCACGACGTACCACTACCAACAAGCCCATTCTTATATCAAATGAGGAGCTACCTTTCCTCGTCGACCTTCCCAGGTTGTCGGCTAGGCTAATCGGTTTCTCGACACTCCGCGTTCTCACTTCACTGTCTTCTCCCCACAACATACGCTACCACCACCGCATTATATGGCAAGGTAATGCCATTGAGGGAACCTAAGTTACAGCTGAAGCGAACACAGAGTGGTGTACACAGTCAGTAGCTATATTGGCTGATATACATATCCTAGACACAGGCGCATTTTAATGATGGCACATGATAAATTACGCCAATTTTCACAAGTTCCCTACAATTTGGCTACCAGTCATGGCACCATTGGACTTATTCTTGATCAGTGGCCCAGAAAATGTCTTACAGAAATTGTCCCGAGCGGTTCCTAATTTTCATAGTTCTGTGCTGTATTATTCTGAATTCACCGTCATGCCAAACAGTTTTGATCATATTGCTTGCTTCGGTTACGTACATCTAACATCAGTTCCCATTAGGAAATTTTCGAATAGGTGCCCCATAAGTTTGGGGCCCCAAAGTTGATCGCGTGTGGTCGCTTTGGGTCAAGCAGCAGCTAAGGAGTTTTTGAATAGGGTCTGCAGTGCTTTGGACACTCCCCCTATTCTAGGCAAGCTGTTCCTTCAGCGAAGAACGTCACGTTTGTTAAAGCTTTTGGGGCAGGCTTCGGGACTCCCCCTCTGTTTGGGTCTCGTGCAGGTGCAGCGGTTTCGACGCTACCTTTTTTGGAGCCCCAAAGTGATTGAAACCCCTATTCGAAAACTCCCTGTTATTTCTTTCTAGGCGTCCCACGCCACCTTATTACGCATCACACTGTTGTGTATGCGCCCCCTCCTCCTCTTGCTGGCACAGTGGGAATGGTGTAGCATGAAAATTGTGGTTACTTGGCATATTTATTAAGTTTTCATTTGCACACAGCTACAAATGACAAAAGATAAGAGCCTTACATGTTCTGACACAAATTGGGGTAGTGTATGAAATCTCTAGTAAAATGTTTGTATTCTACAATCCGTATTCTATTGTTCGAGAATATACAGCTGTACAGTAAAAAGGTGGAGAAAATTACTTTCGAAAATTAAGCGTCGGCTTCACTTTTGTTTTATTCATGACTGCGTGTTTTCACATATCTTCCTGAAGATGAGCTGTCAGTCCACAACTTAGTCCTGTAAAATACGTGCACTTGTTCAGTAGAACAAGGGGTTGTGTGTAACCCAGTGGGCCTTTGGTTGATTGATAGCCTTGGGATGGGAGGTGAAAAGGGACTTGAATGCCTCGCTCGTGTTTGGGTCCTTAGCAATGCTGTATCCCTGGCGTGCTTTTTCTGGAAGAATCATTTTCGTAGCAGCACCGACTTCAGATTTTGTGGCACAGCTTGTAGATGCACCACCTGAAATGAACACAGAGAACAGCTAGGAACATACAATGTGAGAAAGCAAATTGGCTGTACTCTGTCCTGCTAACGACACATGGTACACAGGCCTATGACTGCTCTCTGTGCAACGACTTGAGTGTACACTCGCAGAAGGATGCAAAAGCACACGACCAGGTGTGACGTGCTAGCTTCTTCAGGAATATGTTCCTTGCTCTTGACATTGATAGAAAGGCTAGCACAAGTACTTGCCTCGAAACCATGGATTCTAGCATGAAATGAAGACTTAAGTACAATAATACCATGATAACCACTTGACTTTAGGAAATCCATTCTATACGAGGGCTAATAGTGTCAGCTGTACTGTTTATCAATGTATTGAACTAGCGTAAAAGGAAATGTGCAAAATAAATAGCAAAGCACATCCTCTACTGTTATATCAAGCATTGAACAAGCGTAAAAGGAAATGTACAAAAGAAATAGCAAAGCATATTTTGCATTTTGCTCGACACCTTTATAGGTAACTATGTTGCGTACTTAGAACACACAGACGTGGCAGACATGGGCGAGCGTCTGCCATGACCTTGTGTTCAAAGTGCACGACAATAGTTAGATATGTGGGGTTTAACGTCCCAAAACCACCATATGATTATGAGAGACGCCGTAGCGGAGGGCTCCGGAAATTTCGACTAGCTGGGGTTCTTTAACGTGCACCCAAATCTGAGCACACGGGCCTACAACATTTCCACCTCCATCGGAAATGCAGCCGCCGCAGCCTGGATTCGATCCCGCGACCTGCGGGTCAGCAGCCGAGTACCTTAGCCACTAGACCACCGCAGCGGGGCTGCACGACAATAGTTAGCTACCACCACAGATGAACCGACTCAACTAGCAGCAAGTTTTATCAGCACCTTGAGCTTGTTATCAAAGGAGTGCCGTAGAAAAGGACAAGCTGTAGTGTCAGTTAGACCATGTCAGGACTCAGTTTTGCAGAATTCTGCACCGTACATGTCTACCGATTACAGATTTTCTGACACAGGGGCAAGACGGTGAGCTCACACACCGCACAAGCAATTCTATTACACGAAGATGTTGACGTTAATGTGAGCGTTGCTGTTAGGTGTCGAGAATATGAGAGTTGTGCACTATATTAAAATACGAGAATGCAAACAGTCCACACCATTGACAACTGAAGGATTCTTCTCGCCACTTCCATTTTCTGTTTTAACTTCTTCTTTCCATCTTCTACGCCTTCTGTTGCTCGCTTCTTTGATTTCTGAAAATACAAGACATGCGAAGAATTCTTGAGAGCCAAATTAACCGCTTGTACACAATATGGCCAACTGTTCCAACTTTAATCACTTAAGATTAGACCCTTATTTGATAAGCATCTCTTTCAAGAAGAGAGAAGCATAATATTTCCAATGTTAGATAATACAACAGGGTATTTCATTTAGAAGTAGACAAAGATAAAGATGTTATACTGCACTCAAACCTCATAATAACACAGTTGCATCTTACACAAAAATAGGTTTGTTATATCCGAAAGTTCGTCATAATGGTTTATTTCTAACACTATAGCTATTGCAATACTATTTATCATTTATTTCATCATAACCGATATTTCATTACATATGGGTTTGTTATATCGAGGTTAGAGTGTACTTCTAATAACTTAGGTGACCTGCTAAAAGGGTAAGTAACGCACCTTCTCTGCTTTAGCCTTCGCACGTCGCAGCTCCATTCGTGCCGACAATACAGCTATATCATCAGTCCGATCCATTGAGAACAACGATGTCATCTTCCTCAAAGGGAGTGGCACACTGAATGAAAAATCAAAAGAAAACAAGAAAGGCTGTGAACTTCCAGTCCTTTTCAGCATCTGATACAAGCAGAACTCTCCCGATAGTTATATCTAGCAAAGTACAAAATGTCATTTCACACATCAAGAATGCAAAGGTGTGTGTCCGACAACAAGACAGACCTTTGTCTAGGAAGGCACTTGTTCGTTGAAGGGACACTACAGTGAAACAATAAACCGATTCATATCTACTGATTAGGTTGAGAGCTTTAATGTAGTTTATTTCACCATGATAGATTTATCATAACAATACTGATTGTTGGCCTAGTTGGTACTTGCTTACTGACATGCTTTGGCCGCAAAATAACACACACAAAGTAAAGAAACACTAAACGACAAGCACAAGCGGCAGTAGAGGAGAAAATCAAGTACCAAGATTTACTTCTAACTTTCACGCCGAAATGGACACAAAACCAGCTCTGATTTCAATACATGCTTGTTCACATTTTGGCGACAATGGCTAAGCAAAATCTACCTGAAACTAGGTATTTCTAAGTTTAGGACCCCATCAGAGGTCTGTCTATTTTTACTTTCACAGCTTATAAACTACACGTGATCTAGTAGATGCCATCGAAATACATGCAGTCGAGACATTCAGGCACGCGAATTTTAAGATAACATCACCACCTGCCATTTTTTTTCTTGCACATTTTGAAAACGCTTACCAAGCATCATCTCGTGACAAGCTTGGAGATTGTTTAATTGGGAAATACACTCAAACCACGTTATAACAAAGTTCCACATTACACGAAAATGAGTTTGGTATATCCAAAGTTTTGCTATAAAGGTATATTATTAACCCTGTATTTATTGTAAGACTATTGATAATTCGCTTCATTATAACTGATATTTCGTTATATCTAGATTTGTTATATCGAGGTTTGAGCATAACTATTTACTAACATCAGAAACTTTTTTTTTCTTCTTTAGTGTCCCTTTAAAACTGAATTGTTAAACTGTTCTGTTAATGTTTCAAATTCTCCTTTAATTCTGATACTAATGATAAATTTGCAAGTCCTAAGATGCTATCGACAGCGATAACATCTTGTGGCACACTCCAGATAATACCTTGTGGCACACTTCAGATTTCACCTCCTTGAGGGCGCGCTCTGACAGCACACAGCCGCACTGCCGGAGGTAGCAGAACCTGCAAAAACCATTCAGAGGCAGGGTCAGCTTTGCAGCAGTTACACAGCCAAAAAAAGTAAACAGCAAGCTTCAATAATGGCGGGAATGTGCTTGAGAGTTGAGCATCAATTCCTCAGGGTGTTAAAGGATCCTTGACGGTGAAATTTTCATTTGCGACTTTTTTTTCAGTAATTTGTAAGCCTTGCGTCTGGTAATGCCGAAAGTGAACCATGAATGTTCTAGCATGTCGTATAATTAATGCCTGCGCCCATACTTGCGACCAAATCAAACATTATTTGAAAACGACCACCCAGTATTTAAAGAAGCCAGCGCTAAACTGCGGGAGAGTACCAAAAACACCATGCGCTCAAGCTTTGGTGAAGTTGACAGCACAGTTTTCAAATAAGGGCCACACGCGCCATACAGAATGAAACTACGTCGGTGCTTTGGTACAAGATATATTTAGGTCCTAAAACACTGAGCTTCACGAGTTAAGCCAGGCACTAAAACACTGAGAGAAACATTGCATTGCGCTTTTCTTGTTCGTTGGCTAGCTTGCTCACAAAAACAGCATGAAGTCTTTATTTTTCAAGTGCACAAATAATCTATTATAAAATATTTTCATATGGATACGTAAAAATATATGCAGCTCCTCCAGTGTTGATGCAAATAAATAAGCTATTGTTAAAATGCACACCCAAGTGCCCAGAGGCTTGCCCGTCAAGTAAAGCCACTGCCAGCCCTGGAAAAAGCAAAGCCGTTCTCGGCGCCTCACCTGTACTTTCCGTTCATCTCCAGGCCAACCACTGGGCAGATGAACCTGGACGCCCTGAGGTCCACGTACTCATCGCCCCTGTCGGCGTCGCGCCGCTTGTAGCCAGGATTCTCAGTGGGCTTCAGCTCCACTATGTCCTACGAGATAAAGCGATACTGACACGTCGCCCTTCCCATGTGATGTGGAAGTAACAAATGGGATTCAGAGCTCTAGAATGCGGCTCTGCAGAGCTAGATGTTACTCCCGTTACAGCGCTATTTGAGGCGCTGTGATGCAATGTAGAAATTGCACTATTTTTGCCTCCTCCTGTTCTCTCTTTTACATAACTATATGCCACCTCGGATGGCTTAGTGGCAATCAGTCTTGACAGAGCTCACAATAATGAAGGATTTAAGTTGGTTCATGGCGTCTAATGTTCCAAAGACACCCAGGCAGTGAGAGATTCCAAAGATTGACATTTCAGACCAATTTGAGTTACAATAACAGTTTTGTACCCGCACATGGGCCTCCTTGTTATCAGCACAAAAACAGTATATCAATTCAGAAACACAACTATCTTGATCCCTCTGAGTAAATAAGACACACACACACACACAAAAACATAACCATCCTGAAAGATGTGGCATCACCAGCCTTCGTCTTCCACCAGCAAAACATATATGACATTCAGAATTGCAACTCTTGCAGATTATTGAGTCAATTAATGCTCACTTTGTTTACATCAGGCGATACTATTCACTCATAAGTATGCAGGCCGGCGCCAGAAAATTAATGCGAGGTTCGCAACTAGATATGAAAAAGGAGACGTGGTCCGAATCGTGCTTTCAGCTGTCAGGTAAGGCTGTCGCACGACGTAATGTACGAGGAAGGAACGACGCAAGCTGAGACGAAGGCGGGCCACCCGAAAAAATGTTCATACCACAACGGCAGCAACAGAAATATTCCGCGTATCACAGAACTACACAAACCTTCATTGAGCGAATGTGCTTGGCCGCCTCGCAAGACGAGTCCTTGCTCAGAAGGTGTTCGATCACGGCTTCCTTGTTGTAAAGTCTGAAAGAAGCGAATGGCAGTTACTTCACCTGTACATTCGCGACCCAAACGCATAACTTGTCAAAATGGCAGATCACGTGTGATTCACGATACTTGAAATACAAGCACGAAACTCCTCAGGTAGACAAGACGCGCTTGTCCCTGCCTTCTCGCGTAGTTGCACGCTCATATTTCAAATACCAAACGCGCAAACGCATTTGTAACTTGTTACACTAGCGGAGATACACTTTCCACGATACAGTTGGCCAAGGCTGATGTTTACCTGCCGAGCTCACACGATACGATGGGCAGTCTGAGTTCTTCCTGCGTGATGGCGCAGTGTTTCCACTTGGCCACGGCCTCCGCGTCTTTGTCTTTCTGAAATTCAAGAAGAAACCCATTCAGCTCGCGTGAGAAACAGGATCGCCAGTCTAGGACGGTATGCAAGCAAGCGCTGCTTCAAGTGGCGCGACACGCCGATTGCTCACCTGTTCGGGCTTCTGTTTGGTCCTGACCAGCTCGTCGCGACGCGGTATTGTGCCACCGTCACATCCCATGGTGGTTTAACCGTGAAAATCGTGGTACACAGGCCGGTTAAAACTGTCACAACGCCGATTTCCCGATCACCCACAACGCAACGCGAAACACAACAAGAAAGCGGAAGAGCGGAAGTTTGCATGTGGTATGTCACATGACCTAATTTTCGTTGCGTGTTTACATCACACCGCTAACTCCACGGCTAAACGTGGTCATGTTTACTGCTATAATATAAAAATTTGTCAAAATAATAATAAATACTAACAATTGAACGCCAGTTTTGTCTTCTTTGTTCCAAACAAGCTCTACATCATGAGGTCAGGTGACCTAGTTTGATTTGGCTGGCGGTAGAGTTTACGACCATCCACGTGCGCGTAGTTTGCGCACATTCGTGTTGCGACTCCCGATGGAATTCGCGTTTGACGACGATGTATTCGACTCCCCGAGGATCAGGTCCAGCGAGCCTGGAACTTCGTACGACGCTAAGATATGCGAAAGCAAGGTGAGCGTCAGCGCACTGGAGAGCGTTTGACCGCAGCATCCGCATGTCTTAAATGTTCACCGAATAAAAACTAAACCGCCGTATCCTTTCAGTGGTTTCTCACCGCCACCTCTGACAACACCGAGGAGATGATGATGCTGGAAAAGTACAAGGGAGACTATCACTACGCGAGAAATGAATTCGACTCTGCGTTGGCGGTCTACGAACGCTGCTTCGACCTGGCCCCGCATTCCGCTATCTCTGTGATGCGGGACTGCGCCGAAGGAATGGCAAGGTGCTGCTCGAACCTCGGCCTGTACGACAGAGCCTCAAAGTACGCCGAAACGTTGGTACGCGACCCTTTCATCTAGTGCGAGTATCGAAAGGTTGGCCCCTTTAATTGTTCTGGTTTTTGCTCGTCTTTTTTTTTTTTTTTTTCCTGCACGAACAGGAGAAGCTATCGACAAACAGCGATCACAGGGTCGCCCTGTGGATGCTGCAGTCTGAGATATACAACCGGGCGAAAAACACCGCAGGTACGCACTCGCAGTAAATAATAATTGCCGAGGTTTTTGGGTGGCAGATGCACATGAAATGCTGCTAAGAAAAGTTGTTTGGCCCTTTGTTGAAACTGATGGCTCCATCACATTTACTTTCCGGTCGCATTACTGATGAATTGTTGCTTCTAGCCGACAAGAGACTTGGTGTGCCTGTTGACTTCATCGTTAGGCATTTTACATCTATAGTTCGTAATGCCGAATCAGAGAACTAATTCGGGGGATTTTTCTCGTGCATATAGATATGTGGATGTGTGTGTGAATGAGGATGTATTAAGTTGCACCTAATTACATCGTCATAGCTCAGTACAGTGAGAACGTTTGATGGACGAACTCGGTCATTTTTTTGTTCCAGAGGAGAGTGCAGCCCTCTGCAGATGCATATTGGTGCGACCGTGGACGTCCGATCTTTGGTACAGGCTCTCGCTGTGCTACTTAAGCCAGCTTGAAACTCAAGGCGACATTTGTGACCTAACCCTCAAGACGGGAGCTTGCCTACTGAAGACAAGGTAGCCTTCAATACATAGCTTGCATTGACATCACCATGGCCGCCGTCATGGAGACCGCACAAGGTTTGAGATGCTGCGCGAGCCCCATGGAGGAAGGAAAAACTGAGGAGAGGCCCTATCGTATCCCAATGCATTGCGAGAAGTGTGGTGGAAGTGACGTCAAATTTATGGGGCAAACAAAACAGCAGACGCTCCGCGGCGTGCTTCTCAGCGCTGGTTCACTTCTGCGCGGAGTTATAGTCCCGGCGTAAACTTAACGCGTATTGTATGGTTTGCATGCAGCAAAATTTTGCAAGCACACCTTTGCCATACTGCTCGTGCTTGGCAGGCCCGAGCACGGTGTCCTGAAATACTTCGTGGAGTGTTTTCGTGCAACGGCACAGAAGCACCGGTACGTGTCGTAACCAAATTCATTCGGCCCCTGCATCATCGTATTCGAACTCACCCGGCAAAGACTGACACGTCCTGCTCGCCGTAAGGCCTTTTTTTTTTTTTCTCTTAGCCAGATTTCCTGATGTATGGGCCGATCAGCAGTTCTTTGCTCGTATATAGTGGCAGTGTGGCAATGCACGATTTTCAGAGCTTGCTTCGTAGCTATTCCGTGCAATGCCAGCCTAGTAATTGACGTGTTTCCACGTCGGTAAGAAGGCACCACTGTATTGTATACGCGATTGTGCATGTAAAGTGTGCAACTCCAGTGCGCACACAACTAACACGCAGCGAGCACACACCGTACAATACATACACATTTAGTCCGATAACAAGAAAAGATTATTGTCCTTTTGTATGAACAACAAAACTTCTAAAAACATGACACGATGCGTACAAAACTAAAAACGAAAGTTCGCTTGTGTTCTCAGTTGACACAATGAGTAAGAACCAACAGAGCGTACAGCTGAGAGCTCCGCATGCAAATACCATGCATTATTGATCAACAGTGAAGCGAACATACGTGAAAAGTGCCACCAGGTACACCTGGCGGTGCACACGATTCGCACCTACTATACACTACAGCTGGGCAACGCACAAGTTTCCTAAAAAACACGCAAAAAAAGCAGCACTCCTGAGTTGACTCGCTGCTGGCGGAGAACACGACTCCACCGGCGCCGCTTCCAAGGCCGCTGCAGCGGCTGCTCGCTGGAAATTGCGAAGTGTTTATCTGCTTCTCCGCTAGGAGGTACTGCAGGTGTTCACGATGCGGTGGCTTCAGGAATATGACGTCATGGCCTCTTCTGTATTTTTTATTCCTCCATGGCGAGCCCACATGGTGACATTGCACTCAAAGCTCATTATAACAAAGTTGCATCTTGTACGAAAATGAGCTCGTTATAACTGAAAATTCTTTATAGAGGTATATTCCTAACGCTATCTACATTGCAAGACTATTCTTCATTTACTTTGTTATAATTGATATTTCCTTATATCCAGGTTCGTTATATCGACGTTTGAGTGTAGATCAGTGCCGGTGCCCATTTCACTCCTTTACGATCCCCCTTGGCACGGTTCACGAGCAAAAGACAAATGGGGAGAGCACAAAAGAGCGCGGAAACTGAACGACACCGTGTCCTCTGCAATGACACACTGTCACGAGATAAAAAGTGACGCTTGCCGCCACCTTAGGGCCCCCAGCGCAGAAAACCTGTTTGTGACATCAAGTCAAAACTATGTATACCTGTCGCTGGCCTCTCGGTAGCTTTTTACAAGGTGCATGATGATGACTGCAAATGACACATTGAGACACGACAATGCTGTTGATTGCTTGTTGTGTGCTTGCATGAAGCCTACAAGTTTATCAGCAAAAGCAGTTATTATTAGCACCCACATTTCATAACGTACTGATAAATACTTATCGACATGAATACTTATGTAGAACTGTAGACCTGTACGGATAAAAGCTCTGGTTAACTAACTAAAATGCATATGTTCAAGCTTATACACTTCAAAATGCAGAATTGGTAAAAATTGTGCCATTTGTTTTCCATTTCATGTGCCTGGCCGGATATCGAACTGATCGAACTGAAAGTAAAGGCATGGAACGATTGAATAAAGAAAAAAAACAAAGGCACAGAACCAGTGGACGCAGGTTTTTTTGTACCTGTCCAACTTGAGTATTTGATGACTTAGCGCATCTACCTGCATTATAGATCATCGCTCAGTTTTTGGTCATAGTTTACCCACTTTCAGGTTGTTTAGGAAAATGTGCTGCTTCTTGGAGTTTAAATTATTGTGTTAAATTTGTTAGACCAACAGATGTGTGCAATGTGTTGTTCTGAACATTTATAACTAGTGACAGAAAAAATGTGAGGGATTAGGAAGACAAGTCTGCTTTGCAATAGCTAACACACTTTTTGACCATTACATTCTGAGAATACCTGGATGCTTTTTTTACTTCCAGAATGCTGTACCAGGGGGCACTGTCAGGGAATCAATCTTTTGCAAAAGCACGCAACCTCAAGATGATTTCCAAGGTATACAGCTTTTACCCATGACTGCTCTTGCATCTTGCTTGATAAGCCGGATGACATTGACAATTTTATCGCAGGTTGAAGATTTGATTGCAGGCCTGAAACTTGCAGAAGACTTCACATCGCAGGCCCTGAATGTGAGTTTGAGTAGCTTGTCAGAGAAAAAAATTAGATTCTATCGCAGGGGTGACGCCAGAATTTTTTCGGTGGGGGAACCAACGACAGGAGAGTTTCTTCAGAGGGGATGGGGGGGCAGGGAGACGTGGCTAGTATGCATTGTGCTTTTAATATGTTTGCTTACAGGGGCGCAAAGGTGGACAGGCGAAAATTTTAGGGGGAGCTCAGTCCCCCATGCCCCCCCCCCCATTTAAATTTTAGATAGACTGCAATGACTGCAGTGTGACAAGTCTTTGTCTAAACTGTTATCAGACATGTTTTATTGTGAAACTCACCATGCTGATGCTGTAGAAGCTGCCACTATATTTTTAGGGGGTACAAATGATGGTGGTCGTAGCCAGGGGCTGTCATACCTGCACATGCCCCCCCCCCCCCCCCCAAATTTTTTTTGCCATAATACAGAGAGCGCAAAACAGCCATTTTAAGGGGGTGCCCCCACAAAATACTGGCTATGTACCTGGTCGTAGAGGTTTCAATTTTCCACTGCGTTTTCGCCAATCCTTCAAGTTTCACAGCTAAACAGATATAAAGGCAATTTTTAAAGCATTCCACTCAAGATGTGTATAGGAGCCCCAAATGAAAACGACTGGCTAGACTTGTAATAGAGCTGGTTGCGGTGTCTGAGCAAGAGTTTTCTGGTATTTAGGCTTAGAGAAGTCGTGGCGAAAATGTATGCGAACTTGCACTTAGCTGGATAGATGTAGCAGGTGTGTAGAACCTACTTGTGCTTTGCGTTGAAGCTAGTCTAGATGCAAAGGGTGTTGTGGCGAAATGTGTCTTGTTGATCAAAGGCGAACTATTGTTGTAGTACCCTGAATTAAGTTCACCAATATTCTCCATTGTGACCTCACAAGACGTGAATACTGTGTTAGGATTTGATCCTGTCAATGAGATATGGATCTGCTTAAATATTCAGAGTGCAAGCCCTCAACAAGCTTTTGCCACTTTGATATGGCAATAGTTTCAAAGCCGATCTGTTTCCTCTTCTTGGGTGCAAACCAAGTTTTTTTTTTTTTTTTTCAATCGGTCGTTTAGGAATTTGAGAAGGACACAGACACTGCAAATGGGGCTGAAGTTGACGAGGAAGAGGAGTCGCTCAGGTTATTGGTAAGGATTTCATGAAACTCTCGAAATTCCTTCGTTGCCTCCATGAAATTCTGCACAGAACCAGTGCCAAATTTAATGCTGCACAGGTTATGTGCTGCATGAAGCGAAACCAGTGACTTGACCTCAAGATCAACACTAAATTGAACAAGTTATGAACAGTTGAAACATCTACTAGCATTTTTTCACAGTTAGGTTGGAGAACTTATTCATGATCATCAGCAGGACACTTCATCAAATCAGTCACCACTGTTAAGTTGCCCACACATGCAATGTGCTGTAGGCAAGGGTGGCTAAAAATAGCAACTTGCAGAAATTTGCATATTGTCCTTGTATTAAATTACACTCTTTACTCTGAGTGCCTTTATCATTATCAATCTGCCAGTGATCTGAAGGGACCTGTGATATTGGCTTAATTTATTTGTACAGAATTGCAAAAACCATTTCAGGCACTCCTTAATTAATTTAGGTATGACCTATTAAAAACCATTACATTGATCTAAAATATGCCAGGAGTTTTGAAAACTCAGTAATGATGGATAGGGTTTAACGTCCCAAAACCACGATATGATGAGAGACGTTGTTGTGGAGGGCCCCGGAAATTTCGACCACCTAGAGTTCTTTAACAAGCACCTATATATGAGTACATGGGTCTCAAGCATTTTCGCTGCCATTGAAAATGCGGCTGCTGCAGCCGGGACTTAAAGGCCAACTGCAACAAAATTTGGCACTCCGCAAAAAGTCATAATATAGGTAGTCTAGCTGAAGGTAGTGCTGCCTGCCAAATGTCACCTTCGAAATACAAGCACTTACCTTAAAGTAAAAAAAAAAGCTTGCAAACGACGGTGTTTTTGAGACTGAAACTAGAAAAAAACGACACGATTACGGCTGAGGAGAAGTGACGTGAATGACAGAAAAATTGTCTGCTCTGCGCTCCTTGAGCATGCACATTGCGGACGCACCCCTTAGTGTGTGTGTTTTTGCTATGTTAACTTAAGAAGCTGCTGTGAACAATTCCTGTTATCGAACGCTGGTTCGGGCTTCCCACTGGTGGTTTTGCAGTGTCCGACCCCCGTATTCAGAAATGCTGCTTGACTTGAACTTGACTTGCGGTCGACTTCAGTGCAACATGAACTCGTTTCGAACGGGCTGTCCTTAGGCGGTACCAAGGCAGCACAAACGCACAGGCGCGTTTTCAACGTGCTGCATTAAAACCGCTTTCATTGCAGGACAGAGCGATTCAGCTGCAGGGAGGATTGCTCACAAGGAGCGACATGGCGTTGTTGTGTAGTAATCGTCATATCCGGTTCTGTTCGATTTGCCTGGGCACACCGCTTGAGCTCCGCGTCATCTGCTTGCTGGCAATTAGAGCACCATTTATAAATTAAATACGCGACTGCAAGATTTTTCACTGTCGCAATCATAACTTACCGTGAATATACTATGTATTTATGGCCGTTCGCGCCCAAGTAAAATTTCGTTACAGTTGGCCTTTAATCTTGTGACCTGTCGGTCAGCAGTCAACATATTTTAAAGATATCGCGCGTGAACATTGAAATTAAACATAGTCGATTAGTATTTAAAAAGAAATGGTTCAAAGTGTTCTTATAGTGTGTTTAAAATAATGCGTATAGCGGTGCATATTAGTCATTGATATCATCGAAAAATGCCTTCTATTCCTAAGCCCATTGTGTGGATGGATGATAGAAGGGGGGAAAGTAAGGCTGAATTGTGGTTCAATGACCAGTAAATTACCGATTTGGAGCGCTCCTTCATGACTAAAGTTCTTGCAGCTAACAGATGTCTGCTCGTATTTCAGGGCCTGAAAGCTACAGATGTGATGTCCACGTTTGAGAAGCATTGGTTTTTCTGGATTCCGCGGCACAAGCACGACAGCAAAAGTCTAAGCGAGCAGTAAGTCCAGGCAGAGCAAATCGTCATCTGTACATTAATATCTACCGTTACATCTGTACAAAATAAAGCTGCACACAATTCACGCCTCGCACTCCAACAGTCTCCTCACATCGATTGTTGCAATGTGACGATTGAAGTGGGTGCCGAATGAGAAGCAGTTTCCTCCACCGCCAATAATGAGAATTCTAGAAACCCCATCTGAATCTTCGATAAGCACGCTGCTGTGGCCGAAGGTCATAAAAGGACGCTCCGGATCCTGCCCGGGGAGCGACACTTCCCTGCAAAGCATGGAAACCAGGTCTATGGTTGCGAGACCACAGGGCTCTCCGCTCCTGCCGCTGACACCACCAACCAGCACCACTGTGGTTGAGCTTATGAGGTGTGCGGTATGACCAAACCTGCAACAAACAATGACAACAAGTTGTTAACGTGGGCAAAGGAGCACTGAAACATTATTTTATGAAATATAAAGTGTAGCAAGTGCTTCTTACGCAGGAAAGGACAGCACTTCCAAAGTAGGAATGAAGCGCAAAGTTTCATTCTTGTGTTGTCCTACGTTCCGTGTCTGACAATAGCACAAGGATGCTTGAGATCCTCATATATATGGAAGGAAGTAAACGTATCAGCTGCACCTTCACATTATTTCTCAACGTTATGGGCAGTGCCTAAATAGATATTGGCAGCCAACTATGTAATGTTTTTTTCCACATGTTCTTTCACCTGTTGCACACAATCAAAAATCAGCATGTTCTGAAATTGAGAGTTTGCCACTTGGTATCACTAAAGAAAGCATACTCTTATTTGCTCACAGGCCAAGCAATTCAGGTAGAATGAAAACTTCAGATGGTGTTCTCTTCAAATTGTGCCAATAGTTTTTTTCAGCTCAACACAAATATATGCACTTGAGACGCTTACTGAACTAAAGAACTGGTTCTCTGTTGACAGCTTGCACTCAGACATCATGGGCACACAACATGGCTACAGCATGGTGGCCTTAAACGATGTTCAAGGCACTGACTTCTAACCAGTAAATAACCAGCTTCAGTGTGATAATTACATCACCAGAACGTTATTGGGCTTTTGGCAATGGATAAGGAAAGAACCAGTAATGCAATGTACCGATAAAGCTAACGTGACATCACATAGCCCTTGTCCCACCATGTTGTTGCAATGTCCTGACGAAGCTTATAACATCTGGAGTTTTACGTCCCAGAACCATGGTATGATTATGAGAGACGCTGTTGTGGAGGGCTCTGAAAATTTCGACCATCTGGTGCTGTTTAACGTGCACTGACATCGCACAGTACACGGGCCTCTATCATTTCGTCGCCATCGAAAAGTGACCGCTGCGGCCGGGTTTGAACCCACAACCTTTCGGTCAGCATCCGAGCACCCTGGCCACTGATCCACCGAGGCGCCCGACTGATGAAGCTAACGGGACATCACATAGTGTTCCACCATGTTGGTGCTCCAATGTGGCTGTTTCAGTGATGTCAGTGCAAGCCACCTGTAACGCATTGTGTAGGTGACTGTGATGGAAAATCTAGCGTGCACAGCATTCTGTGCAAGCATGTAAAAGTACATTCCATGAAAAAAACTAGTAGAAGTGCACAGATAAATTACGAGTGGCAAACAGGTCAGCGTATTGGCACTTGAACTAGTATAGCGCATTACGGTGTGAAAATAATCGGCTGAGCAGACCTGACACAAGAGGACAGAGTGCTAACTTCAGACAGACTAACGTTAGTTGGAAGTTAACGCTCTGTCCCTCTTGTGTCGGTCTGCTCGGACATTTCTTCTTTACCGCAATGCGCTATAACAGTTCCAGTACGAGGAAGCAACTGGCCCAATCTTCAACACTTGTGCATTGGCCTTTTGCTTCTTATGTCCATAGCTTTGCACATCCACCTTCCAAGACATGAAAGATACCGTACCTAGGAAGAAGTCCGTCCACAGGAATCTCTTCCCAGGTTAGCGTAGCGAGGTGAAAGCTGTACACGCAGTTCAGAGGTTTCTCTCTGCTCGACAATCCGCATGTGACGATCAAGGAGGAGTTATCGTGCGAAGCAACGGCAGCGTGACTGTGTCGTGGCTCGGGCCACACCAAACCGCCTTGGGGCACTTCGCTCCACGACCCTTCGCCTACGTCTAAGACGTAAGTATCACTCAAAGCGGCTTCGCACGGCGTCCGACCACCAAACAGGACTGTCTTTTCGCGGCCCTCTGAACTTCTCAGTTTTGTCAGGGTGTGCCGCCATCTTGCCGGGGGTGTGTGAACAAACTGAGACCCCTCGGCAACGTACGACCCTTCGGGAGATGGGATCAGGACGACGTCGACGTCACACGACCGAAGAGGTGACGTGCGACCGCCGTTTACCAAAACGCGGCCGTCGTCTAAACATAACACGGCGAAGTGCTGTCTACCCTCTATGCACACACTGATTGGTTCCGACTGAAAGGTCGTTGGGTCCGTCAGGACGGGCTCGAAGACGCGCGAGTGTTTTCCAGAGTTTTCGGCAAAGCCGCCCGCCGTCAGCACTTTGCCGTCCGTCGTCAGTGCAGACGAATGACCAAATCGACGCAAGCTCGAGTACACGCCGTGAAGCGTCCAGTCGACGGGCCCTGAGGTCGAGTACGTGGGCGCACAAGCGTACGAGCTCCGCGCGATGCCTTCAGGAAGAAAGCCCTCGAAGACGCACCCTTTCCTGGACAAGGCGAAAACGTAGTGGGCGCATTTTTCGAGCCACTCCTCGAACTCGTCGAAAGGCTCGAGTTGCTGAAACCGCAGCGCTTCCTTGGCGTCCAGCGACCACAGGTACTCGGCCACGCTAACGCACTCGCACGACTCGTAGCTACGAGCCAAGTACCTGTCCCTGAGAGACGCCACATTCGGGTACTCGCCGAGCGACAGGAGCGGCGAGCCGAGCGACTCGAAGTGCCCCGTCATGACGATCCCGAAGGCGTCGTTCGGCTCGACCTGTTCGTAAACCGCCAGGGCTACGTGTTGGAACGCGCTTGACGTCCACTCGACGATTCTGTCGGAGTGCTTCGTGTCCAGGTACGAAAGCACGCACTCCGCCAACACGAGGGTCGGCACGCTAAAGTCCAGGCCTTCTGCTCGTAACCCGGACTCCAAGCGTTCGATGTCGCGAATGTCCTGACCCAAGAGACGGTACTGCGACAGGGACCCCGAAGTCACCGCCTTGGCCAGCGAACAGAGATCGGTACAACTTTCAATGACGCTCTTCTTGTTTGCGACCACTAACGGGAGGTCCACTTCGAAGTAACGACAATTTACTGGCAACGCGCCGGCCGCTTTCAGCCTGAAGTAGTTGGCGTCGTAGCCGGCACCCAGGGAGAGGACTTGGCAAGTCTCCTTCCCGAAGGCAGAGCAGAAGGCTTCGAAAAGCTGGGACATGCACTTGGCTCGAACGTAGTAGCCTCGGTTGATGAGGGGTGACCTCCGGGCGCTCTTGGCCACAAAACGTTTGGTGAAATGGTCCGTCACGTATCCCCTTGAAGCCATGGAGCACTTGCTAACGATGCTGCTGTCGTTCGTCCTCTGGACGGGACTATGGTTGTGTTTCTTGGTCATTCTCTGGTCTTTTAGAAAGCCTATGGGCGTAAACACAGGCAAAGAACCACGCGCAAGTTTAGGAAGACGTTTAGACGCAGTAGCAACTTCGGCTAAATTTAAAACTCCCTGTAGCTACTGTAACTTTAGTATCTAATGGGCGCCGCCATGTTTAATAGCAGTACCGCATAAAATGGTTTAAAAATTAAATTTTAACAAAGTAAACAAACATTTTAGTTGCAGTTTTCAAATAAAAATTAATATATATATTTAAAAATTACCATCATTAGAGGAAACCTTGAATAAAAAGTGGTTTATATAGAGCACGGGACTAGTTTCGCCTCCTACCATAGCGCAAACGGCGCAAGTGCTAGCTAGTGTGGAGCCGTTTGCGTTGTGCGGGTGCGTTACTTTAATCGCAGTTCTGCCCGTAATCGGTGAGTTTTGCGTCCTTTATCGACGAACACCCCTTTACGCCTTGTCTAGCCCGTGTTGTCCGTGACAGCTTGACGCTTTGGTGACGGTCGCAGTAGCGGTATCTACCGCCGGCGTGTAGGCTTAGGTGGTGGGACACTACTGGTATAACTCTCGTGTAGTTGTCAGCATCTCGTCTCCACCAAAACTGCCCCTTGAACTTGTGGCGCGGTGGTCTTTGACGCACGCTGAACTAACGGATGTTACGAGCGGAGTTCTTTAGTCTTCCGCTTTGTCGCGCGGGTTGTTTGCTAATAGAACAGGTGCAGCGGACCGCACGCCTGTCAAGTCTGGTTTGACCTGCGACGTTTCAGATACCCCACTCGATGCCCTAGAGGCGGAGTGGCCCGCCAAAGTTTTTTTCGCCTTTCTGTGGACTTCGTACGCAGGCGGAATACACCTTCGTCGCCTGTACCGGTACACTTTTCGTGCGGAAACTAATGTTTGGAGTGTTGACACTTGTGGGAAGGGAAAATGCCGTCGCTCGACACCGGCCTATAGCTGCCCTTAACGTCGTTAACTTCCGGTACCTGTCTGTACCGCACTCTGCTGTCAGAAAAAAAAAAAAAAAAGTTGGCGGTCATTTGACAAGGTTGCTTTGTTTCGTTCGTTTCTTTCGGCCTCGGAGGAAGCGTAGGACAGTCGAGGGATTCTGCTGCTCTTGTCAGAAAAAAAAAAAAAAGTGTAGAGGCATTCCTCTGTGCCCGCTTCTCCTGGCTGTGCGCTCTGCCAACGGACCGTTGGAATTCAACACGCTGCTGCTACCTGTGAGAAAAAACGATATTTGGACGCTGCTCGCCGGTGGTTAATCGCGTTGCAGGATGTTCGTCCTCATTACTCGCGCGCGCTTCGTTGCCTCGGCTTCATTTTAAACCGGTGCTTTCCTGTGACGTCACGTCCGGTGGTCTATTCTCTCATGTCGGCACTCGCTTATAGAAGTATATCGTCCCCTTAGTTTTCGCATCAACGCCAGCTCGCGATTGTCCCAGCGGCGCTGCGAAAATCTCCTTCGCGCGCCGTATCATTCACAACGTCGTGTGTAATACGCGATCGCTATATAAGGCGGGTACAAGTCCCGTTGTGCGATCATTTGCATATTCTCGTACGCGTCAGTGATCGTGCGACGACGTCTGCTTGCTTGGCCGCGTGCCCACGAAGTTGCGTTGGCTAGTGGTCTCATTTTTTTTTTACCCTACAGTTGTAACGCCATACGTCTGTGAGTCTTTTTGTTTTGTACCCGGCGCGTAGCAGGCGTTTGATGATTTCTGCTACAGCTCAAGTGTTCCTTACTTGGAGCAGCACTGATCGCAGCTGTCCGATTAAATCCCTAGCCGGCTACAGTTGCGATACGAGGCGGTGTCTACGAAATCGGCGCGTCGTTCCGTGGAAGCGAAGTCGTTAATTCGTTGTGCCTCTGATAATCTCGGGCCGACGCCTTTTATTTTTTTTTTTTTTCAAATGTCCGTGGTGACGGTCTGTCGTAACGCCGTCGACGCGACTGTGGGGCTTGATCGAAAGCGCCGTACTTGTTGCAAACGTCGTCGGGTTGAGGACGCGCGTTAACCGGTCTCCTCGGAGTGCCAGGTGTTCTCCTAGACGGAGCAATTCTGATGACTCACATTTTTTTTTTTTTTTTGCAGTCTACTCGCGCGTTGCGCCGTCGCGTTAGCGTTAAAGGTCGCGGTGGTGATGTAATCTGGAATTTAGACGACTGAAAGAACGAGTCGGCGTATTTTTGGTGGCGTCCTCTGAGCGATCAACTTTTCCTGCAGTTTTCTTTGTATGCCTTTCGTATTTAACATTTCAAACCTACCAGCTTCACAAGTACAACCTCGCATTTCACCGTTCTATCACTCTCACTCAATTTTGTTCGACCGTTTGCTATGCAACAGATCATCAAGCAGAAATAGTCAGCTGTGAAACCCTTGTTGTGTCATTTTGAATAGATTGTACCTTCACAACTTGTGGACGACCGTTGCATTTACAAGCTGTCTGGCACACACGATCATGTTGAGCGGCGATGGCACTTTGTACACTGATAGGGGTGGGGCTGACTGCGCGATAAAGTTGAATCATTATCCTGGCATTATCGCAATTTTTTCCGCTGCCCCTTTATCACATTATTTAGCTTGTCATTTGTGGTCAGTTTTTCGTCGTAATTTTGCCTCTTCCAGTTCGAATGACCACAAAGAGCATTGTGTTGCCGGCACAATGGGTGCACAGATTCATAATTTGTTCTTCTGGCTTTGTTGTGCTGTATGTGTTATCAGGCTATGGCATTGTGCATCGGTTTGCTTCTGGTGAACATTAAACTTGCAAGCGAAAAAAGATCGTGCAGATGACTTGCGATAGATTTTGGTTGCACCCTTAAAGTCAGTCGGAGTACCTCATTTCACAAACTTGAGGGATTGAATTTGTTGTGATCACTGTATCTCTTTGCTTGTGATGTGTATCGTGCTGAGATATCGTGCTTAGATGAACATTTATTTTGTGCTCAGTCTTAGCAAACAATTTCCAGTAATCGACAAGGTCTGCCTGTTGGGATGGGTGAAGGAAACCGGGTTGTCTCAAATGTCTTGTGTAAATGCTTGGAACAGTAGGAATACACAGAGAGCTCTAAGTACTAGCACAGATCAAGTTAGTGGATGTTTAGCACAGCAAACAGCTAAGATGACATAAATTCATCAGTAAGTAAAAAAACTAATCGTGTAGAGTGTCCTCTGTTGGGCGCTATTATACAGTAACAGCCTATGAATCTTTAGAGAGCTCTGTCCACTAAATTTCATTATGTCTACATCTCTGCTTTGCAGCATAGTTACAAAGGTGCTGCTTTTAAAAGTTGAAAGCTTCACCATGAAATGTTCATGACAGGGTTGTGCATGACTGGTTTATGAGTGCATACTTCCAACTTTTTAATTGACATACATCAGTTCTTGTCCCAGATTTCAAGGCACTTTATATTTACGATGGTTCTTGCTAACAATTATTCCATCTTTCTAAATATAACTGTCAATCTTCATCAAGTATAGAAACTAGGCAAGAGCATTCTGAATGTTCGACCTTGTAGCTAGCTTGTGCTCGGGTGGCACTGCTAGCCATGTTGACATTTTTTTCTGATGGGTCGCGGTAACAGTGGCTTTCTTGGCATTGGAGGACGATGCAATAGCTACACCTTTTTCTATTTAACGCCCTTTTAGCGCTATCACATTATCTTGTGTAGGTGTCCCGTGTATCTACACTTTGTTGCTGCTTGGAATACGCTATCGTTTTCATTGAGGCCGGCACCACTTGTCTCGCGAGATGTGGCCTTGCAGATTAGTCAGCGGCGTCAAAATGGGACTACGCCTAATGCATGCATGCTGGGTGGGTGAGGGGAAGCAGGGTGCACTACTTTCGGATCTAGATGGTGTGGGTGTTGACTGTGGGTGCCATCGGCTCGTGTCTTGGGAGGGGGGGGGGGGGGGGGGCGGGTTTCTTTCCGGGTCGCCACAACGATGTCGTGTGGGCGGGGGCGTCTGCTTGTCTCTGCTGTTTGCTTGAGGTTATGTGTCTTTGCCGTGAAACTAAAGACTCAAAACGATTAATGTTTGTCTGGCGTGTGCTTGCTTGCACTTCTCTTGACTGATGGCACGGGTCGCTTTCTCGGCCTACTCTGGCAGTCAAATAACGCTATTGCTCAGTGCTTTGGCCTTTTGGTTCTGATGTCAGTTTTAGTATTAGTGAAGGCATTGAAAGAGTACTGGAATTGCCCCCCCCCTCTCCCCGTTTTTTTTTTAATGAAGATCTATATCCTAGAAAATAATCGGGCAAGCATTGGCAAATGTTCCGTCTGATTGAATTTGGGACCAAAACAAAAGAAAGTCTCGTATTAATGCCGGTGTCTGACGGACACCTTTTATCTATATTAGATTTCTTGATTGCAATCTTTAACGGTCTCTGCTACCTAGGGTCCAAAGTGATCTGGATAGAGCTTGGCGCAAATGTCGGTTCAAACAAGATCTGGGAGCCAGACTGCAGTGGGCAGATCGTGATAGTCTTGATTTCAATTGGGCCCGATTGTGATAAAAAGTGGCCATGTAGTAGCACATGATCTAGTTCAAACCTAATCTGAATGGCTCCTTATCACGATTGATAACACCCATGCTACACCTGTATAAATATAACTCTGTAAAGTGAAGCTTTGGGCTAATTGCTTTTGCATTACTAAGTAAGAACGGTGCGATCTTTACGCAGGGATACATTGTGCCAGTGTTGTTTTTGTGTGCCCCCATGTAAAAATGATGCTGTTCCTATTTCTGCATAGAAATACCTATACGTCATGTAATTGTATCCTATAAGGAATGGGCCACGGCTCCAGATTTTCTAGCATGCTTGCGCATAGCTGCTCAGGTATCTTTAGTCACTGCTGAACTTTTGAGTGGTAAAAGATCAGCCTGGAGTCCCACCGCTCAATAGATTGAACGTGTATTGCCAGCTTGCTCGAGAAATTCTCTAAATGTACAATCGGTCGTGTCTGCTAACTTCACAGGCTTCCGGTAGCTAGACGGAGTCGCCATGGGAGAGCAGGGCCCCCTGTGCGTGAATGTACACGCCACGAATGCCACCACAGAAAACCTGAGTCGCCATGACATGCTAAACTGGGTCAACGACTGCCTCCGCACAAACTACACCAAGATTGAGGAACTCTGTTCAGGTGAGACCTTAACAAAGTGAACTAAATATGCTTTGACTGACGCATGTTTTTAATTTCTCGCTGCAACTCCAATGTGAAGGTGTGTTGTAAGATCGCATGGATTGCAGTGAAATGGCACTTCTGTGTGGCCACGGGCACTTTTGTGTTTGTGCCAGCCCTGTCCTGATCATCTCCAACCTCATTGGCACTGTTTTAAGAGCATTTAACCTTTTGTGTCCACTATGGTGCTCTAGTAGTTGACCACTGTAGAATGACTGACTGTACAACAATTACGATTTTTTACTTTGCAAGTACACTTGATTGCTATAATAGGGCTCTTGTTTATGCTAAGGCTTCCACGTGCCTAAACGTTGGTTTCCAGAACATTGGCATCGAATTATGCAAGTTTCACTTATTTAGACAAGTCCTCGACTGCTGACCTGAAGGTAGCGACATTGAATCCCTCTGGCGGCCACACTTTCAGTACTGGCAAGAATGCTTGTGGCGCGTGTGCTTAGATTTGGGTGCACATTAAAGAACCCCAGGCGGTTTAAATTCATAGTCCTTCACTACGGTGTCTCGGCTGGTTCTTCGGTGGCATCGTTGGTTCTCTGGTGCCTCCAAGTGCAAATTATAACGCGGCAATGGGGGCTAGTCGATACGTCTTCATGCTTGTGATGCGCTGCAGGGTAACGAAAAAAAAAAACAACGCAAGGCGTGCTAGTGCAAGTTTTCGGCCTGTTGTGTCGCAGAAAAAAAGCACTCCAGTCTCTCTTCTACAACTATTAAGCAGATTTGCTCTGTAATTGCCTTTTTTCTTCTTCTTAAATCTTTGCCATGAACATTGTTCTTGGTCATCCGAGGTCATTTAATCAACTTGCTGTATTTTTGTCTTTGCAGGAGCTGCCTACTGTCAGTTTATGGACATGCTCTTTCCCGGTGAGTAGTTGCTTGCATTTCCCGTAGTGCCAAAGCAACAAAATTATCTGAGGCTTGCCTGAAATTGGCACTTAAAATAACTTGTATATAGAAGTGGCAAGTTTTCAACATCATAATTGAGATAAACAATTTTCGCCAGAACAATGAAACTTATGTAGTCAAGTCTTGCTGGCACCGTGGAAGTGGTATTTGTGTCATGCCTCAATTCTTGACGCTTCATTTGATTTTGTTTTGCATTCAGGCTGCGTGACCTTGAAAAAAGTGAAATTCAAGACAAATCTTGAACACGAGTACATCCAGAATTTCAAGCTGCTCCAGGCTTCGTTCAAGAAAGTGGGAGTCGACAAGGTATGCCAACAATGAGCTGTTAACTTGGGTTAACCCTTTGGGACCCAGTGTCTCGTTTGGAGACTTGGCTTAGCTTTGTCATTCTTGTGCACTGTTGGAAAAAGAGTACTTGAACTGGTATAGCGCATTATAGGGGGAAAGAAAAACGGCCGAGCAGACAGACACATGACCAAATTTTATTGGAGATGCCGCGATTACTTGCGAGAAAAGAGGTCATATTATATAGATGGTCTAGTTGTAACCTGACTGCTCCAAAATATGCCTTTTAGAATTTTTCTGGGATACACTAAGAAAATTGAAGCTAGCCTTGACAAATTGCTTTATAGTAGGTTAAATACCTTGGACTGCATTATATTAAACAAAAATAGAATGCATGTCTACCCCTAGCAGGCTGTAATATACATCGTCTAAAAATATATTTAGTATGTGATAAGTTATTGAAATTAAATGAGTGTTCTTGTAATTTTGGTTTGGGGCAGCCGATGTTTTTGGGGCTTGAGAGGTGGCGTGTTTTGCTTGAATAACTGCCAGCACATGTACAGTTCTCCCAGTGAAGTGCAGGTCGGGTCATGATGTGAAGTGATCGTATTCCTCGTTGGTTTGTTCCAGAACATCCCAGTAGACAGATTGATCAAGGGGCGTTTTCAGGACAACTTCGAGTTTGTCCAGTGGTTCAAGAAGTTCTTCGACGCGAACTACGATGGCCGTCCCTATGACCCTGTCGAGGCGAGAGGCAACTCGTCTGTCATTGGCAGCGGCGCAGCGTCGGGCACCACGTCTCGTATTGCGAACAACCACAAGGTCGCCGCTTCACGGCCAGGTAAAGTTCTGGATTTTTTTTTCTTCGAAAGAAGCCTTTTGCTATCGGCAGTGGATGGTTTCAACGAACTTGTTGCCAGACTTTTTCATGACGCTTTATTTTAACGAGAAGCCCTGAGGAATGGTCAATCTCTTATAGTTTAGAAAATTATTTGTGCTGTTTTCTTTTGTGCAAGTTTTGCAAAGCACAAGTGTAAGTTAAGCTTCCATAGTTTCGAGAACTGCCTTGTAAAGTTTAACTGGGTAAAATGAAGCTGCATCTGTTGCGGAAGCAGCCAAGATACTTGATGCACAAGTGTATTTGTTGCATCTTCAAAGCAATGAGACTGTTTGTGCAAAGTTCATGTACCAGATATGTTTCATTTGTTTACTGGGGAAACTGTGCATGCTTGCCTGCCTACTTTACATTCCACTAAACTTTTTCTGTTACGTATTACACATGTTTTGTGTTCATACTGTCATAGCATTTGTAACAATCCATTTTCACTTTCTACCGTTGTTCACTTTTGCAGTGCACGTTTCGGTGCTGCAGTTAATGTTGATCTGAGGTGACAAACTACCTTCAGGAAATGGCATATCACTTGTTCAAAGGCCTCCTTACGCTTTGTTTCCTATAAATATGTTGGGCATGACCACAGTTGCCATCCTTGGGGCGGATGCCAAAAACTTTTCCTCCTCCTCCTGCTGTCCGTTGTCTTTGCGCAGTGCACGCCACCAAGCCGATGACGCGCAACACCCCGGTGTCGAAGCCCATTGGAGCGGCGACGCGAATAACCGGAAGCACGGGGGCCGGCGACTCTCACAGGATTGAGGAGCTCACAAACCAGGCAAGGAAGCGCGGATAGTCGCTTTTGCGGGTCAGCTAATTGTAACTTCAGGCTTAGTCGAGTAGTAGACTTACAAAGAGGGTACAGGTTAAATTGAGGACGACGCAGCGAGCAATGGAAAGAAAAATGGTAGGCGTAACCTTAAGAGACAAGAAGAGAGCAGAGTGGATTAGGGGACAAACGGGGGTCAAGGATATCATAGCTGAAATCAAAAGAGGAAATGAACATGGGCCGGGCATGTAGCGCGTAGGATAACCGCTGGTCAGTAAGGGTGACAACTGGATTCCCAGAGAAGGCAAGTGGGTTAGGGGGAGGCAGAAGGTTAGGTGGGCAGATGAGATTAAGAAGTTTGTGACTATAAATTGGCAGCAGCAAGCACAGGACGAGGCCTTTGTCCTGCAGTGGACGTAGTCAGGATGATGATGATGATTGAACGCTGGGCAAGTTGGTAACAATTTATAGCAGGTCGAGGTAAACAGCGCAAAAAAACGAAGAAAGCGCAAAGGGAGGACACAAGACGAGTACTCCTTTACTCTGTCTTCGTTTTTTGCGCTGTTTACTTCGACCAGCTATGGGGCCTAATTGCGCGAATGAGCGTAGCTGAAGTTCTCTCTCGAGTCCGGGGGAAACATTGCGCAAACACACACCAAGTGCTTCCACATGATGCAGCCACATTGTAGTCTTGGCTAGTTCAAATAAATTAAGAGAGCCCACTGATGGTAATTATTACTGAATTTTTTTGCAGCGGCTTCTGTCACTGGTCAATTCAGGGATGTCGGTGTGTACTGTATGCCTCAAATGAAGTCCAACAGCTTTTGCGATGGTACGGTGCGCGCCGTGTAGTTATCACCGTTGACAGGCTCGTGCATCTTTTCGGCAGCTCTTGCTCATGTACAGTAATACCTCGTTAACTCGAACTCTCATATCTAGAAAGATTGGCTAAGTGGAAATTCTTCGCGGCACCGAACATATTCCTGTACGTCCCGTGCATATTTTCTCTTATCTCCAAGCATTTCTGGGCCGCACTGCGGATAACTCAAAATCTTGACTGGGAGTGGAACGAAAATACTGCCGCTGGACCATTTCACAGGATTTGCGCGATGCTGCTATGCCTGAAGTCCATAGACTTTTTTTTTAGCTGCGCCTGCCACTGCATTGATGCTTTCCGCAAGCGCGAAGCAGGCAACGACTCAGTCCAGTGACATATCAACTTTGTCAAGCAACCCTGTGGCTCGTCATGTGACACACGAGCTGAGCAGGGAGGCCCTCTGCCGACGCTTGGCATAGTTTGTCTCCTTTGCTTTGTGCAGTGCTTGTGATGTTCCCTGAGGTGTGATTTCAGTTTATCTGCGCAAATCGAGTGGTATGGATTTTTTGCCTGACTGTGAGGAGCGGCAACTCGGTGTGAGTGTGGCAAGCATGTTGTTGAAGCAGTGCAAGTCGCTAACCTTAGAAAAAAAGATTGCCCGAATTTAGGAAGTGGAGAAAGGAGGCCGAACAAGATCGAGCATAGCGCAGGAATTCGAGCACTAACATGGAGAAGGGCAGAGGCAATGGAGATGACGAATCGCCTCTATAGGTGCCGACATCTTAGACTAAGAATTTGGTGCGCTTGCTTTGAAATAAGGTCGAGAGCAGCGGTGGAGAAGATTGACTGATGCGATGCAGTCAAGCTGCTGGAGGATTCCTTACTAGGTCCGAGTACGACCGCAAAGTAGACGAGCATTTGTCAGTTTTTCTCTGCTAACTAAAATGGCAGTGTGGCGAAACCTACCTGGTTAAAATCTCTTGTATGTTACTACTTTTTTAAGTATGCGCGAGAAGAAAGATGAACCGTTGCTGAACAGCCGGTAACTAGTAGTGATTTTTCTGAAAGGCGCTCATTTTTCCCGGTGATAGTGTGCAACTTTGCTTATCTCAAAAATCTGTGTGTGGAAGTTTTCCCTGGGTTTTAAGACTCGATATAATGGGGTAATGCTGTATGCGTGCCTGCCCTTGGTGATAAGTGGACGACTCGCGCTGTACCATAGTGAAGGCTTGCCGCTGTTCGGGTTTCATTTGATGCTGATAGTACTTCGGTAAATATTGTACTAGAAAGGTTATTGACAAATGCTAATTACCACTTAACCTCTCGTTGATTCAATAGGTCGCAGAGCTGAAGTCTACAGTCGACGGCTTGGAAAAAGAGAGGGATTTCTATTACGGCAAGCTGCGAGACATTGAGGTCCTGTGTCAGGATTGTGATCAGAAGCATGGGAAGTCCCAAGTCGTCGACCAGATCCTCGAGATTCTCTATGCCACTGAGGTGAGTGAAAATTTCAATGATTTTTATGCAATGTTGTTAATTTACAAGGTATTACAGTCTATCCTCGCCAGAACAAAACTGAAGGGATGTACGAAAAATTTCGTTGAAGCAGAAGTTTCGTTGTAGTATGTGATTTTGTCTGTGTGCTCCTGAGCAACAGCCTCAATCTACCGCCTCCGACCATTGTTCACTTGTGGTAATGTGTTCCCGTTGAGTCTCTACTTATTTTGGGATTGTAACAGGCTGTAGAGTGAAACCTCCACTGGGAGGCTGTCTTCTATGCACCACTGCAGTGTTTGCTCTTGAACAGTTTTTGCCATGCTCCCATCTGTTGTGTGCAAGCCTAGTAGGCTGCTTTGTTGCTGGACTTTCACTGTTCCACTGTTGTGATTCTTGGTCATTATGCTTAGCACTATGGAAAGATTGCAGTGCCTTGTGCACGTCAGTGCTTTCATTAGCACTAGTTGCACATGAAGTCTCTTTGAATGTGAGTGCTTTTTTGGATCGTACGAGAATAGATCGCATCATGCATGGAATATTGTCACATTGTATTGTAAATCGAATTTCTCTGGCTGGTGACGTGGGCATTTATAATGTTGCATTATCGTTGGCGTTCTAAAAACAAATGGCAGTGGCTTAGCTCGGCTATTACAGGATATACGTAGCGTTAGCAAAGGTTCAGCTGATTATTCTTAGCTTTCCAGATATCATGCTTACAGCTGTTCCAATGACACACACAGTATACGTATTATGTGGCACATGTATATTTATTTTTGCCGGGCAACTACTTCGGGATCGCCCCGCCACGGTGGTCTAGTGGCTAAGGTACTCGGCTGCTGACCCGCAGGGCGCGGGTTCGAATCCCGGCTGCGGCGGCTGCATTTCCGATGGAGGCGGAAATGTTGTAGGCCCGTGTGCTCAGATTTGGGTGCACGTTAAAGAACCCCAGGTGGTCTAAATTTCCGGAGCCCTCCACTACGGCGTCTCTCATAATCATATACAGTCGCCGACCGATTTTTCGGACCTGGCAGGGACCGAAAAAAAGTACGAAAAATCGAACAGTCCGAAAAATTCGTTTTCGCCAAAAATCTGAAGTTTATTGCATCAGGCAGGTTTAAAAAAGTTCTTGATGCTGCCTTGCCTCAAACTACGTTTGGAGGCAATTTGGTTTGCCCGTATTTGCGCCAAGGTGACATCGTCGCCGTAAACGCTCAACAAAATTATCACCGCGTTGGCGATCTCCGCTGCCGACGGCTGCGGGCGGTCGTCGTTGTCGTCGGATGATGACGACAACGACGACCGCCATCCGGCGTCGACCGTCATCCGGCGACATCTAGCTGCGAACGTCCACTCTCTATTAGCTTGATTATGGCAGCTTTCTTCTCCATCGTCAGGGTCGTATACTTCCCACGCTTCTTCACACCACCTGGCTCCCGCGATGGCACAGATGGCGGAGCCATGACACCGAGAACACAAAATTCGATGCCGCAGATAGCCGCTGCGAAGCACACAACGTCTCGACGCTACGCGACACAACACGTGGGCGACTGAAAAAAGCTGCAACGACGATAAAATAATCCTTCTTTCGCCTCCTCCCCGTGCGATGTGATGACGATAGTGCTGACCGAAGACGAAAAAACGGCATCCATCACCGCGTCTTTTAAAAAGCAAACACGGCCTCCGAAACTTAAAAAATGGCGTGCGCATTCCAATCTCGGAGGCAGGAAAGGCATCTGAAGACCAAGCTTAGCCAAGCCGACGGAAAATCCAACATGGCGGTGTTCACAATGGCTTGGGGCGTGGCACAAAAGAGCGATTTAGTCCGAAAAATCGAACTTTCAGGGGCAAATTCGCCCGAAAAATCGGTCGAAACAATGCATTAGCTCTATGGGATCCCTGACGGTGCATTTATGAAGTCCGGAATATCCAACAAGTCCGAATTTTTGGAGTCCGGAAAATCGGTCGGCGACTGTAGTGGTTTTGGGACGTTAAACCCCACATATCAATCAAATCAATCAACTACTTCGGGATCAGATGAGTTAAGCTTCTCTGCTGTACTGCACCGTTGAGCAGCATTTGCCAGTCAGAGGCGCTATCAAGCGGCTCCAGCGCAGTGTCAGATGGCGACTGCACAGGGAAGGCGCGCGCGCGTCGGCGTCAATATGTCTACCAAGGCTATGACGGCACTCCTCTGGAAAGCGCACACCGGCGGCGGCGAGTCGCGCGTGGCCGAGTGCGAGGGAGGTGCCGGCTCCGGTGCCTGACACCACTGATCGTCTGCGCAGCGCATCGAATTGCGCGCACACGGGCTGCGAGCTGCGCGCGGCGGCGGCGGCGGAGTATTATTGCGCATGCGCACACCTGTGCCACGCGAAATTGGCTCAGCGAGGCCAGTGTAGCTAACACTACAAAACTTCGTGCTCTGGCAGGATCTCTGAAAGCATTCGTGATTTTCGGTTACTCCATGTACGTTGTGCGCAGTCGCACGAACTGCCCAAATTCAAAGCCTGCATAGTGAGTGAAGCTGTGTGTACCAAGGTGCCAGCACATTTAGGTGTTGCTTACCCAGCAGAATTTGTTAATGCTGGATTTACCCAAACTTGCCTTTTCAGGGGTCACAGTTCATGCGTGTGCCCGCTCATCGTGGACTAAACGTGGGGCACTCGCATGTCATATGCGCTGTGAATGGGCACGCTGCTTATTCCTGGCACCCCCGACACATTTGTTTCACACATCTTGTAGAGAAGCAAACCGACTAATTCCTACTTCTTGCAGTTACCAAATTAGCAAATTTCTTTTGGGCTGATTGATATAAGCGATACATCGATATTGGAAAATTGCTGCACAGTAAGCTTACTTCCTATTTGAAATAAGGCATGCTTGTGAATATGCGATTTGGTAATTTACTTGAAGAAACTACATTAGTCAACAGAAGTTCAAAGCCACACTGAAGGGAGACACTGAATTGGTTTAGATTGACAAATTGTACTCCAAGAGTTCTGATGTCAATTTTACTATCATTGCTTTACTATGGTGGGTCAACCTATATTCCCACTCGAACTTGGGGGTTCGACCTATATTCCCACTCGACCTATAGTCCCGATTATATGGTAGTTTTATACAGTCACCAACTTGTTTTTTTGGACCTGACGGTGAACACGAAATGTAGTAGACTCTCGGTAAACAGAAATCTGTTAAACGGTACTACTGCTTAAACTAAACTATTTAATCTGCAATTCTTGGTTTTGGGCTTGTATTCCGCATTCATCTTGACCTCTCAGTAAGCAGAACTCTTGTTAAATGGAACATATTTATGTCCCTTTAGCTTCTGTTTGCTGAGTCTACTGTAGTCCGAGAAATTGAACAGTCTGAAAAAATGGTCAAGCCGTGAAAATGTTCATTTGGATCAGAGAAGCCTTAAAAAAACGCAATAATGCCTTGCTTCGTGCTGTTTTCGGGGGTGAAATTTCTTTCTAGATTTCGGCTACGATACACTCAAACTTCGATATAACAAATCCGGATATAACGAAATATCGGGTATAACAAAGTAAATGAATAGTCTCGCAATAAATTTAGTGTCACGAATAAACCTTTATAACAAATTTTCTGATATAACTACCGTATTTACTCAATTCTACCGCGCCCTCGGTTGTAACGCGCACCCGATTTCCACCGCGAAAAAAAAAAAAAAAAAACGTAAGACATCGATTGCAACGCACACACATTTTTTTTGCTGGCCCGCACGATCACACCACTCGAAAAAACGATTCCTTTCGGGATTGTCTTCCATTTAAATATGAGGTACGGGCGAAGCTTGTGCCCATCTGACGTGTAACAGAGCATTGCCGTCACTGTAGTTTTACCGTGGACCGATGTCAGCACGCGAACTTGCTTCGCCCCCTTCTTCTCGACAGTTGTGGTGCCAGGCATGTCGAAGTAAAGAGGCGTCTGATCGGCATTCCAGATTTGCCCAAGCAGGTAGGCGTTGTTGCGCCGCAAGTTTAGGACGAACCTCTGAAAACTGTAAAGCTTTTCATCGTACTTCTCCGCAAAAGTTTTCGCATATGCATGTTCCCCTTCGGAGGGAAGAGCCTTTCCTCTTCATATAGGTAATTAGCCAGCACCTGCTCGCTTTAAACAGGCTCCGCATTAGACTTTTTTCTAAGACTAATTGCATAGCCCGCACTTGGAGCAGTTCTGTCGTCATGGGCCGCTGTGCCGCTCGCTCCTCAAGCACATACTCGCGGAGCAGCTCTTCAATTTGCGGAAACCGACCCTGCTGTGGTTCACTGAAGCCTTTGCGTGAAGCTTTGCTGTCGACAATCTTCTGCTTTTGTTTCCGCCGGTCCCGCACGCACGTTTCGAGAAGGACCGCGATGCGGCCCGATTTCCGTCCGTTTCTGCACACGCGATGACTTTTCTTTTAAAAGCGGCATCGTGGTGCACTCGAGTTTTTGGAGTCGGCCCTTCCACGTCGTCGATGCTAATGCACTACTAGATGACGAACTCCTCGGCACACGTACGAAGTGTCGCACATGGTAAACACATAGGCAGAAATAGCCGACGCACCATGCCACGGAGGAAGCCTCCGTGCACCATGCCGACGCACGTAGGGGGCGGCCATCTTGGGTTTGCGATGGCAATAGATTGACCGTAATTTTTTTGTTCGTACTCGATTCTAACGCGCATGCCATTTATGAACTCGCTTAACCGGAAAAAAGGTGCGCGTTAGATTCGAGTAATTACGGTAAGTTCTTTTCATGTGAGATGCAAGTTAGTTATCATGAGGTTCGAGTTCACAAGGTTGGCATGCGCGGTGGTAATCGCTGACGCTGACCATTGCGGGCGGCTAAGTTGGTGGCTCCATGAAAGCAGGGAAACAAAAAAAAACAAAAGTTTCGTGTGCCCCGTCTTGTCTGTTAGGCGGGATTTAACATGGTCTGGGCTTTTACCTGCACCACCGCACAGTACGTGAGCCCCCAGCATTTTGCCTCCATCAAAACTTTACAGTCGCGGCCGTGATCGAACCTGCGCGTTCCAGGTCAGCAGCCGAGCACCGCGACAACGGAGTGCTACAGAGCAGTCGCTAACGGCAGTGAGCTTGTGACGGCGCACATCGGCTCACACACTTGGCACCCCACTTGTTCAACCAAGCGCGCAATGACGACCAGAGAAACAAACGCCCAGAAAATAAAAACAACCTACTGGCGTATTAAGGAAGATCGGACATGGCCTCTGAAACAAGAAGATTGTGCGCACTTCCGATCCTGGTGGCCACACAACTTGCCACTGCAAGCCAAACTCGACCCAGCCAACGAAAAATCCGACATGGCGGCTTTGAAAAACGAGCGGCATAGCTCAACACAAACGATTTAGTTAGGAAAATAGAATTCATGAACATAGATTTGTCCGAAAAATCTGTCGCGAAAATGCATTAGTGCAATTAGAACCTTGACGGTGCTTTTGTGATGTCCAAAATACTCAAGTCCGACGTTTTGGGGGTCTGAATATAACCCGTTGGCATAGGCTCACAAAAGAGAAATGCTCATACAGTTGCCATGTGCGTCTTCATCTGTTGTTGTTTTCACGGTGAAGTTTTCTCGTCAGTGTCCGTTTAATGCAAATATTAATTCTTTGTGGGTCTGTCATGTGCCTCTGTTCCATTCTTTGCGCGGTTAGTTTGCTCGAAATAGCGCTCGAGTTTTTTATTGCTTCTTTTTAAATATGCGCAGGAAGGCTTCTCGGTGCCCGAGGACTACGTCGAAGACGGCGGACCTGTGGCCGGGGGTGAAGAGGAGGAATACTAATCGCATTCTCATCCGCCTTTCGTTTGGGACCTTTTGCAAAAGACAGCTTATCGTTTTGGCTTTCGGTCCTGTCAAGGACGACACACCCGATTGGATGCTGCCGGAGAAAAACTGTTACAAGTGCGTTTTTGGTTGAGACCAAATTGTCGGCTCCACCCCAGAGCACCTCTCCTCCCCGAGCCTTCAGTTTCTTCGCTTCTGTGTCGTGCTGCTTTGATGTTTTTCTTTTTTTTTAACTTACTGTGTCTGTAAAAATCGGGTGTGGGAGACCCATGCTAACTGTCCAGACACTGTTTACCCCGAGGCATTGGAATACCGCTAGCCGAAGCAATACATTGTGGACTTGCGGCTTCACTATGCCCTTGCCCCCCTTATTCCTCGGGTTTCTTTCGTTCCCAAGGGTAGGAACTTCATGTCTCGTTTTAACGAAGTTTTAGCTTCTCTGTAGCCTTCTTTTTTTGATGTTGCTTACGTGTTCTTCTATTTTCGAGATTGTTTTATGATCTCATGTGCGCAGCCCACATGATAAGCATACATGTGTAAATGTTGTGCAAGGTTTATTCGAGGAGTAGTGGTTTTTTTTACATGCACACTTCTCTTTTTTTTACTTCCGCAACACAGTGTTGAGTTTAATATTTATAGCCGTGGTTGGTTTGAATGGCAGATGGGGGGGGCTAAATTTGAGTGTGCCCTCTCCTTTACGTTCCCTTCCTTCCGGAAAGATGCGGTGTTCGCGAAGTGGAGAATGGAAGAGTACACAAGTGGCCGAGCGTTCCCTCGGCCGCTCAGTGTACTGGCGGTGTTACCCTGGTAACCAGTTCTAGGTCACGCAGTCTTTTGCCCCTCCGACCTTACTGTTATAAGCATTCAGTAGTGTTCCCACTGGAAGCTAAGACTACCGCTCGAAGACTGCGCTAATACTGAACAATATCGTCAATGCAATCAGTGCCTGTTTCTTGCGGGGCCACCAGCAACCCGATTGAATTGTTGCGTACGAGACTGTAGTACGCGGCTTCTGTAGTTTTATCGCTCTATCAGCTAGAGCCTATAGAGTCTAAATTAGATGGCAAGAAGTGCTCAGTAGGTCAACGTGGCCGATTGCTTCACGCACCTCTTGAGAGGAATCCAGTGCATTTTTTCGAGAACAAGGAATTGCCAAATCGCGACTCTGTACAGACGTTAGGTGTTCACCCGATATAAACGGCATACACTAGTTCAGTATTAGCGCAGCAGCTTTTTGTCCTTGCTATCTGTGCAGTTGGTTTGAAAGCTTTACGGTTTTTCTCCTGTTTAAAAACCCGGATGCACCTCTGTAAATACGGACTAGTAGGCCTGTTGGTGTTTTTATCACTGTGCAACTGTTTTAGAAAAACTATTTGTGCAGCCAAGGGCTCCTCTTTTCACGTTGTTTCTTTATGACAGTTTTCTTTTGCTTTGTGGCTATTTTTTTAGACTAATGCAAGGTCAACGACACTGCTGTGCTTTGTCGCGAGTTTATTTCGATTTCTTCGCGTCAATATCAAAATTATGCAATGCGAAGAGCCTCGCTGTTTCAAAATGATATTGGTGATCATTTACGGTGCGAAGTTGTCAATAAAAATGTTCGATCCTGTATTTCGCTTTTCTTTTTCTTTTTGATAGCCTTTCACTGTGAGCATTAGCAACCCTGTTTGCCAGCAAATTTGACATGTTATAAGCCTTTTCGGTGGAAAAATAAAGTTGAAATGCTATTCTTTACTGTACTTGACGAGTTTGTTGCATGATTTTCAAAGGAAGTGCTAGCTAAACCATGCAGGTCATATTCATTTTCACTTTACTATTCAAGATGCAAAGGTTTGTTGTTGCTAGTGTGTAGAAAAGGGTCCCATAGTCGGTGACTGTAGCAGCACCCTCCACGGTGTATACGAAAAAAATAGTTGCTAGTGGTAGACAAATGATTTGAAAAAAAAAAAAAGTGATTTCTTGCAGACGCTTAGTTCCATGACAAGCTAGGCTGGGGTAAAGTTAGGGTCTCCTGTCAGCATATAAGGCATGTGCCCTACGGAAGCGCAATTCTTTTGGAGTCCACACACTATTAACCCCAAGACATGAAAATTTCGCTAGGTGAATCAATACATTCTGGACTGGCTGCTTTTCCACCGTAAACACCCCCCCCCCCCCCCCCCCGTGTGTTTACGTTTAGATCAGAGTCCCTGAGCACCTGCGTATTCCTGAAACAGCAGATATATGCACGTGCTTGTCAACTTGTGCAAATTGTTGGCACTATATAAATTGATTATATTTACCGATTCATATTGCCTGCAAAGTTTATGCCTCCACTTCGAACAGAGGGGGTATAGACAAGAGATGAAGATGGAAATTGGGGTTGTTTCTAGCCAGCATGCCACCTGCACAATAGAGGGAGAGGAAAGGGGTTGTCTCCTATCCGTGGTGCGTTAACACAAGGCCCACACTTCCTGGAGTATTGTGCAAATTCATTTGGAATCGGTTGCAAAGCTTTCACTATAACTTACTAGCGCTCGTCTCTCTTCTTTCGTGTCCTCGTGTAACAGTTTAGCGCTTCCTACCAAGAAAGACGAGATAAAGGTTTTACTTCAAGTTAAAAAAAAATGTTCAGGTGAAAGCCTTGGCATTCCTCAACAAACCCGCCCCCGGAGTCGGCGCAAATGACGAAAAAAAAATCACGTGGGGATGTTAGATTTAAAAAAAAAGTGATGTCATCACATGACATAGTCACTTGTTTAAACGTGGACTGATGTCTTAAAACAAGGCGAGGTGCAGAAAGCTTGCAGAGCCCCCGATATTTGATGCGTGCAATACCACGCGAGATGCAGGGAGCTTTTGTTGAAGTCTTAGGCAAACGCGCTATGGACCCCGTGAGTTTGGAAGCTCCGGCAACTAAATAGAGGCACGAAGCGAGCATTAAAGCCTCGGATACAAAGCCTTGTGTGGTGCCAGCTAGAAGTGATTACCTTCTGCTAACCTAAGAATTAAATTAATGGAGGTACGTTAAAGGGGCACTGACACAAAAACTTGGACCGCGCGTTTTTTTCTCCTGCAATGCGTTGCTGGGGGCCTGTTAGTCACGACACGACACATTGTTTGCTGCAGCACGCAACAGATAATTACAGGCCCCTCATTATCAATCAGTTTCGGTTTGAGAGAGTTCCGAAAACTGGGTGCAGCTGTCGCCACTTAGCGTGTGCAGCTCTTGAACACGTCAGCACACATAGCTGTGACGCACTTTCGCACGGTCTGCATCAAGAATTACTTTCGAATAGGAAACATGACTGAAATGTCGCAAAACACGAAACTTTCTAAGCGTGCGTCACGGCCGCGCACTCCCAACCAGCAGCCGAGAAATATAGACTTCGGGAACTAACGTGGCAAAAGAAAAATGGCGGCTATGACGTCATCATAAGATGTGTTGAATGCAGCGTGTTGACGTGAGAAAAATAGGGGGACCCCTCCGAGCACGGAGGAAGGCAAGGTCCTTCCTCCGTGCCTCCGAGGGTGTCTATAGCGCTATGGAGTCGGTCGCTCACGCAAACTTCAGAGTTAATTTAAAATACCTTCCAAGCTGCATTCGCTGTTTATATCTTGCAGATGATATACGAATGTTCACGAGAATCGACCCCGCAGGCTATCTCGGCCCCAAAATTTTGTGTCAGTACCCCTTTAACCACTACACTAGCTGTCTGGAACAATCGCTGCTCTTTCTTCGCTGTAAGATAACGTGTTGTCTTTGCTCCTCGTAACATGGATGATGTCTGGCTTTATGAAGTTGTGAGACATTTCCTCATCAATTGTTTAAAGCCCCTCTGGTCTCACAAGCGAAGCGGTGAAACACGCAGCTGTTCTGCAATAGCTTCGGGAGCCACGAGGCTACACAAGTATGGCGGGTCACCGATGGCAGTGCGTGCTATTCTCAAACAGCGGGACACTGAACCTCGCATTTCACGTGCTGTTTCGGTATCTTCAACGTTCCTCTGTACATTATTTGTACATTGAAAGTGTAGTCATGCGTACGAAATGTAGCCATTCTGAACACAGTCGAATTTCACCATATCGTAATTTCGTGTCGGCAGCATTTTAAAATCAACCAGAGTGCTCTGCAATCTGGGCCAATCAGAGTTGACCAATGGTGGCATTCGACAACATGGCGGGTCTTGACACGCTAGTGACGCTACCGCACGCGACAGAGGTGAGGTGGAGGTTCTGAACATGTACTCATACGCGAAGTAATCTGGTTTGGCACGCCGCCCGTGCCACTAGAGTGTACTAGAAGCTTTTAGTACACTCTAGTACCGCTACGAAAAGTGATGGCGTCGCGCAATGAGCGTTGCATCTTGAAGTGAACGCCGCTCAGCGTCGGAAGCAAGTGAATAAGGCGCGACTTCATCTCGCGCGTGAGAACGCAGTGACAACCAGAATGAACTAAGAAAAAAGCAAATATCTTGCTAATGTGTGTTGCGTGGTGTCTAAAAGAGCTACAAGTAGGAAATGAAGGCGTATTTCTGATAGACCAGGCAGAAAAAGAAAAGCGGATGCAAGTTGTGGGGCTACATTTATTAGCGGTGGGATACACGCCATTTGGTTCTGTAGCCTTTACTTTATTGTCAAGAAAAGTGCTTTGCGATTATAGTGCACGCAACTCTTGCTGTTTTACACATCAGAGCATGCCTGTGGGCCACGGAGAAATAATAATAATAATAATAATAATAATAATAATAATAATAATAATAATAATAATAATAATAATAATAATAATAATAATAATAATAATAATAATAATAATAATAATAATAATAATATAATGATGATGATGATGAGGATGATGAAAACTACGAGTGAGCATCACGTAACAATCTTAAAACCTAACGGCGTCGCTGATGTCGGTTTGTGGATGCCAGGAGAGCTCCATCATAAGCTTTTTTTTTTTTTGCCCATTTCATGTTCCGAGCGCAGCGTACGGGATTTTAGATGCGCCGTTCTCGGATGCCACGGTTCAAATGCGCAGCACTCGACGCGCTGTCCGCTTGGCGGCGCTACTGCGCCCATGCCCAGTCGTTGCCATGGTTACACAGAGCAGCGTCCCCAACACGCCTCCACTTGCGCGTGAATACCGTTTCCGTGCGCAGAATTAGCTCGGAAAGCGTTCCGGAATGTAAGTACTTACTTTCACTTCCATCTACAAGCAGTAGTTACTCGCTAACAGCTCTTATCTCATATGCCGATATTCACCAATGAAGTCAAACACTGGAACGTGCGTGTTTAGATGACAGAACCTCGAGTGAATGCTTGCACGTTTGTTTATTGCCGGGATATCCAATAAGCGGACCCCTCGCCAACGGCCCTGTCCCCGTTTAGAAGTCATCGTGTGACACATTTAAAATTTCTTTTTTTTTCTTAGCCTAGCGGCCGTTCGATTCAAAAGCTACGTAGACGTGTCTGTTCTCGGGCATATTTTTTCGTGAGGCACCCATGTGGTCGCCGTGTGTAAAAACATAAACAAGGAGGCTCCATGAACATAACCGAAAAAAAAAAAACAGGCCTGCGCGGGACGCGCAGCGTTGTCACAGTGAAAGCAGGAAGAGCGTCCTTTCACAGCTTTTTTTTTTTTTTTTGACACTCTTTGCAAAGGGAGCTGCTGCAAGCACACTTACAGGGTACCAACTACGCTATTAATCATTGTGTGTGTAGTAGCAGGCAGGCATTCACTGTGCCATCGTCCGTCATTCTTTGGAGAAGCGTGGTACTTGTGTCACACCAGCCAGCCCCCAACACAGCAAGAAACTTTGCGCTTTTTTGTGTGTGTGCGGTGGCTGACGACAATGAAGAATCATGCCAGAAGCTTTTGTAATCCCCAAAATCCCCCGCAATGGACATGTACCACAGTTAATAGGTGAATACTATCAAACTTTTGTAAAGGTTTGCGACATTCGGCGACCCACTGATTACGCAATTCGCATCATGTGACTCCTGGATGTTCCTTTGCTGTTCTAGAACGTTTTATTACTAACATTAACGTGATTCCGTTCCCGAAATCAAGCCTGCCTAAGGCCAGTTTTCGAGGAGTTTCAAGCACCGGTGTGGCTCAGTAATAGAATACTGGGCTGGCACGCAGGGAAGCCAGGTTTGAATCCAATTGTGTCCTTGCTGTTTTTAATTTACTGAGTTTTTTTCCCTTCTTATTTCGTGCGATAGTGGTTATGGACACCGGCGGCGGCGAACAACTACGGCAGGCACGTGACCGTGTTGTGATCTCATAACAACTTAAGCTTTAAAACTCTGCAGTTCAGAATCGGCGTGTGAATCCTGGTTATTCTGGAGTTCAGTGTCGACGTTTTTCGAAATATGAGGTTATATATTCCCCTCAGAAATGACCCTTATATTTGAGATACGAATAATTAGTTTTTGTTTTTGAATAGCGACACTAGGTGACATTCTCTTGGCACTAGCCGTCATTTCGGGATACGGCGGCTTCATTCCGATGCGGAAGAATCGCAAGAATACCAGCTTACTTAAATTTAGGTGCACGTTAAAACTCCCCAGGTGGATCACACTAATCTGGACCCCACCACTACCGTGTGTCCCATGATTATACTGTCGTTTTAACACGTGAAACCCATTAGCTATTATTATTAATCTTTTAGATAAACTCCACGCTAGATTAACCCTGTGTTTCCCAATAGCCAATCCAGCTGTGTAAGTAAATGTTTTTTGACCATATATATATATATATATATATATATATGTGTGTGTAAAACGATTTATACGAAAGTGGGAATAAACTGAGAACCTGGAAAATTCAGCTCTAGCTCTAGAAAAAAATCAAGTGTCCGCATACGTGAACCTTGGGAGCACCAGTTACACTAAGTCCATTACCCTTCATTGTACATAAGAACTTGCCTGCCGAAAACTCTGTTTCAACACGTAAATGATTATCATCAACACTACTTACCGTAATGAACGCTTTTATAATAACTTCAAAGCGTTCATCATCATCATCATCATCATCATAAACGTTAACGTGGCTGCTTGTTGGCGGCTTTTATATAGCACTTTTTCATCATCGTTCATTATCGCCATTGTCTACGCCTTATTCCTCATGTTCAACGCCTTCATCAGCACCATCATTATCACCACTCAAGGCCCGTTTCCTTGCCCAGAACGTTACTTGAACGTGTTCTTCAACATCTTTATCGTCGTTGATCATTATTACCAACAAAGCGTTCATGGTTACGTTCAGTCTCTGTGTTTTCATGATCATCAGTAGCATTGTTCAAGATGCCTTTGCTTATTGGTGGTAGCTCTGCTTCAACGCGCCAATTATCGCTGTCCTTCGAATCGCAACATTTCCTTCCGTTAGTCAAGTCGAAAATTATGGAATGTATACCCCCGTCACTTAATCTACGTCCCAAATAAAACAGATAAGTTGTAAACATATTGTTACGAGACAATGCCCCACTTAAACAGTGAGATAGGCGCTGAGGAAGACGAGGTGACTTGTGTGTGCGCGCGCTCTCTCTTGTTCGCCATCTTGGCTTGCGCGTTGGCGCTGTGTAAATATATTTTAAAACGCCTAGTTTCCCTTGTGCCTTCACGCAACATTTTGGTGGAAGGTGCTGGGTTACAACGCACGACGGAGTTACGCAGCGGACGCCTAGTCTCTGCTCCCAACATGTCCACCGGCAGCGACGCTTCCTCAACTGCTACGCCCACTGCATCAATGGCGTCGACCTCTCCTGTTTATCTCGTGGCCGCTCCACCCCGCGATCCCGGCAACTTTTCGGGAACGGACGGCGAGGACGTGGATGAGTGGCTTAAACTCTACGAACTCTTCAGCACAAATCACAGGTGGGACCCAACCTTAATGCTGGCAAACATCATCTTTTATTTACAAGGAACGGCCAAGGCGTGGTTTAATAACAATGTGGACGGTATCACAAGCTGGGACGTATGCAAGACCAAATTACGCGAGTTGTTTGGTCAATCTGCCGGCTGCAAGCAGGCCGCTAGGAAAGAACTTGGCACACGTGTTCAGACGTCCACGGAGTCCTACCTGGCGTATATTCAAGATGTGCTGACCCTTTGCCGTAAAGTTGACCGAACCATGGCTGAAGCCGACAAGGTAGCGCACGTGCTCAAGGGCATCGCAGACGATGCATTTAACCTCATTGTGTGCAAAGGCTGTTCCACCGTGCAAGATGTTATCTTGGAGTGCCAACAGTTTCAAGAGGCTAAAAGCCGTCGCATTGCTTACCACTTTACGCGCCTTCCCAACACTGCTGCGACGTCAACATGTGCGGATCTCCATGTACCGACCCTGCCCAATTCACACTCCAGTGACATCACGAGAATTGTACGCCGTGAAATCGAAGCCATCTCACCCGCCCCCTTGAGAGCACTGGCACCGAGTGATCCTCAGCCGACCATATCGCTAATACAGACCGTTGTTCGCCAGGAACTAGCCAACGCGGGTGTTCACACAGTCTGTTCTGTGCACCGTCCCGGCGCTGTCAGTTCGTTTACCCCGAGCCACCCACAGCAGTATCGCCGCCCTGCTCCACGTAATCGTGACCCAAATGCGTGGAGAACGCCTGATGACAGGCCGATTTGCTTCCGATGTGAACGAGTGGGACACATCTCCCGTCATTGCCGAAGCACGTGGACCTCACCGTATCGGGCAAACCCAAACTTCTCCAACCCCCATTCACCGGCCCACCTCTATGACCAGGAACCACCACGGCGTGAGGGCTCAGCTAATTACGACCCGACCACTACGACCACTGCCCAGTACAGTCGCTCACCTTCACCTCGACGTAGATTTTCCGTCATAAATATGTCCAACAACAACAACAACAACAACAACAACAACAACAACAACAACAACAACAACAACAACAACAACAAACAACAAAACAACAACAACAAACAACAAACGAGTCCTTAACCTTACAACTTTTTTCCTTAAATATACTAGAGGGACATGCTAAACTAGTGTGACGCGCTAGAAAAACGTGCCTGTCGCGATACTACTCGCTGTCTTTCTAGAATGGTAACAGCTGAGCTCATTAAGGAGCGTCAAATCATGAAAGTCTCAAGTACAACAGGCAAAATAGAACTGGCAGAGCTTTAGAAGTTAATTATAGGCGTAAGGTATGCGATGTAAGAAGGTATAACATGGAGAGAATTGAACACACTCTGAAAAACGGAGGAAGCACCAAAGCAGTAAAGAGGAAACTGTAGATAGGTAAAAATTGAATGTATGCACTAAGGGACAAAGAAGGCAAAATAACTACCAATATGGATAGGATAGTTAAAATAGCGGAGGAAATTTACAGAGATCTGTACAGTAGCCGGGAACCCCACGACCTTAATACTATAAGAACTAGCAGTAACCCAGATGACACCCCACCAGTAATAACAGAAGAAGTCAGAAAAGCCTTGGAGAGCATGCAAAGAGGCAAAGATGCTGGTGAGGATCAGGCGACATCAGATCTGCTGAAAGATGGAAGACAGATTGTGTTAGAAAAACTAGCCATCCTGTTTACGAGGTGTCTCCTGACGGGAAGAGTACCAGAGTCTTGGAAGAACGCTAACATCATCTTAATACATAAGAAAGGAGATGACTAGGACTTGAAGAATCACAGGCCGATCAGCTTGCTCTCTGAAGTATACAAGCTATTTACAAAAGTGATTGCTAACAGAGTAAAGAAAACATTAGAATTCAATCAACCAAAGGAACAAGCAGGATTTCGAACAGGCTACTCAACAATCGACCACATTCATACTATCAATTAGGTAATACTGAAATGCGCAGAATATAACCAACCACTATACATAGCCTTCATAGATTATGAGAAGGCGTTTGATTCAGTAGAAATATCAGCCGTCATGCAGACACTGCGGAATCAGGGCGTAGATGAAGTATATATAAACATTCTGGAAGAAATTTACAGGGGATCAACTGCTACCATAGTGCTTCATAAAGAAAGCAACAGAATACCAATCAAGAAGGGTGTAAGGCAGGGGGACACAATCTCTCCAATGCTATTTACCGCGTGCTTACAGGAGGTTTTCAGAAGCCTAGAATGGGAACAGTTAGGGATAAGAGTTAATGAAAAATACCTTAGTAACCTGCGCTTTGCCGATGACATTGCATTGCTGAGTAATTCAGGGGACGAATCGCAGCTCATAATTACGGTGTTAGACAAGGAGAGCAGAAAGATGGGTTTTAAAATTAATCTGCAGAAAACGAAAGTAATGTACAACAACCTCGGAAGAGAGCAGCGCTTCGAGATAGGTAATAGTGCACTTCAAGTTGTAAAAAAAAAAAAAAAACTATGTCTACTTAGGGCAGGTAATAACCGCGGAGCCAACCCACGAGATTGAAGTAACTAGAATAATAAGAATGGAGTGGAGCAGATTTGGCAAGCACTCTCAAATTATGACAGGTAGATTGCCACTATCCCTCAGGAGGAAGGTATATAACAGCTGTATCTTGCCGGTACTTATCTACGGAGCAGAAACCTGGAGACTTACAAAGAGGGTTCAGCTTAAATTGAGGACGACGCAGCGAGCGATGGAAAGAAAAATGGTAGGTGTAACCTTAAGAGACAAGAAGAGAGCAAAGTGGATTAGGGAACAAACGGGGGTTAATGATATCATAGTTGAAATCAAGAAGAGGAAATGGACATGGGCCGGGCATGTAGCGCGTAGAAAGGATAACCGCTGGTCATTAAGGGTAACTGACTGGATTCCCAAAGAAGGCAAGCGGGTTATGGGGAGACAGAAGGTTAGGTGGGCAGATGAGATTAAGAAGTTTGCGGGTATAAATTGGCAGCTGCAAGCACAGGACCGGTATAACTGGCGGAACATGGGAGAGGCCTTTTTCCTGCAGTGGACGTAGACAGGCTGATGATGATGGTGATGATGATGATGACGACCAGCTGAGCTGGGGAGAGAGACTAAATATCCTAACTGCTTAATGAACACGTGCGGGATCTACTTAATTTTACCTCGTCATTCCCCAGCCGAGCCTACTTTCTTTACTCCGCAGTGGCAGTGGCACCTATACGTACAAGTCGCCTATTATGGTGTACAGCTAAACGGTATACCACGTGCAACCTTTACCTTTTCGTTTCCCTTCCTCTATGCAACGCTAGTTCCATGCTCGATATATTCGATGTCGTAACAGTACGGCGTAATCTAACCGTGGTGCGATATTGATGCGGTTCACTTCGTAGAGCGTCACGCAGTACGACAACGAGGCCTTCACCGACGATGACCAGGGCGAGGATCGTCCGGCCCCGTCGCCGTCAGTGTCGCCGTCATCGGCGAAACCTTCGCCCCGTCTTCTGCCACCACTTAGAGAACGGGTCGCCGAAACCTCAGGTGCTGAAATAGACTCGTTAAGTTTCTCAAGTTCCCCCTCGTCTCTTGTAGAATAACCTGTTTGCAGCGTCTCTGCACTCGATTTGTCTGCATTACCGCGTGCCATTGTATTGTGGAACAATATTCTGGATAACATAGCTGACGCCCGAAATACCAAGGTCTTCATAAAGAGGCTGAAAATGCTCTCTCTTGATTACTACAATACCGTAACATGTTAATGTATTGCCGTTCATTCCAATCTTCAATCCATCTACGTTACCCTAAACGTTTTTTTATCCACATTTATACTTTCTCGCCTTTATATGATCAAAATTTCATTAGTCGTATTTCATGTGTATGCATTAGCATTCACACCGGGTAACGTTTAATTAGGCGTGCCATTTCGTACGACAAATACTTCGCGTTGTATAAGCAAGGGGTTTATCTACCTATTTTCCATTTTTCTTTTGCTTTTATTTTTCTTTAAATATATAAAGAAAATGCACCCGCCCCGTTCAGTGACAACACTTCCACCTAGAACCTATGAGGAACGTGCATAAATGAATGAATGAATGAATGAATGAATGAATGAATGAATGAATGAATGAATATTCGGAGCCATTTGTTTCGCGGGGTGTTTCAGATGCCGAACTCAGCTCCGGGAGCCAGACTCCGAGTTCCGTGGCCAGCTCGAGGGTCACCGAGGGTCACCGCAGGCGTCGGAGGATATCCGAGGTGTGTATGTACAGAGAGAGAGAGAGAGAGAGAGAGAGAGAGAGAGTACTGTTGCTGGGTTGTATATAAGCGCTGGCATTCTACTGTGTATAGAGATGGGGAACGGGACCAAAAGATTTCAGATAAAATGGAAAAACTATATAACAAAGAAAATATGTAAACAAATATAAATATTGAGAAGTAAACCTGATACTAATATTTACCACTAGGACGCCATGCCAGGAAAGTTCAGGCTTTTTTATACCAAACTGTCTATCATTAATTTAACTACCGTGCTAAAATTTTCGACAACTTAGCTTGGCCCTTCAGGCGACATTTTTTTTATTGAACTAACGCTCATTTGTTTGGTTACCACATGAGCTGTTCCCCAGTTGCCCTTTAAAGCAGTTTACAACAATGTCTTACATCCGAAGGGTAACTCGATAAAGAGTGAGAGCCAGATTCCGAAATTCAAAAACGAGATGGCGAGTTGGACTAGTATTGGTATGCGTTCACCTTTAGAAAGTTGGGATGAAGCAAACCGAAGACGTGGACAGGACAGCGCTTAAACTCACGAGTGATTTTTTTATTAATCTCACAAAAAAAGCATATAAAGCAGACACACGATTCTTCGCGCATGCGTTTCAGAGCAGCCGGGCGGAACAAAGCAAATTCGTGTCGGGATTAGCAGGAAACGTTTCTGCTTTACATTTCATTTATTGGTTGTCACAAGCACTGCACGCGTCTAAATACACCTACTACTCATCGTGCAGCACAATCGTGGCTCGACTAACACAGTTATGTCCCTTCTTTTGAGTACGGTACTATTCCGCTCCCTCACGAGTCAGTCGGTCCTTAAGCCTAAAAAATAATTTCGTCGCCTTTTTTTCGAGTAATAGAGAATAACTTGTGAGTGTAAACACGGTACTGTCTACTTCTACTGCTCACATCTTTGGAAGGATTCACCCTAACTTTCCAAAATTGTTTTTTTTTTCACCTGCAGACTCGCCGCCCGCGGGAGCAGCCTAGAGCAACGCGTGCGAGGCTAACGCCACCTATGCCACTTCCTCGAAAGGGACAAGTTCGACAGGTGAGTACACTGTGGGCACGCCATGTCGGTAACGAAACATGTGCGGGACACAATATTTACAAACAGAAGTCGAATAGCTGATCTTTCTAGGAACGCGGGCCCAGATGGGGAGGGGGCGAGGAGGAGGAGGAAAAAACCTTTATTGATGCTGGCTGTGCCAGATAGCCCTTATCCCCACCGGGCTGGTTGACATCCCTAGTCCGGGACGTCATTAGTCGAGGCCGCCACCCGAGCCCACTGCACTAGAGTTCGCTGTTCCTCTAGTGTGGAGCTATTGAGTAGGGTCGTCTCCCAGTCCTCTTTGGTGGGGTTGGGAAAGGGGGTTAATTTTGGGTTCATTTGGCAGGCCCAGACCATATGGTAAGTGTTGGCCACTTCCCCACAGTACTGGCACTGTCCACTTATGTTTGGGTCGTAATATTTTAGTATGGCTGGACAGAGCAGCGTATTTGTCTGTAGGCGCCGCAGGATGCGCTCCTCCGTTTTCGAGAGTCCCTTCGCTGGTGCGGGATACAAGCGGCGTTGCTCAATGTAGTATTCTTTGATTTCTCGAAACCGTGTTAAAGGTGTGGGACGTTCAGGTCTATCAGGGGAACGGGGAGTTTCCCGGGAAGTAAGCACGCGGGCCGCTGCATGTGCAGCCTCGTTACCCTGTAGACCCTGATGTCCCGGAGTCCATATAATACGTTTCGGGGTAGGATCGCGGTTCCTGATGCTGAATTTTAAAAGTCTATTAGCCATTGGAGAGATTTCTCCTGCAAGATAGCTCTCGCAGGCTCTTCGAGAGTCTGTAACTATTTGTTTTGAGTTTGGATGGGATACTGCCAGTGCAATGGCCACCTCCTCCGCCTTACTTGAGCTTGTGGCTTTCAAAGTGAGGCCGTCCACCTGCGTTCCTTGATGTATTACCGCCGCCGTGTAGTATCCCCTAGGTGACGGCCCGGCCACATCGACGTAATAGACCCCATTACGGGAGCCAAGCCGCTTTTCAAGTGCCTCAGCGCGCGCTTGCCTTCTACCCTGGTGCGCCTCCCTGGTCATATTGCGGGGAAGCGGGGACACCCAGAGTTTTGTTCTCCAAAGTTCAGTAATACCCTCCACGTTTTCGATTTCGCATTCGTGCCGGATCAAGAGGCGGGCCAGTAGGCGCCGCCCGGGGGGCGTCTGCGTAAGACGCGTATATTGATTTGTGAGGTGGGCTTCTTGGAGCTCTTGTATAGAGTTAAAGACTCCCAATGCAGAGAGTTTCTGATTTGAAGTGCTGATGGGTAAATCAAGTGCGCGCCTAATTACTTTCCTAAGAATAGCATCGACTCTGTTCTCTTCGTGTTTAGTCATTCGTAAGTACGGTATTGAATATAGAATCCTGCTAGTTACAAAAGCATTGGCGAGCCGAATCGCGTCCCTTCTTCGTAGCCCCCCGCGCTCGTTTGACACTCGGCGGATCATGTGCCCTACCTGTTCTCCAATTTTCCGTAGCTTGTCTAGCGTGGTGCTGTTTTTTGTTCTGTTGTGAATCAGAAGGCCAGGGATTCGTAGTTCTGAAACCTCTCGTATTATTGATCCTGATACCATCAATTTAAGGGTCGTCCTATCTTTAATGTTTTCTCTGATATGCAGGAATTCAGATTTGATTGGAGCGCACTGCAACCCACACTGAGCCGCATAGTCCTCCACAATGGAGGCGGCCTGCTGCAGGCGGTCTTCAATTTCTCCTAAACTGCCCCGATTCGTCCAGATTGTTATATCATCGGCGTATATTGCATGATATATTCCTTCCACTACTGCCAATGCTTGCGGGAGCTTCATCATGGCAATGTTGAATAGCAGCGGAGACAGGACAGCTCCTTGCGGGGCTCCCCGCGTCCCCATTTTGAATGGTCCATGTTCCTCGTTATCTATGCGAATGAACGCCAGTCTTTCAGAGAGGAAGTCTCTGATGTAGGCAAATACTTTCTTACCGCAATGGACACTACCCAAGTTCTTAAGGATGCTTTCATGTTTAACGTTGTCGAATGCGCCTTTAAGGTCGAGTGCAAGGATTGCTCTGTCGTTGTGCGTCGAGGGAATGGGTTGGATAATGTCTCGTTTTAGTTGAGGGGGCGAAGCACGTAGGAAAGGGTGTTTCAGTTTCACAAACGGGAAACGATGCGAGGGACAACGCATAGAGTGTTTCGAGAGAGATTTCTTTGATGAGGCCCTAGTAGTGAAGGCCTGAAACCCTGGTGGTGAAGGCCTGGTGTTTGCGCGCCTCTAACGTCTTCGAAAAACTGCGTCCGAATGCAGCTTAATTAATGCGCCTGTTCTTCTCTACATGTCCGGATTCAGTTCACCTCTATGCAGCATGTAGGGAAGGTTGTTTCGGCTTATTAACGTCGTCAAAACAGTATCATTCATAATGGTATCATTCGACGTCATGAAAATAGTAGTGAGAGCACCGGAAACACATGTCCTTCACTTGGTCGAAAAATGAGGGTAGTAAAGGACTTTCCATTTATGAGGCTAACTATCGCTCGTCGAAATTGTTGATTGGGCGAGTCGGTGGTTTCACGACGGTTCGAAATACGAGTGTGATAAGTAGACAGGGACAGGAAGGACAGGGACGAGCGCTTTGTCCACGTCTTAGCTGTTCCTGTCAACGTATCGCGCTCGCATTTAGAATCAAACTAACTATTGCGTTCTTCATTTTTTTTTAGTGGACTGGCGGCGAGTAGTGGAATTGACTCAAATTTTGTGGCGCCTACCCGTTTTTATGATGGACCGTACCTGACTATACATGACTTTTTATGACATTAGACGCCAACAAGCCGAGCCCTATAAGGTGCTTCGCACCTAAGACGCACTATGGTAGGGTATGGATAACATTATTGAAGTCCTGAGGATCAGTCCAGGACTGATGCTGGCTGCTCCCACGTGGGGACAGAGAGGCCAAGCCCCTCTGCCGCCACACGGACCCTCTGGACAGCCCTGAGTTGGTCCGCCAGCGCGTCACTGTGCCGCATTCGCTGCAACCACTGTTCACCGTGAGAAGCTGCACCGGCCATTGCCTAAACTAAACATAATTTTCGTGCTTGCTATAGGGTGACAATTTGAAGCTTTCTGAGCTCGAGGTACATTTTAAAGAGGGTTCAGAGTCTGAGAACTTTACCCCGGGATAAGGGACGGTTGTCTACCTTACCTAGCGTGCAGTTGAGTGTCGGTATGTCCTTGAGTGAGCGATTTATTGCACAACAGGTTCTTTGCTAAGATTCGGGCGTCAACGCAAAGATGCAACGCTGCATAGACCGCCAGGCTCTGACGTCAGCGTCTTGAGCATTCCGTCTCTCTTTTTTTACCAGGCAGAAGCTGAAGAAGAAGTAATCGAGAAAGCACTGAGAAAGCGTCGCGAAGCGCTCGCGAGATGGAAATCGAGTGCTTCGTCCGCTCTCCGCCAGGTGAGTTCTTCGGCGACGCACGCTGGAGTGCTGTGCAGTGTCTTCCCTATACTGAAACGTTCCGTACGCGATGTCCGATAATTCCGTATGTTTTCGTAAGAATCCTACGAAAATATATAGAAAGTATATAGAAAGTATACGGAAAACATATAGGAAAGTATACGGAAAACATATAGAAAGTATACGGAAAACATATGGCTTCTGCGCATGAAAACATATGGAATTACTGGACTCGCATACGGAACGTTTCAGTAGGGTTTGAACTCGTGACGTACGCACGATTTGGGCTTTCGCGTTGAATAGTAAAGAAGAAATGTAATTAGTTAACACTTACCAAAGCTGTGTAAAGGGTTCTAAGGCCGCGTTCACACTGAGCATTCCGGCCGCCGAAAGTGCTCCGAATCCGGTTCGGAGGCGGCGAGATCCGCCGAAAGGGCCCTCTCCGCGCTGATCGCTCTCGGACCGATTTTTGCGGCGTCTGCCGCCGAATCGGTCACCGCGGACCAATAGGAGCGCTGGTCAAGGAATTTTGAAAAATGGCGGCCAAGCCCTACTCACTTGTTATGCCGCCGTGCACGTAACTGAATGTTGAAACCAACGGGAGTTTAACCTACTCTGTGCCTACTTCACCTCCGTATTTCGTGGAAGAGGTGACCGAGCTTGCTGTCGGCGTGACCGAGCTTGTTGTGGTCTTGCAGAGCAAAACGAACCCACCAACGCCGCTGGCGTCGGTGGTTTTTCTGCTCTTCGTGCATTACAAGACAGCCACTTGCCAGCAAAGTAAGCAGTACTGTCTTTCTTCATGCGTACGAGAATCGTCGAAGTATACACCACCGGATAGCGTAGTAGCGTTTGCGAGCCGCGACAACAACCGGGTTACAGCGCATCCATCCCGCGTTCGCCCCGTAGTAGATGGCATATTCGGCGGCGCGAGGTGCGTCCAGTGCGAACGACGCTGCGTTTCGGCGGCAGGGGAATTTCGGTCGCTGTAGAAAGCAGATGTTTCAGTGTGAACTAGGCATAATAGAGGCGTTGTAGCGAACGAAGTAGCGGCACAAGGGCCACGTGAGACCGTAAACGGCTTATTAGGATGGAAGCGATATCGTGCCTTCTTTTAGTTCAATAAAACAGCGTTATAAACTTGCGCTCTTGGACTTGTTTCGATATACAATTCTTTTCTTCGCACGTAGGAAATTGAATAGCCTCTACACGTGTGCGTACGCGTTGTTTTGCGGCACAAGCTGGACAACACAAAACCAGGTTGTTTCAAAACCATTATTTATTATTTATTTATTTATTTATTTATTTATTTTGTGTGCAATTAGAACTGATTATCAGGTGTATCAGGAGGCATATATAGCAACGTCACATTGTTGTGTTGGAACATTCCGTCAATTTGCTAAGGTAGCTTGATAAGGAAGGCCTCTACTAGAGACAAAAGGTATCGGGTCAGATAGTGCAGAATGTCTGTGTTGTATATCCCATCATAAATATAGTAGTAAGAACACTGCAAACACATGGTCTTCACTTGGTTGAAAAATGAGGGCAATAAAGGACCTTTCATTAAATAATGTTTTATGGTATCTTTCAAGTGAGCGACACGTGACACAGGCTTCTCCTGTCGTATTCAGTCAGCAGAACTAGCCGAGAAGACGCTGGTCGAAGAAGCAACGGAATTTTTCACCCGGAAATGGACCAAGGAAGCGACCTCCGGTAGCGCCAAGGAAATAAAGGACAAGGAATTAAAGGAAGCTGGTCGCTCATCCACCTTCGGCGCTGGTGAAATCACGTCCCAAGGAGCGGCAGCCGACGTCAACGAGACTTCACGCGAAGCGGACGAAGACGGTAAGCATAATGAGCCCAGAATAGTTTTGCTTAGGGTTGTTGGGGCGAGAGTCCTAAGTGCCCCGCCCGAGGTGAAAACTTACTGCCTGTGTTAACACAAGTGATGCGAAAAATTACACCATCTCCGTCTGAGGGGAACCACGTGTAGATGCGAAGCAGCGATCGCTAACGCTTACACTAACGGCGACGTTGACGCTAGCCCGTCATCGTGGCGTTGAGCAGAAGGGAAACGTGGGGAGGTGCAAAACACGAAGTGATGGACCGGTTTTCTCTACTGGAACGTGCCAGTCACTGCTAATGGGCAATGAGAGACACAAGGCTATGAGTGGACACAAAGACCCGCAGCCGGCTTTTAGCTAACGCGCACGCTGCGAATTTTCATTGTCCAACAATGCTCAGAAAAAATATCCCAGCTGCACTACCTTAGAGTTCGAGATACAGTGCCTATATAGTATACGAGGTGGCCAGTGAACGATTGTGCAGCGCGAGCAGTCGGTTTTTTCAATCAAGAAACTTGCTAGCAGACGCTGCCTGCGTCGGCGTTGCGAAGCGAGAGAGCAGGGAACGTAGGAGGAGAGAAAGAGGGGGGAGAGAACGCGCATGCGCAGTGAAGCGCGGACGCCATCGGATCAAGCGAGCTCATAAGATGATTTTGCATTTAAAAATCACGAGCCCGTGACGATGCCATTTTATGGCAACATCACGATGTCACATATCGCCGAAATTTCTGACGTCATTATGACAACATGGTACCACATAACGTGACGTCACACGATGGCGCTGTCGCAAAATGCCGTTTGTTCAATCGTGGTCCAATTACGAAGGCATTGCGAAAGCAGGCGAGTCGCAAAAAGCTTTCAATGGGAGGTGTCAATACAATCGACTGAGAAGTCTTCTATTGTCGTCATAGGCGACTTGTGATCGTCTTAAGCAAGTGCACAAGGAACCGTGTGAGTTTTGTTAGAATATCCAAACTATAGAGTTAAACCTACTGCACATGCGCGGAAACGCCTGCGCATGCACAAGGTAAGCTGACTTTTCGAGCTCTCATGAAGTCGTAAGTAACTCCAGACCGGACTTACTGCAAGCGTCACCACGTCGTAGTCTTCTGTTCACCCTGTAAAGCGTGCACCATCTTTAATATTAGTGCCATAGGTGAAGCACACTTTACAAAAAACAAACGAAAACAAAATGTGCATTCACTAGAAAGATGTGGTCGTGGGATATTACCTAGCAAATTAATATTGTTGGAGTACTCAGGAAGTTCATGGCAAGGGCTGCTTATACAGTGGAATAAAAATAAGAATTAAAATTGAATGTGTGGCTGAGAAATGAAGGAAGACGAGCAAGTAAAAAAAACTGAAGAATGAGGAGGCAGATATCTGGCAGTGTCAGAGCCTCTCTAACGAGTTGTTCGAACGAAGGAAATGCAGTAATAATGGTAAAACGCTGGAATATTGTAGCGGTTCTGAGGGAACTCTTCCCTGACCTACTCTAATGATTACTTTTAGTCAGCATTCTTCTCGCAAAAGACATCATTATAGGATGTTTTATTTTTGGAGTTACTTCCTAAAAAATTACTGCACTAAACGAACAAGTGAGAATTTCGACAATATTATTCTATTTTGTGTTGTGTCGTAGGTTGGTATTACAACTGTGCGTTGCCGTGAAATACTCCCTGCATAAGGGTATATCAACGTGGATCGCTCCTAACGTGCAACTAGTCGGCACATTGTTGTCTGACGTGAGCAACAGTGTAATTTATGTGCTTCTATTTGTGTGACCTCTGATCTGGTCGAAGTGAACGTAGGGACCAAATGCAAGAATGACAAAACTTGTCTTACATGATCATCCTGTAAAGTGTGCACCACTTTCAATTGTAATGCGATAGGTGAAGCGCTCTTTCAAAAACACGAACCAACGCGTTAGCTGGTTGTCGATATAAGGGGTGCCATTTTGGCACCGGCATCTCACGTGTTAGTGCATACTTTGAACTGAACAGCCCTTTAGAGGCCCGCGCTGCCGTATGCTGTCGTCGCTTGGCGTAGCGCAGGTAAAACCATGTACAAAAAAAGAAGCAGTAAGCGAGAGATCAAAAGAGAGAAATAAATAAATAAAGTAGAAAGAAAAAAATAGAAATTAATAAAAAGAAGAGATGAAAAAGACAACACAAAATGCAGAAGAGAAAAAAAAACAGAACACTTCTTCAGGCTTGCCACCACTTGGGCGAGGCTGTCGTAGTTTTCCTTTTGGGTTTCACGTATTGCAGCGCAATTTTTTTCGACGGTAATTTTATGATGGGCTTACTTTGTATGCGTTGTACTTTGTCATTCACTGTGTGAGAAAAACAATAATTACTGCACCTAGAAACTAAGCGAGATCATTCATTTTCGGGGTGTTTGCTAACCAAACAGCTCGTACATAAATAATATGCACCAAATATTTATGAGAAAGTTTTCGAGTGGGTTAAAAGCCCTAGTCTTACGGTCCAAACCCTACCCCAGACATAGCGAATGCGTAACGCAAATGAGTTCTGCTGAATCCCGCAAGGTGGCGGAAAGGGCTCAGAAAGGGGAAACAATCAACCACCCGTTTTTTTTTTTTGTAGCACGAAGCTACAAGAAAATCCGTACAGATTTCTCACAAAGGAAGCCTTTTTAGTCCTCGAAAAATTCGTCCTGGTCCGGGGCTCTAACCAGAGACCGGGACAAGTTTTTTGGCAACTAAAAAAACTTTTTTTTTGAGAAATCCGTACAGATTTCCTTGTGCCTTCGTGCTACAAATGGGCGGTTGTTTGTTTAGCAAATGCGTCACTGTAAATTTAAATTTCATGGGTATTCCAGCGTTCTTTATAAAGTCATGTATGAAAAAAAAATGAATAGTACAAACGTGGTAGCAGGGTACTAAAATTGAGCCGAGACAAAGTAACACAGGTTGTATAAAAGGTAATACGGCAAGGAATCTGAATGGCTTGCAGAAAAGAGCCTCTAAAAAAAAAAAGCCTATTCACTTTGGTTGCGATGTTTTATTCTTTTCTTATTAGGATTCCACGGTTGATGTACAACCCTTCCTGCATGGAGTACGCGGTGGTCTGCAGTATTGTTATATAAATAAAATAAATAAATGCCAGTGTACGTTGGCCTCGGCTTTCTTGAGTTGTTTCACGTTAGCTTGCTAGATCGATGCTGTTGCACGAGGTCGGTTCTGCTGCTTTTTTCACTCGCCGCATTCGAGCCGCACTCGTTCGGATGCAACTCAGTTCTGTCGAGTGTGATGCATTTTCAAGGAAAGGGTGAGTACGAATTCAATATTTTGTTTTGCCCCCCCCCCCCCTCCTTTCAGAGGAGAACCTCCTGACGTCAGGCGACTACGTTCCCGATGTTCCTGAGCTCGCGTGCAAGATTGTCAAGGCGGAGTACAAACCAAGAGTCGACGCCAGCCTGCACTTCCCTTCATCCTCGAAAGGTACGTGCTTTATGCAGGTGAGCGAACGCAAATTCACTGCGTCTGAAAGATGTACCATTTCGATAAACGCAAAGTGCAGATCGTTTTAGGTCGGAAAGTTGAACGCTTCGGCAAACTTCGCCGGCGATTCTGACGTCACTGTGCGAAACGTAGTGTATTTGTTAGTAAGGACGAACCTTTCACTGCCATTATGCTTACTATTCACAATAGTCGAGTACCTAAGATTCGAGCGGAATTCGGCTAGCATGACCGTCTATCAGAATGGCAGGCTCGACATGGTTCTGTGGGTTACAGCCTACAGTTAGGTTGTAATCGGCATAAGACGTTAGCATAAGCGTGCGCACCGGGGGGGGGGGGGGGCGCATAGTGAGTCCCATACATTGCTATAATAGTCCACACGCCGATTGTAACTCAATATAAGTTTTATATTATGAATGAGGGACATATTGCGCGTCACACTTGGATCAAAACGAGCTGCAACGCCGCGCAATGTGACGTGCTTTCCAGTAAACATAGTGAAGCTTTCAGTTCGAGCTTAACTCTGATTCCTTGCAGTTCCTCTGTCTGCGAAAGTGGGAGACGCAGCTGGTCACGAGGACGACACGAGAGACCGCAGCAGGTTGTGTTCTCCAATGAGGAATAATCTGTGTCGTTTTGCGATGAACCAGATGGAACACCGGTTGGTCAATCAAGGCGTGAGTTTGAGCATTGATTATGTATTTGGCGCTTGACTCGTAGCAATCGGTGGCACTTCGTTTCCTCAAAAACAAAAGTAATTTTTTTTGCTGTGTTTTAGGAGCTGCAGTGGTTCACCAGTGGTGGGGCCGTCAAAACGACACGAATTGCAATTGGGGATAAGCCGTACCGTCTTCGGAGTTACGAGGATAATGCTAGAGCTTTTAGCCCAAGATACACGAAGGTGAGGTTTTTTTTTGTACGTCTCTCGAAAGCACAACGCTTTATGTTGCGTTGATCATCTGTGACAGAGTTATAAAGAATTATTGGAATACTCTCCTTATGAAACACACATGAGACGTGACATCCTGTTATCAGGCAACTACTGAGCCAATATAGATAAGGTGTAGTGCTTTCAGGAGAGGAAGAGCAATTAAAAAAATAGCGAGATCGTCTGTTTAATTTCCCCCACTCGGCTTGTATTTGAACAGCAAGTCCGCACTTTTTTCATTTGTTCTTTTTCAGAAGTGGATAATGCTGATTATATTCGTAACCACAAACGTTCTTATCCACAATAATAAAATTGCATCATCGAGCTCTTACACATTTATCTCGTCAGCTAACTTCTCCTTCTATGGCAGCCAATCCCCTAACCTGATAACCATTTCTGTGCTCTCCGATAGTTCGCTTCATATCTTAGTGCACTAATTCATCGACACTGCCAGGCCACCTTTTACGAGTCCTAGACATTAGGTGACCTGCAAAGTTCAGATAAGCTATCAGCTTGACTAATTCATTCAGAACGCTTCTTTTTTAGCGTATTTATGGTGGTCTTTAACATAGAGTTTTTCTAATATGCACTAACTATAAAGGGAACTCTGGCGCTAGTGTCTATGTGAGCTGCAACGCACGGCGCTTCAGCAAGCATAGGAATGATGGGTAGTACACACATTCGTCTAACTTTCGTAATTCTAGCCTGCTTCTGGCTCCGTGTGTGTTCGTGTGGCTTGGAGCTGTTTTCTCGCGAAACAAAAATCAGCAAATGGTCAGCTATTGTGCTTCAGCACCTTGTTTTTTTTTGGGGGGGGAAGGGGGGTGGGGGAGGGCTTACCTTTTAAATCGGGTCACGAACTTAAAAAGTGTTGAATCTCTTTCTGTCAAAACAAAACCAAAACACAACAATAAACCAAGCCGCAAGTACGATTTGCCCCCCGCAAGTACGAAGACTATATATAGGCAAATCTGTTATACTATCCATCATTCCTAAAGTTGCTGAACGATCGCAGCGCCACCAATGTCCCCTCTAGTTAACTTTAGGAAACTCTATGGACGTTAATGCCTTTTCATAATGCCCTGTCGACTACGCAGGCGATGAACTGCGTTCCGTACCGGTGCGACTCCGAGCCGGAGCTTGAACTGGAGCTGGACGTGTCCTCGCTGAAGTTCCAGCACCACCCGCTGTTCAGCTCGGAGCATGTGCTAGCGGCCCAGCTGACCAGTCTGTACGACGCGTACGCCGCGCTTGCGCTTTCCGGACACCAGGCGTCGCCACCCTGTAAAGAGGAGGTCAGTTCACCTCCGTGCGTCACGCACGATTTCAACGAATGCATTAACTATAAGACCGACTGCATACGTATAAACACTTGCATGTTGTAAGTAACCATACTCAACTATCTTTAGGTCTTTAGAACCTGTTGCTGGGTGGGTTGGTGAATCATAAAAAAAAAAAACAGAGAGATAAGTGCGCTACCTGACACAGACGTAAAAACCAGACACACACATTGCACCTGTGTGTTTCTGGGTTTTACGCTTGCGACAGGTCGCACAGTTATCCCTTTTATATCTTTATGTATTTGTAATTAATTTTGTAATTGTCTGTTTTCAGCTTGTGATGTAAAAGACGCGTTGACGACTATAAATAGCATCACCATGGTCTTGTCAATTAGCGTAAACTGCTGAATCCCTGAATAATGACGAAACAAACAGCATGAAACTAGTGTATTTTGGGCCGTTGAATAAATTTAGCGAATCGATGAAGACTCGCATTATCTGCATGCACTAACACGTATTTTCTCGTCGTCAGAGCCATGGGTGCCGGCAGAATTTTGTCTTGGGAGAAGCTGTGCCTTGTTGCATTACTCTAGATTGAAAAAAAAAAGAGAAGTGCTGGTACGGCTGAGATGCGGGAAAGTGTTGTGTGTGGCTTGGGGGGAGCGGTGCTTCTTTTGCACTCTCCCGCCGATACCTGTGGTCGCGAGGATAATGCTCGGCAGAGGTAAATACGAGAGGACAGTCGTGTATAGGGCGTGATGAGACGAGTATGGAAAACTTGCCTAGCCTCTGATTTGGTTGACGGTGCGCAGAATTATCTTCGACGTCGAGGTTTTGTCCCCCTTCTGAAAGCATGCGAATATCTTTGATCAGAGAAAGCCGTCCTTAGGATTTATGAGATTCGGAAGACAAATCCTGACATGAGCGTTAACGTTCACAGATCACTATTCGTCCATGACCGAACGTTAAATATACGTTTACTAACCATAACGGGAGTTAAAGCGCGTAACTTAACGTTAACGTTTCATAGTGAGTCATATGTACAACCCGATCCAAATTTTTATAACGCGACTTTTCGAATACGCTTCATTCCACTTTTCTGGATACAATATATGACATATCTCTCGTTTTTTTACTTTTCTGTCTTTTCCAGATGAATTCGCTCAGAGAAGGCTTGGACAAACTCAACGAGGAGGCCAGCGAGCGTGAATTTTTTCAAATAAGGCGAAAAATTTTGGACGTTATGTAAGGTTCAATGCTTGCACTTTCGATATTATTTTCCCTGAAAATGGCGAGTACGAAAGGGATGTGATTAATTAGAAGATAGTTAAATCTAATGAGACATCGGATGTTCTGGCCTAAATTTATATGTTCACTGTTTTATGACCTGAACGACTAGATCGGGAGTGGTCTTGATCTTGTACATGGAATAAGGACGAGCCATCTGTTAGCAATATTTAAATATTTTGATTATTCTGATAATATTTTAATTATAAATTTTGTGGACGTTGTCAGTGCGCTGCGTACCACTGTTTTTTACAAAAAAAAAACAATTTTCTTAATAAGGTGTTATTGGCGTAAACAAATCATTAACATGGCTACAATATTCAGAATATTACTACAATGTTTCGTGCTATTATTATGGACCATACATTTATTATGAGCCCGAAACTGGTTTCCTTTATGTAACTGAGTAATTGCAGAAATTAAAAAAAATCAACACGAGGTTACGTATTTATACGCTAAACGCAGCGTAACTTGTTTAAACAGAATTAACTAAAGGAAGCCCGCGTAGCAATCTCTCTAGTTTCATTGTAAACCAGTACGTGTCCTGTGTAGCTTATCTCGTGTCTTCATCTTTTGGTGCTGTTTCACAGCAAAGTTAAACCAACTAGCCCAGTTTTTGCACGCTCCGTTTAGTTTATGGTAATACCATCAAATTCGAAAGATGTCATCCACTCTTGGCGCTTACTGTCTACTGCGACTTTGCTAAAGGTAGAAGTTGGCGCGGATGACTGCAAAACATATTTGTAACTGTCCACAGTGAAACGATGAGTGTTTTTTTTTGGCATAACACTGTGTATGTTGTATTGGAACGTATGGTGCCACGCAATGGCCGTATCTATGAAGCATGACGAGGGTTCACTGCGATTCATGTTGCATCCAGAGAACAGCGGCAGAAAGCGGACGCTCAGACGGACACCCTGAAAGCAGTCGTGGAGAAGATGAAACGCGTTTGGGAAGACATGGAGCAGTTGAGGAGGACGCAGGGATACACCAGTACCGCTGTGACCCTCAAGTTTCGCAGGTAAGAACGACCTAATTAAACTTAGATAATTACATACACGTCGCATTCACGATCAGTGTATGATTTACGCCTGGAGTTTGAAGTTAGAGTGATAAAGTGAAAACTTGGAAGGTACGATTGAGCTGATCGTCTCAATACTAAGTTTGGGTACTTATAAGACCACTAGCTTACGTAGCCCGTCTTGGAGGTTACCAAGGAACCAAGTATCGTAAAATAAGCATATATTCAATGACTTGAAATCCGTAAAACTCGAAAGGACACTCAGCTTGCTTACAAATGCAAAATATAATTGTGTACTTCTTATTGTAACGTAAGAACTTACAGCAGCTAATTTGATACTGAGAGGCAACGCTTGATCTCACTGGAGTCGTTTCAAAGTGAAAAATGCAGCCGTTCCCAGTGTAATATTTTTTTTCATGTTGTCATGCAACACTTTGATGCTATTTATTACTTGTGTGAACACCAAAAATTTATTTATGGTGAACACTGACAGCTATTAGAGTTGTAACTACGTTTTCGAGAAACCTGATTAGTTTTACAAGGAAATGTTACAGGTAGTAGAACGTAGAACGGAAATAAAGTTCAACACTGTCGAAATTTGGGCTTGTTGGTGCATTGTGACGACTGAAAATAGCGCTAAAAAACGAGGACACAAGAAGAGGACACACAGCACAGGCGCTAACTTCCAACATAATGTTTTGTTGCATATGTTTTGTTGCATAGCATATGTTGGGCTTACCAACCACGTACGAACAAACCGGTCCTTCCTTACCAATCAGCTCACTCTAAACTAGTGAAAAGAGGCATCATCAGTCATTGTTTTCGTCATGCTTTAAGCAAATCTTGTGAGCACGAAATCGCCAATAGTTTTCATAATCAGTCAGACCGTTTGTTGAAAGCAGGTTATCCTATGCACGTCCAAACTTCAGTTGCAGAAGGCTTGCTTCGTACGCTTCGCAACCCAGGATGTACAGCGAGTCGTGATGCCGAGAAACCGAAGCACCTAGTCGTCATACCATACTATCACATGATATCGCACAACCTAAACAAATTAGCTAAGCGCTCTGAAGTTAGGGTGTCTTTTCGGCTCTCAAGAAGTTGGTCAGCCTTTGTGGCCTTCATAACCGTGACGAAAAACCCAAAGGGTGTAGTAAGAAGCATCGAACTGTTTATGTCCCCTGCATCATATGCGTTGTTTATCGCATCCCGCTTTCTTGTGGTAAAGAGTACATTGGACAGACGGGCCGTTGCCTTAATGATCGATTAAGAGAACATTGTAATAATGTGAAAAACGGCCAGGGGAGTTGGTTGGCCATACATTGTAAATCCTGCGGCTGCGCGCCGATATTCAATGCATGCACAGTTATCAAGAGAATGTTCGATAAGCTTACTAGAGAGATTATTGAGGCTGAGGCTATCGCTTCACTGGGGTCTAAGTGCGTCAGCACTCCCTCTCTTACGCTTAGTGATAAAGAATTGTATTTTCTAAGAAATTAATTTTTTGTGCGCATCTTTCATGTCATGTGATATTTTTTGTGATATAGGCGAGCGTGCGGTGGTAATAAACATTATGTTGGAAGTTAGCGCCTGTGCTGTGTGTCCTCTTCTTGTGTCCTCGTTTTTTAGCGCAATTTTCAGTCGTAGAACGGAGCAGTGTTGCAATGAAAGTGCGCGTGTTTTGAGTATAGCGAGGGTAGATAGACGGGAGGTCACTAGTAGGCATACCATGTAAGCACAAAAGCCGGTACTTAGGAGCCGACCATCTCGGAAAATTCCTACTGTTCGCATATATTTCGTGAACACACTACGTGCACATATTTCGAGGACAACTCATACAGCTCGGCAAAGTATGGCGGTTATCCGTGAATGTTCAGATCAAGTTGTGAAGGATGCCACTATAAACCAAAAATAAAAAAAGTACGCATTGCAATACCTGGGAACTGTTCAAATAGTCTTTTTTTAGACATAGATGTATTCTCGTCAATAACGCGAGAGGGTGATAAAAGTGACATTTGATTTTAATTCGTTTGCGGCCACTGTTGCTGAGGGCATTTCTTTCTCGTTGTTTTTAGAAGGCATAGAAGGACGGAGAGTGAAGGGGCGACTGAAAGTACGCCTCCTCAGGATGCGCCAGCCGAAGAGGAACTGTTCTCCGAGGAAGTCGAACTGAGGAGGTTGCTCCAACAGGTAGACTGGATGGAATACGAAATGAGGCTGCACCTTTGGCACCAACAGAAGCAGATCAAGGTACGCGGACTGATTCGCCTACTGAAACTGTGTTTCACGGTGTCACATTCGAGACAGCCATGTTAAAAACGCCTTGTCCGATAGGCTACCAGGTTGAGCTCGCTTAAACCACAAGCGTTTCTCCACCTTATTTTTGGTGAATGCTCCAGACCTAAACTTACTCACTACGTTTAATAGTGAGAAATCGCCGAACAAGGCATGTCGCTGCACGAGCCAGTGTTTAGAGAGGTGTATTTGACTTCATCAAGGCAGTCAAGAGGGCTTATTTTCGACAGAGTTTACCTAAGGTAACTTTTCTTGCGACAACTTTGGCTCCATCGACATTTCATGTAGAGCGAAATGTCATTATTACGAGCCACCTGCAGCTGCTGTTTTGTATATTGCTCAGCATAAAAACGCAATCCAGAAGTACTTCCCAATATAAAGCACTTACTTAAAGCGGCAAGCACACGCACACCTAGCCATACAATTTGTTTCCCTGTCAAACGACGCATAGGTGAAATTGTCGCTACGGCTATGTCGACGTGAAACTTGTTGGGGCTCTCTGAAAAGCTCTTGAAAATGTTACTGGCATCTACCAGTGCAGATTTTGTTGAATGTTTATTTTTTTTTGGATCGCAGCTACTTAAGGCCTCACAATGTCCATCCGACTCTAATCCGTCTGGGCGCCGGGCACAGTCGAAGCACAGGTGCAAGACAACTCTGCGCAAAACCATCTATACAGATCGTACATATAGTTCAAAAATGGACCGCCCGGGCATCCGTCTGTCCGCCCGTCTGTTTGGGTAACAGCGTGGCTATCTGTGTGTGCGTCTGTCCGTCCGTATGCGTCCGTCCGTCTGTGCGTGAGTGCGTCCATCTGTGCGTGAGTCGTTCCGTACATCAGTCCGCCCTTTGTACTAGTCGGCAACTTCAACGTAGAACATTATGAACTTTATAGCACATCGCTTCGGTCCTTCATCCGCATCCACTTCGTGTATATGCGCGAATTTACGGTAAGCGTATTGTTGTAACTCAAACAGAGAGAGACCCACTCGTGAAATGTCTTTGTTCCGACGGTTCCATACTCCAAAGTCGCACACCCAAAACAGCAACTCACACACCAGTGTCCGTGAACACACGTATTCTATCACAAACGCGCACATACACAGCAAACAAGCGATTGCACCAATCTAAATCGCGGTGCCGTCTTTCATGCGAGCCTGCTCAACATCAAACACACCGCGCGTTTCATGCAGCGCCAAAGAGCGTTGAGCGCAATGCCGCAACTCGTTCAATGCAACGCCGTAGAGCGTTGGATATAACGCGTATTTCTACCTTTTAAGTGTGAATACACTTTATAAGCGACCCCAAACCATCCACCGCCGTCGGCGGCGTCCGCAGTCTTCTCTCTATTTTTAAAAGAAAGAGGACTTGGCGGGCCGCAGCGCGACGCTCTACCGAATAAGCCACGGACACGACGCTGATGTCGGTGTCAGTAACGCGCCTTATACCCCCTCCCCCTTCGCTCGCTCCTCCGCTCTCCTCTCTCGCTGCAGCTGCGCGCGCACCCCTCTCTCTCGCGCGCCCGCCTTCTCTCTCAGTCTCCCGTCGAGAGCGGGTCGTGAGGGGTAGTAAAGTTAAAATCCGTTGGCATTCGCCAGTGAGTTAACGTAAACTCCCCCGTGTGATCAAATTGCGATTCCCAGGAACCATTACACCATAAAGGCACCATAGTGTGATTAATAAATATAATAGTGCGAATTAATAAATACCCCTCATAGCATCACCCCGTGTATTCGCACTTAACCATGTTCACCCTCGGGGAAATGCTTAGGAGTTTTTTCCGCGTGACTACTGATTTGTGTCCCCATCTGTGTCATTTTATTGTAGTTTGTCTCTCTTTCCTTCTATTCCCCTTTCTTCTGTGCTTCCCTCTTACCAAAGGGGCAGGCAGGCGTTCTGCCCCTCTTGGTGGCAATCGTCAGCCTGCTTCCTTCCTATTTCTGTGTGATTGTGTGTTTTGTGCATCCAAATTAAATATTAATGATAATAGTACGCAGTTTCACTCCTCCTTATTTAATAGCAAGGGGAAGGCGTCCAAGGTGAGGAAGCGGAAATGTACAAGCCAGAACCTCCGGCGGACATCGTCGAATCTGAAATTGCCGATCTCGTTCGTCGAAGGATCGAGAAGAAGAGAGAGGCGACAGGTATGTCGAGCTCTCCGCTAGTGAAATGATGTTGTCAGGTTGCAGTGAAGAAGCGCTGGTTTTAAAAGAAAACAAATAAATGACGTGTAAAACTTGTAAACCAAGTCATCACAAGAGAAAGGTGTGTTTGGTTTTGTTTTGAAAAGGCTATGCACACAGACAGCGGCCGTAGTAGCTTCGACTGCGATACACTTCCGCGCTCGGCAAACTTCTCTACAGCCGTTCTAGTATGGCCTCCTATCAAAGAAAAAATAGTGAATTGGCAGTCTTTTATTGAGTCAAGGTGACAAATGACAACAATGAAAATATGCCGAAATATTTGGAACACATACAGGTCCCAGCGATGAGGGAATCGCAAGTTCATGATCATGTAGCCTGATGAAATGAACTTTTATCGAATCTTGACTCGCGAATCTTACTGAAAAAAAGTGAGGATGGCGAATTCTGCGTTACGAATGGTTTATGCGAATTATTTTACCGAGTGTAACTTTCAAGCACTTATCTCGTACCTGTAGTATATCGTGATGGACCTATTCAACAAGTCGGGCTGTAAGTAATATAACCTTTTCTTTTTATTTTCCTTTCCTTGGGGTATGATGCTGTTAGAGTACGTATACTACTTGACCCGAGGAAAAACGACACCTGCTCACCAGTGCCCCAGGTAAAACCTTGCATGGAATGCATTTTTTTTCCGGAATGGGAAGTGCTTTTTTTGTAATCACTAGGTAACATACACATTTTGTATGAGGATACAATTATTCGATCGATCAATTAACCAATCAATCAGCCAATTATATAATTAATCATTCAGTCAAATCGATCAATTCTACCTGTATATTTTATACAAATAATCTATTTCCTGTTTACTGTTTTTGGCAGCGAGGAACAGCAGAGAAGGCAAGACGTTGCGAAAACCAGCGTTCATCTCAGAATCATGTTCAACGAGAAGGAGGTCTGCAAAACGGACGCGAGGTATGTGACGTCACTATACCGTGGCGCGCGTTAAAATCAACGTGATTCAGTCGTTATTGTTCACGCATTTCAGACCACTCGGCGAAGAGTTCACAGTCGTTTGGGGTCAGATATTCGCGCTGCGAATCCTTCAGTTCCCGAGGACAATCAGCCTCGAGGTGAGATGTCTCGTACGTGATTACTTTCTCACGGAACGCGCATATATATGCAAGGAAGAGCTGCAGGATACAATAACAGCGATATATCAGCAGAAAAAGCACATCCGCAACTGCGCAGTTCGTGACGCGGCCACTTTCCCTCCAGGTGTACGAGACGAGGGGCGTGCTCTCGCAGAAGTTGGCCGACGTGCCGGTGCCGATCCCGGAAGCCGAACAGACCACGTCCAACACGTGCCTCGCGGCAGTTCACTTCGCCAGCGAGAAGACCGTGTCCACGTTGCACGCCGGGGTCGGCTGTGGTATGTACGATATTATAATTTTTACTCGGCCACTCTCACTCACTCGCTCCCTCTCGTGCTCTTGTCTCACCAAGGAGTCCGCCTCGAGGTAGGTCGCGGCGGTCCCCTCTGGCTCAGCCTCAACGGACAGCTCAGCTGCAGTCTGGCGTGGGCGGACAACGCCGCTGGCCGAAACGTCGTCATCAGAACTGGAACCGCCATGAACGCCCGGTACGTGTTTTAGAGAGACTCATGCATATACTGATTGTTGGCCTAGTTGGTACTTGCTTAATGACATGCTTTGGCCGCCAATAACACAAACACAAGTAAGGGAACACACAAGACACAAACACAAGTAAAGGAACACACAAGCCGCTTGTGATTGTCCTTGTGTGTTCCCTTACTTATGTTTGTGTTATTTGCGGCCAAAGCATGTCATTAAGACTCATGAATATGCCCTGGTGGAATTCAACGAGCAATAAAAAAGTTACCCATCTCCTCTGTACATTAGTCTGGTTTGCCCGTTTGCCTGTTTGCCCGAGTAGCATAGATTGAGAGAAGTGAACTTTGATTTCAGCCAGAAGGTAAAAAACATAGTATTTCTTCGCCCCCCCCCCCCATGATGGGAGGGAGGATTTCAAATTCCCGGAGTCCTTGAACGACATCTGCGGAACCGGAAGCGAACAAGAGAGAAAGAAAAACAGGAAGGACAACTAGATTTGTAACATTCGGTTCGGTACCCTGTACTAAGGGGGAGAGGGAGGGGAAGAAAGATGAGACGGAAAGCGGAGAGAAAAGTAGACGCGCGAAAAAAAAAAAATAAACGTTGCGTAGTGACGTATTGAATAAGTTATAGCACCCGAGCGAACAAAAGTATTCCTCTTAGAGGCATCATTGATCTCGAAATTTGTGGCTCATGAGTGCATATGCTACCACAAGCACTTTCAGGCACACTTTTAAGCGAACAATCTTAATTATTTAGCTGAGTAAACTTGTAACTAACTGTTCACCTTTATCTCCAGCTACGAAAAAAAAAAAGAAACGCAGTACTATCCGAGTTATTAAAGCTTGATCTGTGCATAGCAATTACTTGTCTTTGCTTTTTCCGACTGTCAACGGCTGAAACTTCATTTCTTTTTTGTATGAAAACGAAACTATAAAGTCTCTGCAGTGTCGCATGCTTCAATAAGCAATCTGAGGTATCAAACTCAGCGTAACATGACTTATTGGTGGGACAAGAAGATTATTAGCTTAAGGTAATTTAACCTTTCCCACGCCACCGCCAATGCAGAGCACGAGTTAGACAAACGAAGTCCGGGAAAGGAAGGCTCGGCACCATCCTCAACCGATCCAAGCTCAGGGCACTGGCTCAGGAGCAGCAAGGAAATCTCACGAGCAGCGCCGTGAGTCTTGCATCCTTTTTTTTTCTTCTCTGCATGTCTCGCACAACGGACCTCTCCATCGTCTAATAACATCTCAATCCTAAACTGCACTCGAACTGTTCCAATAATCCAGATGCTTCCACTGAAGAGCAAAGACAGCAGCAGCGGTGGTGGCCTGGAGTTCTGCGACAAGGTCGAACTGGAGAGAAACCCACGGTTCTCGCTGCTGATGCTTCGAAACTCTGGCGTCGCGCAGTTCCGAGACTTCGCCATGGTGCCCCTCATGATCAACGAGTACACCGTACCGCTCATGGAGGTGAGGGCGGTCCGCTGCGGTTGGAGCAGCGACTGTGGCGCGGCAGTGCCGACTCAAAGGTAGGCCGGTCCGATGCCGGCCACGGCGTTCACATTTCGACGGAGGCGAGATTCCAGAGGTCCGCCTACCGTGTGATGTCAGTGCACGTAAGAGAACACCAGAAGGCAATAATTTCGGTAGCCCTCTGCTACGTCGAGTAGACTGAACACAAGCGCTGATGTGTCTACTTCATGGTTCTTTTGCGCTGTTTTGCCTGATTGATCGATATGCGGGGTTCAACGTCCTCAAACCACCATATGATTATGAGAGATGCCGTAGTGGAGAGCCCCAGAAATTTCAACCACCTGGGGGTTTGTTAACGTGCACCCACCCAAATCTGAGCACACAGGCCTACGGCATTTTCGCGCGAAACTCCATTGAAAATGCAGCTGCCGCCCCCGGGATTTGATCCCGTGACCTGCGGGTAAGTAGCCGAGTACTTTAGCCTCTAGACCACCGCCGCGCGGCGCAGTGTTTTGCCTTTACCAGCTATGAATCATTACCAACGTGCCAAGTTTTCAATCCTACTCAACTTTATAATGATCTCTTCGTTTGGAGACGTTAAATGTTGGGGGGGGGGGGGAGAAGGACAGGGAGCGAATATCACTTTTGCGCATGCAGGACCATTGTCAGGAAGTCAATTCTGTCATAACCCGTTCCTTCCATTGACATGAAATGCGCTGAATACAACAATCTGAAATGAAATGATGATGATGATGATGAATAGATGTCATGCTTTGATCTATGGTGACGTGTCGTGTTTTCTCACAGAAAATATACGCGAAGGAAGCGCGCAAGGAAAGCCTCCCAGGCCATGTGCACCACGATCCAATCGAAGCTCGGCAGGCGAGGATGTCGCACGCCATCAAGGAGGTGAGTCGCACTCTCTCTCACTCCCTCTCTCGTTTCTTTAGAGAAGGCAAGACAATGCAATTTTTGGTGCGGAAATCCACATGGGCTTGTGTGTAACTGGAAGTTTTGGTGAATATTGAGCATGTATTCCCTCCCCCTTCCCCGGTAATTTATTTGTGCAGATGCGAGAGCAGGTCTTAAGACAAGTGTACGAGTCTCAGACGCACAGGGTCTTGGAAGACATCGTGATTGAAGAAAAAATGCCGTTCATTGGGTGAGATTCGATACTTACGCCACTTACCCGGTGTGTTTAACGCTTATTCGCGGTACCTGAGGGGTATTACGTTTCTATATAAAATGAACTGATCGTTTTCTTCCCGCGGTGAGAGGGACGTACTTAAGTGAGCCTGACGCCTTAAGACGCAGTAAGTGGTTCAGCAAAAAAACAGTAGCCCCGAAAGTATGAAATTACGAACGAATAAACGAGAGGCGAAAATTCATGGGAACCCCATATTTGATAGTAGATATGAAAAGGAACATGAGTTGTTCAAGAAGAACGAAGCAGACAGCCAATGGTCTGTTAGAGGTGACAGGCTTAGCGTCAAGGGAGAAGACATGCAGCTGATAGACGGCGTATAAATAAATGGAGTTTGTGGGTGTACTGTTATGCCAGCTGCAGTCACTTGATGTCTGCTGAAAGAGGCTTTCGTCCTGACGTGGACAAGTCCGTACGACGCTTATGCTACGTCGTGTAGATGCACCTGAGCAGACCAGAACGGAAATGATTACGAAAAAGCGCTACAGTGAAATCTTTGACAGCAGTCTTGGTACGAGGCATGTCGCTGTAGCCAACGTTCGGACGAAGTCACTCGTATCGGTGGCAGGGTGTGTTAAAAGACAAGAGCCCCGTTATGTATTGATTGGTTGATTGATTGATTTGTGGGGTTTAACGTCCCAAAACCACCATATGATTATGAGAGACGCCGTAGTGGAGGATTGCGAAAATTTAGACCACTCTGGGGTTCTTTAAAGTGCACCCAAATCTGAGCACATAGGCCTACAACATTTCTGCCACCATCGGAAATGCAGCCGCCGCAGCCGGAATTCGATCCCGCGACCTGCGGGTCAGCGGCCGAGAACCTTAGCCACAAGACCACCGCGGCATGGCAGCCCCGTTATCGAGCTACAGATGTTGGCGTAGGCGCATCCTAATGAGATCCACTTGACAATCATAGCAAAGAAAAGTATCGATTTTGTTATTAGTAGTAATCGGGTTATAAATATGAAAAACTTAAAGCGCATAAAAAGGCAACTTGTGGCTGGGAGAAAACGAGCATGCAACCTTTAGGTAACGTGCCATGTGCTCTACCGTTGATACGAACTTGTCGTCCACTTCAATTTATTAACATTTAAATTATACAGCAAATAACATCCCCAAACTCTGCTTGGCTTAATTGCTTCCAGTTCTCATTACGTTGAATCCACAAAGAAAAAATGAGCCGTCAAGTTTCCCTTCGAGTGTTAATGTAGGCATTCGCAAAGCTCTGCAAATAACACCCTGAATGCCCTAGAGTTCGAAGCTCGCCAGTTCTCTCTCTCTCTCTCTCTCTCTCTCTCTCTCTCTCTCTCTCTCTCTCTCTCTCACACACACACACACACACACACACACACACACACACACACACACACACACACACACACACACACACACACACACACACACACACACACACACACACACACACACACACACATCTGTGAATCAGAATAAGCACGTTGTTCGATTGTCTATGTTTCCAATCACCTACGCAGTTCGCTGGGCTTCGGCCTTTTGAAGCTGGCCAAGCGACGTCGACCCCTGCGTCCAAGTCGCAGAGAGCGCCGACGTGTGACGGGTCAGAGTGCGGCGGCTGCCGACGCCCAGATCCTGGTCACCGTGCTCAGGGCGTCCAACGTGCCCGTGCGGAGGGACACCGACGCCTCCTCCATGCACAGGGCGCCGAGGGCGACCTCATGTGAGTCTGTAAGACCGCAGAGAAAGAGGTAACTTCGGGAATCTGAATAAGGTAGTAATTACCAGCGGGGGAGCGCGCTGTGGGGGCGGGAAGGGGCGGGGCGCGGAAGTGTTAGGTAAGTGAACCGCCTGTTAAGCGCATGGTATTACGATGATAACAAATACTTATGGAGCCGCAGACGACGATTTGAGACGGTTCGCCCGCTTTTCAGCTCATCTGTTGAAATGTGTGCTGATGTAGCAGTTCATTTAGTATACGTTTACTGTATGTTCCCTCGGGTGCCTCGGGAGGCGATGTTTTTGGCACGCTCAGGGAAGAATAGAGAGAGAAAAAAAAACGCAGGTAGGGTACAAAACTGTAGAAACTGTATTGAAAGTACTGGACACAACTCTAGATGACGATCTCAGCGAGGCCACTTTAAAAAGCTGAAAATCGCCTTTTATCATCTCAGCGATAGCTGACTCAAGGTCGTAGCCAGGATTTTTTCTTCGAAGGGTGAAGCACTTTTTGGAGCCCTTGAAAAGCACCAGGTTCTATTTTTATCATTCTTTGGTAAAACACCCCCTTCATTACTATTTCGAAAAGAAAGAAGCAGGCCTCAATCCCTCCCCCCCCACACCCTTCTGTCCTACACCTATGGGCTTGGCTGACACCGTTTACCACGCAGCCTATTCTGGCCTGCTGGACGACGTGATGGAGTACCAGGTGCGTCCTTTCGTCGAGATCATGTTCCAGCAACGCACGGCGAGAACTTTCGTCGCCGACGGGCCCCACCCCACGTGGAACCAGGAACTGAGGCTGCCCATCACGTGAGCGTTTGTACTTAACTAACTAACTAACTAACTAACTAACTAACTAACTAACTAACTAACTAACTAACTAACTAACTAACTAACTAACTAACTAACTAACTAACTAACTAACTAACTAACTAACTAACTAACTAACTAACTAACTAACTAACTAACTAACTAACTAACTAACTAACTAACTAACTAACTAACTAACTAACTAACTAACTAACTAACAAACAAACTAACTAACTAACTAACTAACTAACTAAGTAAGTAACCAATGAACCAACGAACGAATTACTAATAATTACATCATAATTACGTAATTAACCAACTAACTAACTAACCGACTAAATCAGGTCAGTAAATCCATCCACCAATCAATCAAATAAGCAGGTGGTCTAGCTAGGTAACTAAATTTGGTCAGTATATTAATCAATTTAGCAATGAGGCAATCGATACAGTGGTAACGAAGATATCAACCGGTGAACATGTATGCAATTAGTTTCTTTGCCTGTGTTCGTATAAATCAATATACGAATGGTGACTTCATTTATGTTATGTGTGCAGCTTTAATAAAGGGATAACGAACAAGTCAATTAATCTGCGGTCCTGTCGTTGTAGCCCTGCCGCGTTGGTCTAGAGGCTATGGCGCTTCACCCGAAGGTCGCGGGATCGAATCCCGGCTGCGGCAGCTGCATTTTCTATCGAGGCGTAAATTGTGTAGGCCCCTGTGCTGCGATTTGGGTGCACGTTGAATAACCCCAAATGGCTGAAATTTCCGGAGCCCTCCACTATAACGGCGTCTCATAATCTTACGGTGAGTTCGGCGCGTTAAGCCCCACATACTAATGGATGTAGTTGTAGTGCATGAATGAATCGATCAATCATCAATGATTCAATCAATCGATAAATTCGTTCTGCAGAAAACTAGAAGCACCCAAGTAGTTGGTGAGCACGTCAGTGAATGACTCGCAGAGTAAGTCAAACAAGTAATCGGACGACCAGTCAATAAGGTAGTTACTGAACAGATCACTACACGAGTCGGTGTACTGATCGATTCTTAATTTACTTTCACGTTTTTTTTTGTTTTCAGTCCCGAGGAAGGTGTGGTGAAAGATGTGATCTACCTGAACCTGTTCGACGAAGTGGTTCTCGACCTGTTGGAGGACGACCGCGAGCGCCACAGCACCGTGCACCAGCGACTGGAGAGACGGTGGCTGGGCAGCCTCAAGATACCCTTCTCAACCCTCTACATCAACGCCAAGGTAAGGGGGTAAAATCGAATTAATTCCGTGGGAAAGAGAAGCTTGACAATTGACATTGCGTATGTGGAATGCAGTGTTTCACGTTACCGGAAATACAGTTCTAGCTTACGTGAACGTTTCGCCTAATAAAGACAGTGTGAAAATGAATTTTTTGTTAATTCTGAACTTGTGATCCAAGTCACGTCATTTACGATGCTTTGTATGACATCTCGAGCGTTATCAGTGAAGTTATACACTCCGATAGAGAGCTAGAGGACCAGTCTGGTACATCGGCCACCATAATGCCCTTACAAAACGTGTATGGCTGATACAGTCTAAAGAACTGTTAGTGCGTGAACAAATACAACTGACAAGGTGGAACCACTGAGTTACCAACTAGCCCACCTATCTATCCTTTTGCTTGGACCTTTTTACTCAGACCATGGGGCGCGTTGAAAAAAGCTTGAATTTTGCGTGGAATCTCAAACCTACCGAAAGCGCTCGCCGAAGAAAGTGAAGTCGACTAAAACACACGCAAAAAAAAAAAAAAAACTCGCAATACAATCGACTTGTCTTGCATGCGTGAAGTGGCTTACTTTCTTCCAATATGAATCCTAGCAAAGTGAAAACTATGTGAACATGCTGTTGTTCAGACAAGTGCGAAAGATCTCTCGCTGATGGCCAGCACTCACTGATACAGTAGTATTTTTCAGTATTCTTAGAAAGCTGCCCGTCATGCCATGTGCAAGATGAGCAAGCTGTAAGAACTGCGGGCGTGTGAACGATGATTTTTCCCGACTAAACGACAGCCAAACGCATTTCTGCTTCTTTCCAGATCAAAGCAATAAAGTCCTTTGTCTGTCACAATGAAGTTCTTTGTCTGTCTGTCTGTCTGTCTGTCCAGATCGAAGGCACGTTCCGTATCGATGTTCCCGTCGTCCTTCTGGGCTACGCGCACGAGGTCAAGCCATGGTCCCCGGCGCAAGACGCGCCGGCGTCGAGTACCTACGTGTCCTTCTACATGACGGTGGAGCCGGGGCTGCAGTCACCCGAGGTTCTCAGGGCACGGGTGAGTGCGACGAGGACGTGACCTCCTTTTGGGTTGAGCCGTGACCGAACATATTGAGTAACTTTAGGACGTCAGTGTGATATATCTGCACCTTAGTTGGGTGGTCAATGGGGCCTGTTGATGACCCACGTCGTCGTCGTCGTCATCGTCACCACCACCACCACTGTGACTGCTGCTACTTTCGTTCTGCTGCTACTAGTGTCGACGGCCGTGCAGTAAAGCCGGGCAACGTTTAAAAGCGTATCTCCTTTATTTATCGTATGTTCCCGTACTTAGTCTGCGCTCCGTGTCCTCGTCGTTCGGTCGAGTTATTGCCAAACAGACTCAATGACTGGTAGACGACGCCGCGAAGCTATATGCAACGTGATGCCACGATTCTAGGTCGAAGCCGGAACAAGTCAGCTCGTGAAGTTTGAAAGGCGTACCATATACAAAAAAAAAAAAAAACCGACAACGATAGGGACACGTCTATCTGCCAGTACGAAAACGAAATTGTTTTTTTTATATGACACGCCCGAATCCTGATAAGTGATGTCGTTTTGGTACGTTGGTGCACCACTCTGCTATACGTTTTTTTTTTTTTGCAACGTTTGCTGTGAACCAGTTGTTAGTAGCACCATAGTCCTTCAATACGTTTTTGAAGGACTATGATAGCACCTATCCTGTCTCTCACACGTGTTTGTATTTTTTTTTCAACACGATAATCACGATGCCATTTACAACGATCCGTGTTTCCCAGTGCGACAGCGACGAGCCCCCTCAGCTGGTCCAGCAGGCCGAGGAGTGGCAGAGCTCATTGGAGTCCCGCTACCCTCGCCGCTTCGTCAAGGCACTTGCGATGGACGCCTCGGGCAAGTGGGTGTTCGTGCCTCGCTTCCTGAGGCCCCTGGCGCCACCCCAGCAGCTCCTGGACTCGGCCAGGCGCCCAAGCCTCGTCGAGGACGTCTCGTCTACGACCGGGGACATCATGGTGGGTTCGCACAAAGACACGACAATGACAGTCTGCAAACCACGCACAGTCGCACAGACAGCTGTCTGTATTCTATCATTGAGATAGAATACAGACAGCCGTTTCAACAACAATATGTCTTGTTCCCGGAAAGATTCCTCAATGCGAAGTATACTGAATGTCCCGAAGACGTCGGTACTAAGGCGTTTCACTGTAGAAACGTTTTACAAACTGCAATATGTAGACCGGCTGAAAACGAGAAGTGTGATATACAGGCTCGTCCATTTTTGAGGTGAACACCTTATTAGCATTCAATACTTCATATAAGCGGGTATTTAATGGTTAATTTGAAAATTGTTATTGTGTTTATCGACACCATGAAGCCGTCATATAGCAGAGAAGTTCTTTGATTGCTACATTTGCCCCGTGAAGGAGAATAAAATTTCTAGCTATAGTGGCTTGAGTACTAATAACATGCTCACCAAAGATCTTGTCGACCCTATACTAGAGTAGGCATTTTGACGTCGTGATAGCACCTTAAAGAAGTGCTGATTATTGTATTGTTCTATTCTCGATGAAATTTGACATTCTATGTCGTTATCTTGAATTCGATAAGCTCTAATTTGCAGATAAGTTTAATAGCTATCCAGCACTTTCACATAACTGTTCCTATGTAGCTAGATACAAGAAGCTAGTTGCGTGTGTTCATTCCTCATTGACACCTTTTTCTTTTCAGGCACTGGCTGCTCGTTTCGTGTCCCTTATACCGACGCTGTCAGACAGCGTCTTGTTTCCGGGGCTTTGTGACATTTGGAGCACTTGTGACGTAAGTACTGCTTCTTCAAAAACACTTGAAAAGCATAGTTTGACTACGTGACGCAACTAAAAAAATTCAGGCAATAAATACAAGAAAAGTAGAGCAAAGCTCTAGTCTTGATGTTGTTTCTTTCTTTTGAACTTCAGTAGCCGGTATGGCACTTAAATCTTAAGACTGCAGCATCGGTGCGTTTCCCAGTACTACGAATAAAATTGTCTTTCTTGAGTTTAATTACAAACTAGAAATTAATCTGCTGTACAAAGCGCGAGAATTTCTTCGGCGTACTGAAATCTTTGTTATTTTTTAATCTAATATGACATACTGGTAGACTATATACTATCGGCAGCACATTGCCATGTGCGTTTTAACCACTGTTCTTTATTCTGCGAATTTTTCTGACATACGGAGCCTATCTCTTTTCACTTCTATTGTTCTCTCATAATGTGCTGTTATAGCAATAATTTTAAACGACCTGACAGGTCGATTTAACAAGATTTTACCTTGTTTACCTGATATATTCTTAACCTACTGGCCCATAGCAGGATGGGGCGGTGCTCTAGAAATCGCCCTTCCCTCCTTCCGATATTCGTATAGAGGGAGTGTTTTACTGAGCAAAAAATTATAAAAACGGCGTTTTTTTTAAAGACATCAACACGTGCTTCCCCGCCCCCTTCCCCGAAAAAAATATTCCTGGCGACGGCCCAGTGTTGGAGCAAACAAGCGGACCCTTGCGCCGACAAGGACAAAAACTGGAAAAAGCGGCGAGTGAGGCTCTGAACTGACGACTCAGGCGTTAATAGAAATGAAAAGGGAACTGTTATGATAATTATTTGGTCACGTGACATCAGTATATAAGCACGAATAATTTTGATATTGCTGAGAACTAACAGACAACAATGCGTGATATCAACGAAAACAAACAGACAATAAAACGCGTGGAATCTCACCTCTATGCGTTATAGGACGGCAAAATTTCGCGCCTTTCGACTATGTCCGTTCGCGCAGTCACAGACGCAGAAAAAAAAGTAAAATCAGTTAATCGCGCACGATGGTAGTGCAAGACAAGACAGGCCAAATGGTGCGAGTGCACGGTCCAAGCAGGGTAGGCGACAATTCACCGCAGATATCTCTCGTACATTAACCAATCGACAGCTTATTCCATCCTGACCTCACGCAAGCAAACTCCTGACGTCTCTAATCGCGATGCAATGACGAAAAACGCCAAGAGAGAATGACGCGCTTATGTTTGGTATTTTAGGCGCGAAACTCCTTAGGCGTTCACCATGTCCGATTGCGGTCGTCAAGGCTCGCCGTCGTCCCTGTGCTCTGAAGAAAAAATCTAGTAAAAAAAATTGGCCCCGTATCTGCATGTAATCTGCAAATGTCGTCGAAAGATGACAGTCTTGCGTGTGGAGAGAATGAACAAAACATATATTTGAGGTTCTGCGCAAGAAATCGGTGAATGGTACTCCGGAGGCGCTGCGTAAGAGTGCCTCGAGCGTGCAGCGGAGGCGAACGAGTGCATCAAGTGACGTCACACGTGAGACATGAGCGCCATCTGGCAGTTCTTTTTGGAAAACAAAGCACGTGGCCTTGAGACGGGCGTGAGCGCCCGTCTCAGAGGTGATAAGGTATAGAACGCAAGGCGACGGGTAGGTGGCACCACCGTCTCGTCTAAGCAAAGAGTTGGAAACACTCGCCGTTCCGTGCAAGCGTTGCATGGTAAGCGCAGCGTGATAAGCGCTACGGTCCTTAAAATTAAACTTATGTATGCTTTTATAGTAAAAGACGAACGTGCAGAATATATATGTGTAATTATGGTGCCACAGATATGCCAAATTATTGCTTTTGAATTGACAATCGCACACGTATGAGCTGGACAGACAGACAGACAGACAGACAGACAGACAGACAGACAGACAGACAGACAGACAGACAGACAGACAGACAGACCAAAATTTTTGCGTGGAATGTCCCCAAGAAAGAGGGTCTCTTCTTGTCCCGCAACAATAATCGTCATCCAACTTGCTTGCGGGTCCTGTCTGGATAACTCGGCATGGCCACTTTCCTATCAAGGAAGCGATGTCACGCTTATAAACGCGCATGTCGTTCGTGACCTGAAAGTGCCGGGTGCGCGGCGATAGTGTAAGGAAAGGACCGTAAAATAGATCACGATTATTGTTGCGGGACAAAAAGACGCCCTTTTTAGTCTATCTTGCCTTTGAGTGTAGTCGAAACGCAGGTGCGAAGCATCTGTGCGCAATACCGTCTATAGAGCGTGCATGGAGCGCATATGGTTTGAAAATAAACATTCTGTACATACTCTACCGTTATTCGTGCACAAACCGTCTACAGAGCGTACATAACACGCATATAGCTTAAGTGTAAACATCCTTTATTTCATTCATCATTTCGTCAGTGAAGCTTCGCTCCATCATCAACATTCACTTCGTGCATCTTCAGCAATTTTTTAGGCGGTTTAAAGGACCACTCAACAGGCTCCGAAACGCGCATGAAAAGCTCGCGCATTTTCCCTGCGCGGGACCAACTCCTGATACGTCTGGTGACGTCTACTCGACGATCAGTGACGTTGACTTCATTACTCTGCTGCTGAGACCTGGTCTTGACCAATCGACGAGCTTCGTGCTACGTCAAGTCGCCCGAGTTGACGTCACTACGCGTATAAGGAGGTTGGCCACGCGCAGGGAAAATGCGCGAGCTTTTCCCTGCGCGTTTTGGGAGCCTGTTGACTTGCAGCCCTTTAAAACGTGTGCACGTGGAAAAGTCGACTGTTATTCCGCGCAGCAATTCCTGCACGTCCTGACGGGTGACGAAGAGGAACACGCTCTGCTTCTCTGCAACTACTTCCTGCACCTGGGCGCAGAGGCGTACCTGCTGCTGGGCAGCGGAATACCCGAGGGTCAGACCGCGTACGTGCTGACCCGCAACGCCTCCAGGGGGCGCGATGGACGTGCGCATCTGGAACGCCGTGACGGGGCGCTCGTACAGCGTCACAGACAGCTACGGGCCGCTGCAGAGCGTCGGCTGCCTCGTCGGCGTCGACAACGTGAGTGTCGCCTCGAAAGCCCCGCCACGGTGGTCTAGTGGCTAAGGTACTCGGCTGCTGACCCGCAGGTCGCGGGTTCGAATCCCGGCTGCGGCGGCTGCATTTCCGATGGAGGCGGAAATGTTGTAGGCCCATGTGCTCAGATTTGGGTGCACGTTAAAGAACCCCAAATGGTCGAAATTTCCGGAGCCCTCCACTACGGCGTCTCTCATAATCATATGGTGGTTTGGGGACGTTAAACCCCACATATCAATCAATCAGTGTCGCCTCGAAAGAAAAGCGGGAACACTTAGCTCGTCCGAAGGAGGAGGAGGTAAGTTTATTTACAGAAAGGCAGAGAGGTCGGCCTGAGCGATAGCTTGCTCTAGCCTGCTACTCTACACTGGGGGAAGGGAAAGGGGAAAAGAAAGATTAATGGATGACGATGGTTAGATAGAGAGGTGAGTATGTAGTGTTCTAGCTGAGACACATTTTATAGCCGCGCATATAGTCTAGTTGTTTCTAAAAAGGTAATAACTGCTCTTGTGACCGCAGTTGCACTGTTGGTGTCTGGCCAAGGGCCCAACATGGTCTCATCAGTTAATGACCTACTGCGATATTGTTCAGTAGAAGAAATCAGTGTTTGTCGTTCACGTGCGTATGCTGGGCAGACACAAAATATGTGCTCAAGTGTTTCTGGCACATCACAGTGTTCACAATTAGGACCGGTGTCACTGCGACCGATGATATGTGCGTAACGTCTGGTGTACGCTACACCAAGACGAATGCGGTGGATCATACTTGTGAGTTGCCGTTTCAATTTAGGAGGCATGCGGAACCTCATTTCCGGGTCCCATTTGTGAATTCGCTGGTGTCGCCGCTCCGGTTTGGTCCAGTGCTGAAGTGTGTAGCTGCGCATCACGCAGCGAAGCAGGGCGTTCGTGTCAGCTCGTGAAAACGCAATGCGTACTTCAAGGGCACTGCTTAAGGCATTTTTAGCTTCAGCGTCTGCCTCTTCGTTTCCCATCACGCCGTAATGAGCGGGAATCCACTGGAAAGTTATAAGATGGCCATTTGTTGAAGCAACCTGAATAAGTTCTGTGATTTCTATTGCCAAGCTGTAATATGGACCTTGCTTCATGATGCAATTAATGGTTTGCAAAGCGGGTTTGGCATCACAGAAAATCGTCCAGGCTCGAGGTCGCTCTCCGGAAATAAACCTTATCGCCTCTCGGATAGCGACAAGCTCTGCGGCAGTTGATGTGGTTTTATGGTCCACTTTGAATCGTCGAGCGATATCCATGTCTGGGATGACAAAGGCTGCGGCGGAGGTGTTTAGCGTGGTGGATCCGTCGGTGTACACGTGCAGAGAATCACTGTACGTTGTATAAATGTGATATAGTGTCAGTTGTCTGAGGCCAACAGAAGAAATGAGCGACTTCTTCGTGATTCCAGGTATCGTAATAGAGATAGGTAGTTTAGACAGAACCCATGGAGGCACTGCAGGGGCATTTGGCGGAGAAGACCTTGATGGTATAATATTTTCATGCCGCGATATTACTTTTGAGAAACTGCAATCTGGGTGAGTGGCGGGTAGTACTTACTGACAGTGGGTGCTGTCTGTGTCTGCTCAGTAATCGGAGGTGAACTCTAAGTGGCTCGCAGAGCATGTATACACTGATGGGACAAGCCCAAGCCTCTGCGATTGTCCCATTTGTTGAAGTGCAGCGCGGTAGCTCGTCCGAAAGTGTATTGATCTTAACGGAATAGCGCTCTTTAGAGTTGTAGTTTATCCGCAAACTTTCGAATGTCTTGCGGATTACCGGAGGTGCGTCAGTGGTCGGATTGTGGCGCCAATTGGTTACGTCTAACGTAGCTCATTCCGCGAGGGCACGCACCTGTAACTTTAGTGACTGCACTCGCCGAGACGATTTCAAACAGTTTGGTCAAATATTCAGAAATATTCATTACTTCACGCTTTCTTTAGTGAAATTTTTCTCTCTCTTTTTGCGGTGCTCGGCTGCTTTCCCCGGAGGTCGCGGGCTCGACACCGGCGGTGGTGGTCGCATTTCTATGAATGGGAAGTGCTAGAGGGCGATGTCGGTGAATGCTTTAGAGAACTCTATAGCGTGTTGTTGCATGCCGGGCTGGTTGGTTCGTTGTCCACAAATGTAACAGTGCATAAAACTAAAGAAAGACAGTTTGAAGTCAGGGCTTTTTACTCTCTGTCGTGCCATTTTTTCTAGTTTCATGAGCTGTTGCATATACTGTCTAGCGGGTCGAAATGATCCGGAACGAAAGGATGAACTGTATTCTTAGGGGACTTAAAGGGCACGCGTGCCTTTGCTATTTTTCAGGTGACATATATAAATTATAGTTGTATTTTATTGCAAATTTTGAAACTAATCTTTCCTGCCTTGAACAAGTTCTCCAGTGCCTTACGCCAACCGGGTTGCAACTGGACTTAAAAGAAAAATTGCCATTTTGCCGCCCGCATACTCGCAATTTTCGCGTCACGTCGTCTCAAGGGAAAGAATCTCACCGGACCCTGCCAAACCACGAGCCGCTGCTGAGTGCCCTGATTCTACTACCGTAAAGGAGCTCCGTAGCTTGGTGGGCTTGTGCGCACATTTTGGGCGTTTCATCCGTGATCTTGCCTCCATAATCTCCCCCATTGACGCAGCTTCTTTCCGGTAGTGCGGACCTCTCGGGCTGGAATTCTAATTGCGACGACTCATTCACGACGCTGCGTTGGCTATACTCACGTCTTCGCCAGTTCCCCGCCATTTCGATCCCAATGCACCCACTGAAATTCACATGGATGCAAGCGGTGTCGGCCTCAGTGCCATTCTCGCTCAACGCAAGGATGGCTGCGATGAGTACGTTGTCACCTATGCCAGCCGTACTATTATAATGCCGCGTGCCATAATCATGCTAACATCGTGGTTTCGACATTTAAAACGCCCGAAACTTATTATAATGTTGTCCCCTTTTCGATCTGTGTTTTGTTTACATGATAGCTGAAGTTCTTCTGTGGGCTGAAAATTCCACGATACCACCCTGTCGTTCCAGATCTGGGCCAACGTACAGAAGCACGAGCATCCTTCGAGGCTGTCTTACAACTTGAGCAAGTCCAGTCATTGGAAGCCGTTCTTCGCCAAGGGCAAAGTACCGCCGACCCTCGACTCCGTGCAGGTGCGCAAGCTCGCAAATTCCACAAAAATGAGTGAAAACAAACAAACTGATTTGCTGTAGTCTGGGGCAGTGGCGTAGCCAAGGAGGGGAGGGGGGGGAGTTCAACAGTCCCCCCCCCCCCTCGAAATATTTCAGTTGTTCTCGCATATATTAAAACGCACACATACGAATGCACGCACCAGCATAAATAAACTATGAATAAATCCCCATAGAAAAATATGTTCGGGCTAAGCTCCCGATCTGTGGGAGCTATAACTTTGATTCAGCTAAAGGCAGCACACTATAGAGTTTGCTACACTATTTATTATGTGGCAACTCTGGTGATACGATTGTTCAGCCATCATGAGAATGATGGCTAGTACATATACCAAGTGCACTCTTTGCGCTTGCAGCTTTGAGTGCACTTGGGGCCTCGTTTATGGTAGTGTTTTGGCGTTTGTTTGGTATTAAAACAGCCGATTTGAACTGGTGAGCCCGAAACGTTAAAGCAGTGAAATCTAACTGCTGAACATCTTTTAGGCTTCGTCTTGAGACAAAGCGGATCCAGGCCACACGGAGTCAAACGTAGCCAAATGAACGAAGCTTAGACAAATCCGTGTACTACCCATATTTCTCGCGCAGGTTGAAGTGCTATGCGTTGAACCTCCCATGGACAATATAGCGTCGGAGTTCCCCCTAGTGTATTATTAGGCAACTATGCAATACGTGTGCATTTGAAGACCTCCGTCTGTTCATCCTAAAGCTGCTTTGCGACTTTGCAGACTGAGTGTGATTAACGCTACACTGTGTTATGTACCTTGCAAATAAACAAGCACACGACAAAATTACTAAAAAACAACAAAAAAGAATCGATGAAGTTAGAAGACCCCTACGGCCGGGTTTCTTGTTCACGTACAAGTGAAAGAAGTTGGGCCGTGTCTTTATGTGACGCATAAGAAGCCACAGGCCAATTTCTTTCCCATGTATGTAAACAAGAAGCCCGTATGGATCTCGAAACGTTATAATTTTTTTGTTGCACCTTTGGCGAGTGTTCCTTCACTTGCGAAAAATGTATGCCCCCCCTCCCCCCGCCTCCCCACCAGACAGTGTTCCGTCAAACTCTGGACTATTAAGTAGATTAAAGTACGTTTATCCGATTCACACCCCAACCTTCTGCACTTGTTTTTCTTCACAAACATTCCTAAATACTGGCGCATCATTTTGTGTTCCCACTTTTCCCCGACACTGTCGCAGCCGAGTGAGCTGTCGTACGAGCCGACCGACCCTTCGTACGTGTCCAGGCTGCAGCAGAAGATCGAGTACGCGCTCAAGGAGAGCGTCATGAAGTGGCGCAAGCGGTTCCGCACCTCGTGGAACCGCTACGCAAGCCAGGTACTCCGCAAGATACTACCCAGGTAAGTCACTGTGTACATCGGCCTCTTTTTCTCGTTCTTACGGCCCTTGTCGCCGGTATTCTAGTTACTGGCAATCCCAGCGGAGTTGAGATATCTCGTTGTGAATTTGTCAGAATGAACGTAAGAAAGGAAATTTTTTTAGAGGCTTGTTTCAGTGGTAGACGCAACCAAATAAATCCGACGGGCAACTAAACCAAGCAATTAGACCAAGGACAATAATAGTTATCATTAACAGTAGTGTACTAACTATGACGCACATCGAAATCATTCAAAGTGGACGATAACTAAACCTTTCCGTTTATGGAGTCGGAACCCCCAACTTTTGAATTGCCGGTACGACACTGTACGAATCGAGCTGCGACAGAGGGCGCTTCTAGGTCACGTCATCGGATATTACGGCTTGGTGGCGCTAGCCACCGCCCGATCTAAAGGGTACAGCCATATCCATCCATCCATCCATCCATCCATCCATCCATTGGGTATTTCTGTGCACGGAATTCTTGGGTGCGTTAGCCAGCGCTACTTTTAGCAGAGACGGCGAGTGTTAACACTCCTTTTTGCCTCACGGCACCACGTGGCACGTTATTTCCGCTTCGGGTGGCATGCGAGCAATGATTCCTCGCATTAAGGCATTGTTAGGTCCGCCAAGACGAGGCTATCACTATAATAACCGATACGTGCGTGAGTTACCTGCCTCGCTGTACGGATAGGCAGTTGGCTCGTATTCACACCAAACTCCCTTTATTGTCCCTGTATGTGGCCTTAATTAGAGAAGAAAGGTCTGAGCAGACCTCAGCTGGAGCGACAGTGTCAGCTGACTTGTGAATGAAGGTGATAGTTAAAGCGGACATGAATACGACACGTCAGTGATCGTACATGAGTGAATGGACGTATACGTGTAAGACAGTGGCCATGGACGTGAGTGGGAGTGAGCGTGGAGACGTTTTGCTTTCATTTAACACCACTTCCTTTAAGACACTACTGTAGAGTGTAAAGTTAGCATATCCTTGGTTTAAAATCTCTTAACACAAGTTGACAGTAAGCACGTATAATTTCAGCGGCAGCGCTTGCTTTCGTGCTCTAACTTAGCTCTCAAGTTTCTTACGTTTAGTTCTAGGCTCTAGTTACATGTATCATCTACAAACATTTCATAGTCATTGCGAGCTCTTTTTTTATTTATATATAAGGTTGCGAAAGCAGTCTTGTATAGTTAAAATAAGTCGCTGCCGCGTGAGGAAGTGGAAGTCGCGCAATATTGTTCTGTCATAATTTATTGGGCACTCTTTTTCTAATATAGAAGAAAAGCAGACGAAACCTCAATGTTTGCGGGCACTTTAGGCTATATTAATTACGTCTCCTGGCTAGAGCCTTGTATTATGGTCCTTACAATCGTAAATTCCCAATTCCAAAAGAGAACCTCTTTTCTTTTTATTCCCGAGCCGATACTGTCAACAGCAAAAGGGCAATATATTTCTACAGCAGAGTACGTTTGTTCAATTTTTACACATTTCTCTCTCTCTCTCTTTTTCAGACTCGAGTCGATGGCGTCGGCATCAGCCTGTACCGACGATATCCAAGAACTCTCTGAGATACTTACTTCTTACAAGGTCAGTTTTCTTTTGCAGCTCACCTTTTCGTTAAACTGGATACGAACGATAGGAAAGAAAAGATAGATCTTTCAGGGCAAGAGTCTTGGGTCTCGATGTTGAAAGGATAGCCGGTGACATTGACGTGAAGCTCGCGCAGATGAAGAAATCGCGCTGCGCATACGTGTGGAAGCAGCTGTGAGCGAGTGAAAGCAACGCATGTGCGCGCAGTTTACGACTCCTTTTGGCTTTACTCTGCAGTGACAGGTGATGTCGCCCACAAAAGTGGGCGCGCGTACGCTGCGAATTTACGGCAAAGTAGCCGCAGAGGAGGCGTAGCTACTGCGGCGTCGACTGCTGACGGCGTCGCTAGGTGGCGGTGACGAGGCGAGCGATGGAAGGAAACGGAGACTGACATGTGGAGAATGGGCATGATTAAGAAGTCCGCACTAGAGATCTATCGAACTTTTAAGCAGGCGATTGCCAAGGAAAGGATCTATGTTAATACTCGGGGTAGTTCTCTACTGTTTGAGGCCAGCACGGGAGTACTGCGAACCAAGACTTATCGGGCCAAATACGAAGGGGTAGACACGGTATGCAGTGCGTGTAAGAGGAAGAAGAAACTGCCGAACACTTGATAATGTTCTGTAAAGGGCTTCACCCTATAGTTCAGGATGATGGTGCAGAGTTTTTCGAAGCACTGGGATTTAGGGACAGCGAGGGCAAAGTGGACTTTGAGCGGGTAGACTTAACTAGAAGGAGGTTATCTGATTGGTGGCTAAAGTCAAGGCGCGAGTGAAAATTAAACCCTTCACTGCGAAGTACGAATCCTCAACTTCATTATTTAAAGGAAAAAAAAAGATAAATGTAAATGTTAGTTCACTAAGTATTATGGCTAGGTGGCGTAAGCCGCCGCCCGATCTAAAGGGTACAGCCACATCCATCCATCCATCCATCCATCCATCCATCCATCCATCCATCCATCCATCCATCCATCCATCCATGGAGCGTGTATGCCCTTACGGGGGCCGCGCGATTTCGCCACTGCCAAGAAAATGGGTGTCACTCGTTGTGCTTCCCCGTCTGTACAAGTGCGATGCCGAAGGCAACGAGATTGAAAAATACAAAGAGGAAACAGCGTAACAACGATGAGCATTCCGATAGGAGGACGTGAATACATGCACAATATAAAAAGGGGCTCACATAAGGCGTTCAAAATGTTAATTTCCAAACATGTCTACAGCTTATTCCGGTTGATATCTTACACGAGTGCAGCGAGTCTTTCACCTTCTTGTGTCACAAGAGTGTAACACATTGCCGAACTGTGACTAGAACACGGCAGCACAAAGTCCTTTTGAACCTCATCATTGCGATGCGGCTGCAAACAAGACGGAAGCTCTGACAAGCATGGAGGATTTATGTTACGAGCGTTCCTGAACACGGATTGTCGCTCGAGGTCAACGCTTTGGCAGGTGGCCGTATCTGCAAGGCAGTAACTGCAGAAGGACGCTAGGACAAGGAGACCAGGACAAAGGAACAAGGAGCCTTGGATGAGACTGGGCCACTTGTCTGAACATTGGCTTTCGTGACATGCCGTGTTATAGTTTCATTGCAACGCAAAGCGCAGATATTCTGAGCATTTCGGGAAAACTCGCTATATATAATAAATTCAGTTATCTACATTCGTATTTGTTTTGTCATGCGTCACTAGTTATTCTTGTGTGTACACCTTGGATTGACGTTTTGTCGGGATTTCTTTGCCTTTGCGTTGATCTCCTAGGCAACTGTGTATGTATACTGGATGTCTGAAGTGAGTATGAAAAATAAGATATATTAAAATTGTCGTATTCCTTTTGTTTTCTTTTTCAGATGAGTGGCTTTCCGCTGTCAATGAGCTTCACGGATGTGGAGACGGTCATCGAGATGGTGCTCTCCACCGGAGTTCACCTGACCGAGTCCAGAAACGTGGAGTTCGCCCTGGCAGTCCACATCCACCCTTACCCGTCCGGCGTGCTCGCAGTATGGGTGTACATTGCGGCACTGACGAGAAAGTCCTGAGCGCCGATAGCGTCCAGATTATTGTAGAAATTGAAGAAAAAATTGTTGTCAAAGTGAGTATGATAGTAGCGTTCACGTTCGTTCTGCGAGTTTTTAGGGGCAAAGCTTCTTAAAGCGGCACCCGTTCGTCCCTCGTCGTAGGACGTAACATGTCTTATGCTTTGACCTGCAAGGTGGTGCTGGTGGGAGATTTCTCCTGTGCGTTGTTGAACAATAAAAAATTCGCAGCGTGCACGTTAACTAAAAGCCGAATTCTCCTGCCTCTCATTCCCAATTAGCAGCCACTGGCACGTACATCGAGCACTATCTGGCAAGAAAGGGTTACTACGTTATACTCGCTGGGCGTAACCTCCTTGATTTTAAAGAGTTTAGCGAGCGTTCGGCCGCAGTGCCATGAATACAGTGAACTAGTATATACCATGAACTCGAGGTTGTTAAAGGTGGGAAGTTGACACGAAGCGCAAGCCGTATGAAAGTGTGCGTGTGCCACCTCTCGTTTAGTCCTTGGAATGTCCGCTGGATGGTGGTGCTTCCATAAGCAGAATATATGATGAAAAGATGCGAGATGGTGGTACTTGGAGTGTTGACTAGATGGACGAATGGACACACAGACAGATGCGTGGACGTACGCACGAATGGCTGCACGGACGGACGGACGCAGGGGCGGATGCATGGACGAACGCAGGGACGGACGCATGGATGGACGTGTGGACGCACGAACAGACGCACGTGGACGGGCGGATGGACGCATAGACGGTCACACAGAGGGACGCATGGGCGGACGAATGCTTCGCACCACTCTCTATCATTCACCCCGTGGATATGCTGCCATTTTTTTCTTTGAAAGCTGTTTGAAAACTTAACAATTTTACTCAAGTAACCAGCATGGTATACTATTCTCCCCTTGGGTGCTTCAATTCGTGCAGTGCGCGTGATGATAATGACCCTAAATATATTGAATCCTACGTACTCATGGTGATGGCTCATTATAAGGAGCTCCGAAGCTAATCTTAATGCTCTTTTTTTTCCGCCGCTGATTCTTGTCTCCTATTGTGCGGCCCTTAGTGCTTTCAACAGATATTCTCTTTGCAACGTAAGCCCCTATGAGTTTATCTAAATTTCTAGTATGCATTAGCGTCTTGAATCAGGCTGGCTGGAATATGCTGACATCGAATGAAGAAACGGTGCTAGAACAGGACGGAGACTAGAAGACACGAACCAATATGCAAACGAGTTCAGAAGCCACATACAGGTGAGAGTTAGATTTGGGTAATTCTGGAGACAAAGGCGATGCTAAGTTGGTCGGCGAGAAAGAAATTTGCTGACAATAAGAACTAGTTAATGCGCACGCGACGCGCATTGCCAGCCCATGACAAGAAAGTTGCCGTCGTACCAAAGTCCAAAGTTTAAGTACAGTCATGTATTTTACCAGTAGTAATGTGCCGGGTAGAAACGTGGACCCTAAGTAATTTCTAAAAGCTTAGGACTACGCTATGTAATGAAAATTGAAAGACGTAACCTTGCAAATTAGAAGTAGTGTCCAAGCAGGTAGTGGTGTTCTTGCGGCTTTGCAGGGGAGGAACACACTATAGGTTAATGTTCAAGGATAATGAGATGTAGGGCAATTTAATTGGCGGCCTAACCACTGAGCTTGGGGAGGAATCGAACTACGCCCATCTACCCCTTGTGCCTGTGTACAGACGCGCACATGCAAACACATGCAGAAACATGCACAGAGTATGACAGACGCCCGCCCTTCCACCTCCCAACCAAAGTTCTGGCTCCACCCCTGAACTTTATGGACACGTAGTTTCTACAACTATGGTAGACGCCCCCCCTCCACCTCCCTGAAAAATTCTGGTTAGGCCCCGGTACTTTACGAACACGTCGTTTCTGCAACTATGGTAGACCTTCCCCCTTTCACCTCTCTAAAAAGTTCTGGCAATGTCCTAAAACTTTATGGGCACGCCATTTTTGCAACTCAAGGAGCACTACTTACTATTTATCTTTCCTTTATTTTCACAGGAGCTTAAACCGCATGCAAATGACGCCACATTTTCTTCATCCAGAAAGGCGCGCAAAATTTTGTTTTTATTTTAGAGCTGTCCCACATAATAACACGCCGAGAATGGCAGGTATGTACCTTACGCCCGTAGAGCGGCCATTCCTAACCTTATCCCGCATTCTCTTCTTCCTCCGATCCGGTCGGGTCTTTTCTGAAGGTGACAGCGAGAGCGAACTTGAGTTTCTGACCCTCGACGACTTGACATTCGCGTCTTCTCACAGCCGCGATGAGCTCGGCTCCCGACCGAAACTTCACCTTAGCGTGACCCGTGTTGGTCACCATGATCACACGACCGGTAGGGAACAGGGTGGCCACCGTCGCCGCCGTCCTGTGCTTCCTGGGCAACTGCTGGACGTCCAGGGTGTCGTACAAGTATCGCGGGGGACGCTTCGGATTCCTCCACTTGTCGCCGCAGTACTTCACCCTGATGCTGGCTCCATTCAGGACGGTGCCCTGAAGAGCCCGCGCGGTGGAGGCCGCCTCCTCTTGGCTGGCGAACCGCGCGAAGGCCCAGGCGAGGTTTTCACCGTGAAGACCGGTGCGGATCTGCAGGGCACCTTTGCAGACGTCGGACACTTGTCTCAGTGTTGTGCCCTCGGCGAAAGAAGAGAGCTTCACCTCGTACCGGTCCCGCTTCTCATAGTCGATGACCTGCGAGGATGGAATGAACTCTTCCAGTCTGACCTTCTTCAGCGGCGGACAGCAACAGCTGTGCGTGCTAAGGGGGCGCTTGGCACTGGTCTGTGCCGGTCTCCTGGACGTCTCTGTTCCGTTGTTGGTGGCTGGATTTAGGAGGTGGATGTTGCCTTCGACGCCGGTCGCGTCTCGACTGAAAGACGCGGCGCTGTCTTCGGGCAGGGAGTTGCGCTCGCGTCGTTCATCGCCGTTTTCTAGCGACTGTGCGGCGGTCGACTTCTCGCGGCAAACTTTGCCGTCAGTCATCTTCGTTAGGCCTGGAACGACCGTTGGCGATCGAGTCTTGGGATAGGCTCCACGATCTCGTCCTGTTCACGGCGATGATGATGTTCGAAATCAGTTCAGACATGCGACTCGTTGATAATTGTTAAAATTATACGGTATGACGATTTACAAAAAAAGAGAGAAAATGTGTGGGAAAGTAATGAAATAGGCGAAACATAAATCGTGCAATCATACATAAAACGTATAGGGGTGGTGCACAATGCAAGTAGTAATTCTTTTTCAAGGTAAAAAGATCGCCATCCAAAGGTTAAAAAGTGTAAGTATGAGTAGTGGGTTTTACGCAAAAATTTTATAGTAAACAATTTATAATAAACAAATGTTTATAATAAACAATAACGCACTCTTCAATCTTGAAAGCGATCGCAGCCCTCAGCCTAGGTCACCGATTTCACTGCTTTATCCGCTCTTTTCTCACTCGACGCAGAGCCGTCCTCCACGTAGGAGACCTAGTGTCGGAAGAAGTGGAGCTCGGACAGCGAGGCACTCCTCAGGGATCCGTCCTCTCGCCCACGCTATTCAACCTCGTGATGATCGGGCTTTCCGAACCACTTTCGAAAATCGACGGGCTAAATCACACTATCTATGCGGATGATGTAACCATATGGTGCTCCACAGGGTCGGATGGCTTCATTGAGTTCGCCCTGCAAGGGGCTATCGACACCGCCGAACCCTACCTCGACCATACCGGTCTCAGGTGCTCACACGCGAAGTCGGAGCTGTTGATATATTTGCCCAAACGCCGGGGTGCCAAGCCCAAAGGGTGGAAACCTCCGGCGGAACGCAATATCACCCTCCACACCAGAGATGGTCATACTGTACCCAGGGTAGAAACCATCAAGGTCCTCGGCATGATCATCGAGTCCCGCGGAACCAACACCCAAACAGTATACAAGCTCAGGACTAAGACTGAGAATGCCATATGACTCGTACGTAGAGTAGCCAACAGGCACCATGGCCTCAAAGAAGACAACCTGCTGCGTCTCGTACACGCGTTTGTTTTGTGCCATTTTACCTACGTTTCCGCTATACACAAATGGCTACATGCTGAGCGCGATCAACTCAATGCGCTTATTCCCAAGGTGGTCAAACGAGCCCTTGGCCTCCCTATCACCACTCCAACGTACAAACTGCTCGAGCTTGGTGTACATAACGTGCTAGAAGAGATCGCCGAAGCTCAGGAACGCGTGCAATTGACCCGACTCACCACCACCAAGGCGGGCCGCCATATTCTGCGCGAGCTCGGCTTCTCCTCGAGGGCCAGGGACGCCCCAGAGTTGACTATAATTCCCCGTGAAATCCGCAACTTATCATGATCACTCCCATTCCACGAAATGTACCCCCCGAATACAACAGAGGCAGGTGTCTTGCGCGGGTGACCGCCATTCTCAAGCGCATAGACATGGAAGCGGACAACGTCTCGTTCGTGGACGCCGCTGCCTATCACAACAACCGAGCCTTCGCCGCGGTATCATCCGCGCAGCAGACTCTTAACTCTGCCACAATCCTCACCCGAAACCCCGAAGTAGCGGAGAAAGTAGCTATAGCTATAGCTATGCTCGACAGCAAACGGGAATTCATCTACAGCGACTCCAGGCCTGCCATCAAAGCCTTCGAACGCGGAGTCATCTCCGACCAGGCATTACGTATCCTGAGCAAAGCGGACCCGAGTGCCCTGAAGCACCACACTGTCATCTGGTTCCCCGCCCATCTCGGCCAGGTGCCGGGTGGGTCCAATCTCAACGAGATCGCCCATGATGCAGCGCGCGCACTTACCGCCCGCACTGCCACAGGGCAACCTCATCTTGCTGGGTTAGATACCAATCGGGATGCACCAATTACTTACAATGAAATTACAAAGCACTTTTACCTTGAACGCCGCATTTTTCCACCCCCACATCCGAAACTTAACCGACCGCAGGCATTAACCCTACGCCTATTACAGACACACACGTACCCAAACCTTG